TCCCCCGGCACCACCTACGCGAGTCTAGTCCCATCCGGGGGTGCCGAGGATGGACAAGCTCTTCCGGTACGTTTCTCCACCACGCTCACTCTCCCATGAGCTCCGCTCCAGCATACCATCTGCCCATCCTGTTCTGGTTTCTGACGTGCTTCAGTAAACGCACCGCAAAGAAGGCGGACAAGGACAGGCGCAAGCCTGCTCCCCTTCCAAAGGTCCCCCCGAGCCTCAATGTCGACATCCGCAACTCGCTCATCCTCCCGGGGTAAGTGGCTCCCCAGTTCCGAGGCGGTGGCTAGTGTGCATGAGCTGAACCTGGTTGTACGCGCTGTCCGACGCGCCGGCCAGGTGGCCTCATGTCCGGCATGCCGAGTCCGAGCACCCATCTTCACATTGAGCACAGCCCTGACGCCGCAGATTATCGGAGCGCTTCTCCCTCCTGCTCCCGGGCATGTCGGCCGTCGACGAGACCTCGGTGCGCGACCTGCTCGCCCAGCAGCGCGCGCGTGGTCAGGGCCCGGCGCTGACAGAGGAGGAGGAGGAGCTCGTCCTCGCCGAGCTGCTCCGCGGTCGCCAACAGGAAGAGCCCGACAAGTCCGCTGCTACGCCCGCCGAGAAGATCGACAAGGACAAGACGGCCGACAAGGAGAAGACGGAGAGCCGCAACGACCTGCCGTACGCCAGCATCGTGAACCGCAACAACTCGACCGCGTCTGTCTCTACCGGATTCACGGGGTACACCGACTGGGACGGAAATCCGCCCTCCTTCGACTCGCACGACTGGGCGTCGACACACACGGCGCGCGCTGGCGGCATGGTCTCGTCCATCTCTGGCACCTCCTTCCGGTCTGACGGCACGCACATGAGCCCGTCCGAGAGCAACCACGGCCATCTCCCCTCGTCCAACTCGCACAATAGCATGAAGCAGTTCCACAAGGAGCGCGTCCAGGCGAGATCATACGGTTTCACCGGCAGCGCCAGCTTCCGCGACAACAACTACCTCCGCCAAGTCCAGAAGGCGAAGGCGAACGGGTCGATCGACGCGAAGGACTCGTACGCCAACTCGTTCAAGTCACCCCGCGCCAACGGTCACGCCCTTCCCGAAGAGGTCAGCCCGAATCCATCCTCCAACGGCAGCTCGATGCCCACGGCGACGTCGCTGTCCGTATTGTTCAGCGGGTTCAACACCGCGCCATCGCCACAAGCTGGGTCTGCATCCCTGAACGGCCACGAGTCGACCAGCCCTTACAGCGCCAAGAGCCGGGAACTGTCCGTCAACGGAGAGCGCTCGTCCGAACACAGCAAGAGCCCGATGTCGACGATGAGCGACCAGCCGCTGCCCGAGATGCGCACCGTACCACAGTCTGACGACGAGGGCGCGCCGCGAGACACGCCAACGGGTCGCTCGACGCAACGCCAGTCGGTGCTCATGAGCATGAACCCACAGCAGATGAAGCGCGTGTCGCTGGCGCTGCTCGAGATCGAGACGCACCTCGGACGACAGCTGTCGCGGTCGGACGAGGAGCAGACAGAGGTTAATCTGAACGACAATGACGAGGAGCGCGAGGAGATTTTGGACGGGGACGACGAAAATGAGGACGACAGGGACAGGGTCCACTCACCCGTCCGCGGGCAGCAGCAGGGACACCATGCACAGCAGCCAGTCACAGACGTTCCGTCCCAGCCCGCCCAAGCACTGCCAACACAACAGCCGCAACAACCGCAACAACAGTCTCAACCACCGGCTATGCTTGACCGCCAAAACTCGACAGCGTCCACGACCTCGTCCGTGTTCCCGTTCACGGCGTCGCCGGCCTCGAGCGCCCACGTGTCGCGTGTCGGAACGAGCGAAACCCGCGCGAGCATCATCACTAACGACGCCAGCGGCAGCGGCAACGGCAACGGCAACAACGGAGACGCCACTCCTACAATTGGATCCCTGCCGTCATCTCCCCGCACGCTCGATTTCCAGCGCCATCTCTCGTCACATTCGTCCCATGCGTCCCATGGCTCACAGTCACAATCTCAGTCGCATCAAACTTCTTCATCGCACTCTCCACAATACACGCACAACCCCATGCCCTCGACCTCGTCCGTCGGCACAGAGATCGACAACAACAACCCGGACCTCATCCCCCAGCCCGTGCTCAAGCCCTACCGCCCCCAGCCCGTCCGTGCTACCCCGACCCCTGTGCTTGGTGCTTCGAGCGGTTACGTTCCGGGGCAGCCTCGCCCCGTCGGGCGCGCCAACGGCGGCAACTCGATCTCGTCCATCGCGTCGTCGGCGGCGCCGCTCGGCCTCACCTCGCCCATCAGCTCCCCCGTCGCCCTGAGCCGGACAAGCCACGACGGCCCTGCCCGAGCACCCGCTAGCGGCCAGCAATTGTCCCGCGCGATCTCGACGCATTCCACCCACTCGCAGCAGTCGACACGACCGCGGCCAACGTCCAACACTCGCGGCTACGTTCCGCCTCCAGGCGCTCTCGCATCGCGTCAACACCCCGGCCATGCGCAGAACCACTCGATTCACAGCTTGACCGAGAGCATCGGCGCCGCGTCTGTCTCCCCGCACCTTGGAAAACAGAAACTCACCCCCGAGCCCAACGGCCATGCGACCGAGTACCTCGACGAGTCGGAGAGCAGCGAGCCCGAGCGCCGACCCGAATCGCACGCCCGCTCAGTGCCGTCGGTGCCGTCTACGGTCCGCTCGTCGGCCCAGAATCTCAGCCCGCCGAACGCCTCTGACGCCGAGGACCTGACGCCGCCGCCATCACTTGCCGAGCTCGCCGCGCCATCGTCTGTCCGCTCGTACGGGCGCACAGCGTCAATGAATTCGTTCTCCTCGACGTTCAACAACTCGCCCGACCTCGACAGTAACTCGCCGTGGGACGCGATCGTGAATGCGGAAAAGTCGCCTCTCGACAGCATGCAGTACTGGGCCCAGTCGGAGCAGGACCGCAACCAGCTCGACCTCCTCAAGTCCATCAGCGGCATGGGCAAGGAGGACCTGGCGCTGATCCAGGGCCAGCTCGTCGAAAAGGCCAAGGCCGACGGTGCCGACGGCGAGTCGCCCATCACTGAGCCTTCGACGGAGTCCTTGCCTTGGACGCCATACGGTGGGCCGAACATTGACGACTCGACGGAGCACATTCCCATCCCGCCGAGCTTCATGAACGTCACGGACCTGCCGAAGGGCCCGCCGCCACCGCGTCCCCCGCCGCCGTCCGAATCACCTGCCATCTCGATCCCGACATCTCCGCCTTCGTCGGCTGCTCACGGCCGCAACCCGTCGTCGCAGGTGCAGTCGCCGATCGACATGGGCGGATCGATCTCGAGCCGCAACTTTGAGTTTGTCGGGCCCGTGACGAGCCGCAAGGGATCGCAGACGTCGCCGAACGATGTTAGCGGGTCTATCTCTGGCCACGAGCGGATGGTCTCCAACGCCATGACCGAGTCTGAAGCTGGCCACGGCGGCGATCACACGCGCAATGTGTCCAACAGCCGGAAGTGGCTCGATGACGACCCGACCAAGCGGCGCGACATCGAGGAGCGTATCCGTGGCGCGACGACGGACCTGTTCCGCGCACCCTCGCGCAGCGCACACAAGCGGCATCTGTCGAAGAAGCAGATTCGGGCCATCGGCGATCCGACGCTGCTCTCGACCTCGCACAACGTGCCGTGTACGCCGATCGTGTCGACGCTCAAGCCCGAGGACAAGGCCAAGCCGCTAAAGAAGGAGAAGAGCATGCGTTGGCGCAAGCTGAGCAGCTTTGGCGGGAAGAAGTCGAGTGTGTCGGACATGCCACCGCCGCCGAACCCGATTCCGAAGTTGCAGCCGGCCAACGCGTCGCCGACGCCTTCGCCGACGCAGGTCGTGCAGCTCAAGTCGAAACACGAGATCATGAAGGCGCAGCAGCGTGCCAAGACTGCGGACTCGGTGTCGCCCGACTTGACCGAGTTCAAGTTCCCCCGTGCGCCGAGCACGACGCCGAACGGCCAGGCGAACGGACAAACGTCGCCCTCGCCCTCGGCCAAGAAGGAGGCAAAGCCGCTGCCCACTCACGAGCGGACGGCGTCGACCGCGCAGTCAGCGTCGGTGCACGATCGCTCCGCATCGTCGAGCACGCAGCTGACGCAGATGACGCAGCGCACGACGACGTCCAAGCGCTCTCCGACGGCGAAGATCCGCTCAGGCTCGACGTCGTCTGCCAAGGTCCGCTCCCCCTCGTCATCGATCAGCCAGCAGACACCTCCCGCGACGCGTGCGCCGTCGGCGGCACAGCGTTTCCCGGCCACGCCGAACGATTTCGCCCCGGTCGACGACACAGAGGACGACACGATGCGCCCGTACTCGCGCCAGCGGGGCCACAGCCGTCAAGCGTCCGACGCCTCGGTCGCGATCTCGACGTTCATGGAGGCCGGTCGCAGTCTCGGTATCGAAGAGAACCGGCTTAGCCACATGCTCGCTCAGACCGGGTACGAGCGTCCGGGCACGGGCATGTCGATGCGCTCGCGCACGCACTCGAGGAGCAACACGCCGTCCTTCTCCATGCACTCGCCGCCAATGTCCCCCGGCATCACTGGGTCCAGGTTTGGCAGCATGAGTTCTGCGGCCAACGGGCCCTGGAGGATCCCTTCGCCTGTGGCCGAGGACAAGGAGCGCGACACGCCGCAAGTCGTGCGGCGCACGATCGTGGTCCCAGACGACGGCGAGTCGCACCGCGGCGACTCGTTCCGCCAGTCAAGGTATGACTCGATGTATCGCCCGTCGATGGACTCGTACCGCCGCAACGACTCGGTGTATCGTCCCTCGATGGACTCGTACCGGCCTTCTCTGGACCTGCGCCCGTCCACCCCGCCGCTGCAGCTGCAGCGCGCCGAGACGAACCAGTCGGCGCACTCCGTCTCTCCGGGCAGGCCAGGAATGGTGCGCGGCAACTCGATCCGGCGCAAGCCCGTGCAGTGGGCGAGTGGGGACCAGGAGCTGATCTCGAACTCTCCTCGGGGCCCAGGCCACGGGCGCCAGCTCTCCGAGGCCAGCGAGGCAGAGGAGGAACTCCACTTCCCCCCGCCCATAAACTTCAACGACAGCACGCGCAGCGCCCGCTCGTCCATGGGCCCCTCGGTCAACGGGAGCATCTACGACTATTACTCTGGCGACCGGGACAGTGTGCGGGACAGCGTCGCCGGCGGCAGTATCGCCGGCGGCAGCATGGTCGGTCCGCGCGCGTCCCAAGCAGTCGAGATTACGGAGTACAGCGACGGGCGCGTGATCTGGAACGTGGTCAACGCGCCGCGCAACGGGGACGACCAGCGCAGCTCGGTGCTCTCTGCGTCGGAATCGCAGGCCTCGGAGTCGAGGACCGCGACCTGCCGTGGCGCGTCGGCCCGACCGAGCGGCTGGACTGGATGCGGCCCGAGACGCGCGTGTACTACACCTCGTCCGCGGACGTGGGCGACCTCATCGACCAGCTGAGCTCGGACCTGGCGGGCGCATCCAGGGGCCGGATCGACATCCGACCCAGCAGTCCGAGGGAGTACGGCGCCGATCTGGAACCCGTGCCGTCCCCTGCTGGACTACCCTTGGCTTACGCCAACAGTCCGCTCAAGGGGAGCAGTCTCAGGTACCCCGTGCCCGATGCGGGAGAGCGCGTGTCCTACGGCACGAGCGAGGAGGGCGAGAAGACCGTCGAGGACCGTCTGCAGGCGCTTATGGACCGGCTGAAGGCGGCGCCGGGGGGTGTGGGGCGCGCGCCCTCCCGGACGGCAGTGTGAGCGGAGCGAGTGTGAGTGTCGCTTGTGGGCGCTACGGCGCTACGGCGCTGCACATGGAGAACGACGGAGGAGACGGAGGAAGGTTATGGACACTATCATGGCGATGATCTATGATCTCTTAATGCGGTAGATATTTATTCTGTATGTAAAACTGTATGCCCCTAAAAATGCCGCAACATGATTTTATCGACACTGGGCTGCTGCTTGCTGCTTCGACTACCTCTGCAGGATCACAATGCATTTCTGATAAACTTGTAACGTAGCAAAAACAATATTCTATGCCTAGCAATGCGGCATTGCTCTATCCAAACCATCCAAACCATGGGCCGGACTGCTCATCCATCTCTATGCTAGCCGGCTGGCACGAGCCTCACGCCTCACCGCCCCTGCTCGCTCGATCCACCATCACCTCTGTTTTTGCCTTCGGCTTTGCCTTCGGCTTCGCGCTTCGCGCTTCAGCCTGCGCTTCAGCCTTCAGCCTGCGGCCTGCGGCCTGCGGCCTAGACGCTTTGTTTAAAACGGCACCCGTGCCATCTCGCCCGTGGCCAAAATGTCGTCGTCAAAGATATCGTCGTCCTCGTCATAGTTGTAGTTCTCGGGCTCGCTCCGCTCGCTCCGCTCCTTGGTGCCCGTCACGCTTCCCTCTGTGCTTTGGCGGCCATCGCGGCCGTCCTCGAGCCAACTCTCCGGGAACGCGGCGCCGTCGTCAAAGCTTCCCGGCATGCTGGCCGGAGAGGAGGGGCGGCGGATGTGCCGCTTCCAGTCCTCCTCAGCGTCCTCCTCTGCCTCGTCGGCGGAGGACAGGTCCGTCGATGTGATGGCCGGCCCGATGAGGGGACTCGAGGGACGGGTCGAGGGGTTGGAGGTCGGCGAGGCCGGGCGCGGCGTGCTGTCGGCCCTACTTGAGCGGCGGCCGAGACCGGCCAGACGGCCAATGTACGACAGGCCTGAGCGGGCGCTCCCGTCCGAGCGGGCAGAGAGCGCAGGTGACGGCGGGCTGAGGTCGGGCAGCTGGATATCCGGCAGCGGGTCGCGCCAGTAGTTGAAGTCTGTGTATTCCGGCTTGGCCTTGGTCTTGACGGGAGGGAAGACCTCGTTGACGAGGTCGTTGAGGCCGACGTAGCTCCCCTTGTGTGCTGATTGGAGGAGCTCCGTCTTGATGATGCCCGTCGAGTCGATCGTGTAAATCTTGCCGCTCCCTATGCCTACGGAACGATAGCTCATCGCGTCCGTGATTCGGTTGCCAAAGCCGGCGAAGAAGGCGTCCTTCGCGTGCGGGCCGAAGAGGCGCTGGATGTCGCGCAGACACGCCATCTTGAACAGCTCGGGCTTGCGCAGGATCACCTCCCGGTGCAAGCTCGCCATGAGCCGGTCGGGGCTCATGATCACCGGCCCCTCGGGCATGCGGTAGTCGCCCTGCACGATCGTCTTGAGGTACTCGCGCGTACTGTCTGCCTGTCCGATGGCACGGGCGGTGAGGTAGATGATCTTGTACCCATTGTTGCAGATGTCGGTGTACAGGTTGGCAATGCCGATGTGCGTCCAGTCGCGCCCGATCGCGGCAAAGACGTGGCCCAGGGCGTCGGATCTGCATGTCAGCTTGGCGAAACCCACAGAAAGCTCTGCTCACTTCGTAATCGTCCCGTCAATGTCGGAGATGACGATCTGGTCCGTGTCCTCCCACAGGAAGATGCGCGCGGACACGACAGCGAAACCAGAGTACGAGCTCGTGACGGAGAACTGGATCGTGTTCGGCCCAGGCTTGAGGTTGAGCTGCTTCAGCTGGTCCGACGACAGACGGAGCGTCTTGGCATAGTGCTTCCCGTCGTCGGGCTGCTGCTCCGACTCGGTGTCGCTCTTCGGCTCGCCCTCGTCCTTCTTCTCCTCCTTGCTCTCCTTCTCCTTGTCCTTATCCAACACGGCCTGCGCACTGACAGTCCGCGAAATGGCGGGCTCGGGCGAGGCAGGCTCCTCCGTCCCACGGCGCCACCACCGACTCCACCCATATCCCCCCTGCCGCTTGGGCTCGGGCTGCTTGCGCTCCGTATTCTTCAGCGAGCGGCGGTAGATACTGAGAGCGAAGAGGAGGTGGTACGCCGTCTTCCACGTAAAGTACTTGCCGTCAAAGTAGACCGTGAGGCGGGGATCGTCGGCGATGCTGGCGTCGGCCATGAAGCGCTCAAAGCTGACGCGTGCATCGACGAATTCATGCACCTCGTCATCGGTCGCTTCCCCGAACGGCGCAAAATTCTCGTCCCCGCACAAACTCAGCTCGAAAAGGTGCTCCCGCCCGTCGAGCGAGAGCGCAAACGTCCACGGATCCTCCTCCACGCTGTGCAGGTGCGCGCGGGGCACGAGGGTTGCGCCATCGGCCGGCGCAACGGGTAGGGACTCGGAGCGGTGCGCAGACGGGCGCACGTCCGCCTCTTCGCCCTCCGGAATCTTGCCCCAGTCCCAGGCATAGTCCATCTGCGAGTTGGCCGCGCCGGTTGGCGACGTCGGGCGGCGCACGTCGGGCGGCTCGGACGCCCCCCGGTCGAATCGGCTCCTAGCCGGGGACTCGGGGCGAAGCAGGGGCGGGGATCGCGGGCGCTCGCCCTCGAGCGACAGCGCGGCCATGGACGCGGGGAGATCGCCGCCGTCGCTCGCCATCAGGTCGTCGACGAGCGCCTCGACCTGCTCGTTTGTCACGCTGTCGGGCTGGGGACGCCAGGGCGGCGAGTTGGGCACGACGGGCGAGCTGGGCCGGGCGTCGGGCGTGTCTCCCGGGGCGCCGCCGGCTTCCAAGTTGGCGTCACCGTCCGACTCGTGCCCCTTTGCGCCGTCCGGCTTGGGTGACGACGACAGCGACCGCCGCTTGCTCAGCTTCTCCTTGTCGTCCCCGTGGAACCCGTCCATGTCGAGCACAATGTCCTTGCCGTACTTGACGTCGGGGCCGTCATGGGCGCCCTTCGGCACCTTGGGCAGCTTCATGTCCTCGTGGTCCGAATGCATCAGGTTCAGGCGGTAGTCGCGGATAGGCAGCGTCGTGTCCTCGCCCGGCTTGGCCTCGAGCGGGTTCGGTGGCTGGTTGTCCTTGCTAACGGTGGAGGAGTGGCGGCGGTGCCGCGCCGAGCCCGGTTTCGGCGGCGCGCCGTTCAGAGGCGAGATCGCCGAATCGTCCTCGCTCTCGTGCCCGTCGTGGCTCTTCAGCGAGTCGCGCTCGACGCCCGAGTCCATCGAGTCGTTCAGGTCCAGTGGCTCGACCTCCTCGAGTTGCGTACCTGTGTCGCCGTGTCCTTCGTGGCTGACCTGCTGCTCCGTCGCGCCAAACGGCTGCTTTGTGATCGACGAGGAGGCGATCTCGGCGGGCTCCACTTTCGGCGTGTGGCCGAGGTGCTCGTCCTCAGCCTGCACGTTAGCGCAAGGTTGGGCCGCAGAGATCAATACCGCGACCACTGCCTATCGGCAGTGCTCGCTCACACTTACATCCGTAGCCATAACCACAGGACTCGTCATAAGTTCCTCCGGCACCTCCTCCTCCGTCTCGAGGACGAAGAACGCCTCCCCCGTCTCGCCAACCTTCATGCTGAACGGCGCAACATGCGGCGGCGGCAGATTATTCGGCAACCGCAGCGTGACGCGCTTCTCGCCCGCGCGCAGGACCTGCAGTTTGCCGAATCGGACGTGGAAGGGGGAGCAGTTCAGGATCTCCTCGCCGGTCTGTCGTTAGTGGAAGGTCGTGGGGCGTTGTGAGAGAAGGAGGGGGCGGAGGGAATGGAGGGAATGAAGGATCTGGGCTATGGCGCTCTGAGCCGAAGGAGAGGAGCGCTTGAGGACTTACCTCCTCATCATGCGTCTTGACGACGATGATATCAATAGCGCCGGACAGAGTGGCGGGGTTGATCCCCGAATCTTGTCGTCAGCTCCATCAAGGTTTGGACAGCTCACAGTAGTTGTACGCTCTGGAGAGGTACTGCATGATGCCCTCCTTGCTCCTGCCGGTTGATGGGCGCTACAGACAGCGGGCGGTCGGCGGTGTGCGTGATGGCGGACCGTCGAGTGCCGGAGCGACAGACGGAGGGACAGACGGAGGGACAGACGGAGGGGAGAAAGGTGGGAGGAGAGAAGAGGGGAGTGTGAGAGAGTGTGAGTGTGAGTGAGAGCGGACTGATGAAAGGCACCGAGCGAACGTGCCCGGGAGTCGGGTGGTGCGAGTCGTCCTGCCGGTCACAGCGGTCACAGTCGTGGCGGGGTATACAGGCGAGCTTTCGAGCTCAAACCCAATATCGTCGAGCCGTGCCGCTCTCTAGTTTGGTGATAGACGATGAAATGTGGAAGTGCACCGAAGTAAAAGTGTCAAGATGAGAAGCCACCCAAGGACGGCAAGGACGGACTGATTGTCCATCCATGCACGCACTGAGCAGCGGTCGGTCACTACTACCCGCGTCGGCACACGGTGTGATAACGTCAGTGGCACAAAGAGGGGGCCCGGTTAAGGCGGACACCGACCGGAGCCCGCTTACACTTCAGTTTACCGTCAAGACTCCCAACCCTGGTCCATGAGCCGATACTGGAAGCTAACGCTGACCCACTCCGACTCGGCTCTCGGTCGTCTTATGCATAACCCCCTTCCCTTACAGCACCCTCAGCACATACTCGCCGTTCATGCAGCCGGGAGGAACAACTCGCGGCTCGCCACGCGCTACGCGCTACGCTCGCCGTACTTGTCACAGATTATCCATCGCTTTAATAATCCCTTTACACTAGTGCAAAAATAAAATGTCTGCCGTGCAGCTGTGCACTCTACACACTACAGTACAACGGTTTGTTCGCCGATTGGCGATGCGGTGGGGGATGGGTTCGTTTAGGTGGTGCTTTGGTTAGGGGGAGAGGGAGGGTGAGGTAGGAGAGTAGATGGAGAGGGGAGGTAGGAAAGGGAGGGAGGGGGAAGGAGGAGTAAGGATAGATGATAGCAGGGTTGATTTTTAGATGTCGCTGGCGTATGTTGGAAGGAGTCATTGATCTGTAGGGAGCTCCGCATCGCCCCGTCTCGCTGCGCTCGGCTCTGCTCAGATCTGCGAAGCAACGGGCTCCTGTATCGGCTCAAGGAAGGAGCACATGGCGATCCCATACCGCCCGTCCTCGGCGCGGCAGACGACCGCGCCGTCATTCTCGACCCCGAGATGCGCATAGGGAAAGTTGGGGAGGACAGCGACACGGCCAATCTCATGGCGCACCTCTACCTCGTGCCCCACCTCGAGCGTGAGGAAGGGCAGGCCCATGAATTTGCGGTCGCCCAGCTGTTTCGGGTCGAATTCGGCCACGACGGCGCACGCATAGTTGATCCCTGTTGCGGCCCAGGGGTCGCCGTCGACGTCCGTCACGCTCGACCGGGGGCTGGAGGAGGATGTCGCTGGCGCCAGGTCTGTTGGCGTGTTCTCCATGGGAGAGTCGACCTGCGCATCGTCCAGGACGGCGCGGTACGGCTTGCCGCCCATGCCGAAGCTGTCAAAGAGGAGCGGAGTGCTCTCGGTGTGGATCCGGGGGAGGCCGAAGGAGAGGCGAGAGGCGATTTCCTCCGCAGTTGAGTCGTGCGAGAGCGTCTTCTCCAGCTGGGACTGGTGCGAGCGCGGCGACAGCGAGAGGCGCGAGTCCTGCGTCAGCGCCGAGGTCTGCGACCGTTGCGAGTCGCCACTCTGCTGCGACTGCTGCGACTGCTGTGTGTGCGACGAGAGGCGGTCCTCGGACGTCGCGACCGAGAGCGTGTGCTCGTTCGCCTTGCGCTCCATGAATCCCTCGGGCATGGGCGGGCGCAGGCTGCGATGGCCCTTCTTCGCGCTCCCGTTGCGCTGGCTGTTGCGCCGGATAAGCGATGCGAACCGCGACGAGCTCTCCGAGTCGGATACGGCTGTGGATTGCCCGCTGAGGGAGCGCGATCGGCGCCGGTTCGCGCGCTCGTCGCCCGAGTCCGACGTGTGCTCCGCCCGCGACTCGGAGCGCAGCTGCTCCGTCCGTGACTCGGCGCGCATGCCGTTGCGCGACTCGCTGCCTGCTCGAGACTCGTTGCGCGACTTTGGCCGGGTGATGAACGACGGCGCATGTCGCAGATTCGGGGAGCGCAGCTCGGTACGACTCGTCGACCGGCTGCCGGGACCTCTACGCGACTCGCTTCCTTCACTATGCCGCACTGAGAGTTAGTCACGCAGGTCACATCTAACTCACTGAAATCCGCGCTGGTTGTTAAAAGCCCCTTTGCAATGTTATTGGGGGCCAAGAACTTGTCCAGCCATGCCTTGTGGATACCGCGGGCTGTCGAAATGTCAATCGGGACCTCTTGAATCTCACCAGTCTCAGTGAGCCTACTCTCGGTAGGCTCGCTGAGGAACTGGGTCGTGAATGCGCGCGTAATGTCGCGCATGTTGCCATAGTACCGCGTCTGCGCCATCGTCAGGGCGCACACTGCGACCTCGAAAATCTTCGAGTAACTCTCCAAGAAGACGGGGAGCTCCTCGAGAAGCTGCGTGTGGATCGCGACATAGTCGGTTGCTTCCTGAATCATGAGGCGGTCAATCGACTTCTTTGCGTGTCGGTGCGCCTGGTACCGGGCGTAATCGGCAGACTTGCGGTTCAGCCGATCTATAATGGCCAGCGGATTGCGCGCAGCATCAATCATCTTGCCCAGCGTGGCGAGGACCGAGTTGTTGATGCGGTCATTCATCTCCTGCCAGATCGTGTTGATGCAGCTGTCGAGCACAGACTTGTACGCCGCGACCTTGGCTGCCCGGACATCGTTCATGACCCGTCCTTCAAGCGTGTACCAGCGCAACAAGTCGAGGTTGGTGTCGCGACCGTTGAGCAACAAGACCTTGTTCGAGTTGACCCATTCGACGACCTCACGAGTCATGCGGCGGACTTGCTTGTCACTGTTCTCGAGCTTTGAGACGAGCTCCTTAAGCTGCGCCTGCGCGTAGGGTGTGATCTCGGGTGGGCCACTATCGCCGCCAGCGCCGTTCAGCCTGTCCTTCTTGAAACGCCGCAGGTTCAAGAGTCGGCCGCCTGATCCGGCCTTGGGATCCTTGACGAGGCTGATCGTCGATTGCGACTTGCTCATGACGCTGCTGATAACGTCCTTTCGTCTCTTGGCCTCGTCAATCTCGAGCGCGAGCGTGCGCGCTCCTTCGGCCGCCTTCTGGATACAGTGGTAGTCGGGATGCGAGGGCGTCGTGCACGCCAAAAGATCCTCAAACAGCAGCGGGTACTTTGTGATTCGCTGCACGGGCTTGATCAACATCGAATCGAGGTTCCAGGCGTGCGTGTGCGACTTGACTTGTCCCCAGCAGTCGTTCAGGTACTGGGCGTATCCGGGGTCCTGCTGCAGCTCGAGTAATCGCTTGGACGCTGCAGCCTGACGTGAGCAGTAGAATGTGTACAGCGGGCGCAGGCGTGGGAGCTGCGGTCAGCCACTTTGTCTCACACAGTTGTGTGCTTACCATCTTCATGAAAACCTCGCCTAACCTGTCGCCGACACTGTCAACACCGGGCGTGCCAGGATCACTGTCCGCGTCCCCGATCGCTTGGTCAAACTCCTTTGCAAGCTCATCAGAGATGTACGCGAGCTCGTTGATGTTGAGGAAAACGGCCTTGATGTCCCAGGACGACAGCGGCTTGCCCGACTGCGGGTTCATTATACCGCCCAGTCTCGTGAAACCGTTGTTTGTCGATGCCGACGCCGGAGCCGACGAGTTGGCAGGCGACTGTACCGGCGGAGTGACCATTTGGAACGAGGACGACGATCCGCCAGCAGACGACTGGTACATGCCGTCCATGGAGCCATTGCCCTGGTGGTGCCCCTCCCGTTCCTTCGGGCTCTTCAGCACAGGCGACATGAGACCACTCCATGCTTGGGCCCATGCCGAATCCTGCCCACTCATCCGTCGCTCCTGGTGGTGTCGCTTGCCCTCGACCCGGCCGTGCTCGTCTGCGGCCAGACCGTAGGACGGCCGACGTGCGTGCCCGCGCTGGGGCTGGACAGCCTCGACACCTGGCGTGCTGGCACCCGGCGTGCTGGCGTTTGAGTCGGCCTCGACTGCTGTCGACCCTTGCGAAGACAGTCCTGAGTCAGTCCGCAGCACACGACCGACATAGGCGTCGGTGATTAACGCCAGATCGTTCGCATGCGTTCGTTCCGTGTGGGCGATCTCGCGAATCAGGTGCGCACGGCGAGACAGACTCGGTGAGATGGGCGACGGCAATGGCGAACCGGTAATGACCATGCTCTGTGGTCGTGGCGAGTGACCAGTCGTGTTGCTCCTGCCGTCCGGGCCAGGTCCGCGCATTCGAGGTCGAGGGACGAGATGGTCATGGGACTCGGTAGTCGTCTGGCTTGCCACTGATGCCGGCGACTCTTTGCGCACGAGGGTGGGCATCGAAGGCGATCGCGGTGGTGCCGTATTCTGCTGGGCATGCTGGGGGCGCGCAGGCGTCGTGGGTGTGCGTGGCGAGAGCGGCTGATTCGGGCTGGGCAGCGGCAGCTCGGGAAGCACCTTGCTGTGCACGTCGAGATTCAGCGGCGTAACGCGTGGGAGTGACGTTTGCTTCTTGAGCGTCGTGTGGGGGCAGTTGGTGGGCGAAGGACAAAGATCGCAGAGGGCGGTCGGGCTGCTGATGATTTCGTCGTCCAACGACTCGCGCTTGTCGTACATGGTCGCGTCCTCCATGATGCCGGCCTCGGATCGTCCCAGAAGGCTGTCGGTGGTGGAAACCGAAGTTGAGATGGTGGAAGCCGTAGAGGTGGACGCATCCAAGAAGCTGGTTGGGCGAGAAGCGCTCCCTCCCGAGCTGACGACCCAAATGTTCTGGTTTGAAGCTGGAGCCGATGGCGGTCCCGAGTCGTCGAACGGAATTGGCGACGCTAAGAGCGACGACGACAAATCTTTGGCGAACGGTTGTGCTGAACTTTCTGCAGGGTCCGAGCGCGCGGTGAGGGGAATGCCGCCGTACGTGTTCTGGACTGGAGCGAGGATGGCCGCTGCCAGCGCTTGCTGGGAGGGCACCGCAACCGAAGGCGACGTGCGGGGCTCGGACGAAGTTGACGACGCAGTGGTAACAGCACTGGGCTCTTCAGTAGTCGCACTGTCAGTTGTTTGGTTTGCTTCTTCGGCACGGGCCGTAGCTCCCGATGACTCGCTGGCCGGTGGTTGGCTTGAGGAACCTGAGGTTGAGGGATCCTGTTCAGGGAGCTGCAACGTCGTCGACACGTGGTGGACACTCGACGGGCGTTGAGGAACGGGCGGAATGTTGTCCGGCAGTTTGGGTACAGGCGGGACTGCACCAGTGTTCGTGCCAGAACGAAGCCTACCTGTTCGTGGACGAAGGGGACTCTTGGCCGGAATGATGGGAACGGCTGCCGGTGGCACGGCTGACGCTTGCGGGCCCGGAATGGGTGGAGGGCTGACGACACGAATATTGTGCGAGCTTGCGGGGGGAGGTGGGGGGTCGATGGTAAGCCCCGGTGACTTCCGGTCAGGACGTGGCGACGTTCGAGGCGCTCGCGGCGACTCGGATGCCTTGGCATTACGGCTGGAGTCGGGTGTCACCCTTCCGTTGGGGACGGGTGGTGTTGCTGCTGCGGGTGCAGGAACAGGCGTCGTTGGAGCTGGAACTGGCGCAACTTCTGGGGACCCGGGTGTCGCGGTCGAAGACACGGTTGAAACTGGACTCGTGGCCGCCTGATTCGAAGTAATCGGCAACGGGGGAACTTCTGTTTCAATCGGATCCGGGACCACGGTGGTTGTTGACCCTTGGGACGATGTGCTTGATCGGAGAGCAGCAGGGGGTTCCGGGGCGAGGCTGGTGGAGCGCGTCGGAGAGGTTGCGAGGGGAGGAAGGGGTGTCTGGGGAAGCGACTCGTTGCGCAACGGCAGGTTGAGCCCAACGGTATTGCTGCTCATTGGCGGGGAGAGGGGTGTTGTCGGCGAGTGTGGTGTGGTCGCTGTTCGCGGGGAGTGCGGTGACGGCTGGTCCTTTGGCGGTGTTGCTTGCGTGCCGACCTGCTGTTGGAAGCCATGACTTCGTGCAAGGGGGGAAGCGGGGAGGCTTGCAGACGAGAGCGACGAAGAGCGAGAAGGACGAGTTTCCCCGCGAGCGACACCGTTTGGGCGAGCAGGGCTATGATCGTCAACGTGCCGATGTCCATCGTCTACGTCAACCGAGGATGTCGAGGGCTGTCCAGGGGAGTGGGTCGCATCCGGTCGTCGGAACTGCGGTTCTGGCGGGGGGAACGTCGCATCAGCCCGCGCTGGCGGAGGCGGCGGCGGTGGTGGTGGGCTGGCGGGGCGCGAATCCGATGTTGCTCGTAATGACGCAGAGCGTAGAGGCAGGTCTTGATTGAACGCAGAACTGCCGTTTGGAAACCCAAATGCGGCGGGAGTACCGTTCGGTATCGGTGGAGAGGTAGGCAGTGGTGGATGATGCTGGGCAGAGAGCACGGCCGATGCTGCCGCCGACGACACGCGCGCTGGCGGCTTGACCGACATGGGGCGCGCACGGGGCGAAGGAGTCAAGTTTGAGGTGGGAATGTGTGACTTGCGCCGTCCCAAGGAAGACGAAGACTTTTGTCTTCTTGGGATCCCGCTGCTGGGCGAAGGCGACGACGTCGTGCTCGTGCCTGCAACACTTGCGAGCGGCGGTGCAGCCCCGGGCGGCAGTGGAGGTGGCATTGGTGGAGCATGCCCTTCTCGATGGTGCGTCCTTGCGGCACGCCTTCCCTCTGCAGAAGACGTCCGTCGCATGGCCGACGCAGACGAAGACGCGGGGGACGCACCCCTGCCGATACCAGCCCGCCCCGTGGCCGCCGTGCTGGAACTGGGTACAGGGGAAGGAGTTGGCGTGACAGAGCTGCTTACGTTGCCCGAACTTGAGCCTCCTCCTCCTCCTCTGAAAACAGGAATCGCAGTCGGAATCGAGGACGACGGGCTCGGTCCGTTCTTGGCGACGTACTGCGAGTAGCGCCTGGATGAGTGCGGGATTGCGGCCGACATGGACTTGCGTGCGAGCAGCTTGTTGTGGACCGGGACGGGGAGAGACGAGGGACTTTGGGCGGCAGGGAAGTGCGGCGGCGCTGGTCCTGGCGCATGAGTAGGCGCAGGGGCGTTGGACCTCTTGTCACCTGAGCTAGATGAGCGGCTCAGTGCATTCTCAACGGGAGACGGGGCAAGCTTTGGGATGCGTGAGATACTCGTGTTGAGCTTTGGGGATGATGGCGGGGTGGCGAAGGCGGTAGTGGATTGGGAAGAGCCCGAGCTGAGCCCGAGCTGCGACGAGAGTCGGACGGGTCGTCCGGCCCCGCGCCGGGCGTCGGCGACATTGCTTGTTAGGCGTGGGCTGTTGCTGGGTGTGTTGGTTGGAGGGAGATATGATGGATAAGAATGATGCCGGTCGGGAACGACGTCTGTGTGTTGGGGAGGGTCGCGCCCTGTGGGATGGGGTTCGGGGGGGCGGCAGTGTGTGGTGATCACGGGGGTAAGGCCATGTGTGTGGATGTGGATGGTGAGAGAGAAAATGATGATGGTGAGTAGTGTCGCGGCGAGTATGCGAGTAGTTGGTATAGATGGATTCGGACACGGTGTGTGAGTAAGGGTGCATCCAAGCATGGGAGTGTGGGCTGCAGTGGACAGTGGACACGGGCTAGCTAGTCCAGGAGAGGGCTAAGGGACGGACATCAGAGGCGAGACTCTGAGCTCTGTGGGTGATTACGCGGACGGGAAGGCGTCGACCCTCACTGAGCTCACCATACGAGTGTGTGCCTTGGTGCCTCATCCAAACCGGAGACAATTGACAACCTGGCATCCACTCAATCTTTATTCCCCGCCCTGTCTCACCATCCATCCCCTCCCCCTCGACCCCCTCACATGCTCACATCCACTCCTCGCTCCCTCCTTCTTAAGCTTCCATTCACACCTGAAATAATCAACGCGGACAAGCTTCATCACTCCAGTGCACAATCATCCACCCACCCACCCAAAAGTAGTCATCAGGCGTCGTCAGTCATCCATCCATCCCCTCTGCTATTCCAGTTCCAGGGCCCGGCCATGAGCGGCGAGGGAGGGAGGGAGGGCGATCGTCGGATCGCGAATCCCCTCCCCCCATTTCAGCCCATTCACTCCTGTCCCCTCCAGGCCCCGAAGCCGCGCGCCCCTCAGGGACCTGTCTCTCTCTGCCACTGACTGGCCCTGGCCATCCTCTCTTTACGTAACACATCACGCAACAAACAAACCGCCGCCTGCCTGTCTGCCCCTTCCGGCAAGTCTGTCCTGTTTCGCAAATACCGCGTGGCACAACCTTCTGTTCCGCCACGTGAGAACCACATTGCTGGAGCGGATGCTAAATGGCCACACACTCGAGATTGTTGCTTTCAAGCAGTTACGCAACTCGATCTCCTCTCGACCTCCACTCAGGCCATCATGGAGGACACGAAACCGACACAGGCGCAGCTCGCACAGCCGAGACCAGTCGAGAAGCACAGGAGGCGTGGAGCGGTGAGTACACGAGTGCAGCGGAGCTGTAGCAGTTCGACGACTGCTTCACCTTCCTCGCCATTGTCTTCGCCAGTGACCTTCCCCCATGACCTTCCCCAACATCACTCAGAGCTATCGAGCAGAACGACAGCTAACTCCAGGCGCAAGAAGAGGACGCGACCAAGCTCCAGTTTGGAGGTATGCTCGCTTCCCACGCTTAGCTGACAGCAGACTTTGCCGCGAACGGAGAAGCACTCACGCTCGCCGAGGTGAGGCAGCTGCTGAGCATCTCGAGGGACCAGGTGGGCGCTCCCCCCGCGCCGGATAACAAGTGAGTCGCTGCGCTCTGAGGCCCGCAGGGCCGAGAGAGCGTCGATGAATAGGAGTGGTGTGTCGTCGCTGTTAGACTCGATGACCGCTCCTCGTCTCTCAAATACAGGAGTACATCTCCTCTCCAGCATAAACCTTGCCCAGCCTTTCGCCGCTCGCCGCTCGCTGACGCCCCAGAGTCTACAAATCCACCATCACCTACGTCGACGAGTTTGCCAACATGGACGCCAGCCTGTGCGAGGGCATGCGCGGCGCGCTGATGGCGCGTCCAGGCTTCCTGAACAATTTTGAGATTGCCCAGATCATGCACCTGCGCCCGGAGCGCGTCGAGGTTGCTGTCGCGCTCATCCCGAGTCTGGAGCGGTACGCACAGGGCGACGAGAGCGAGGAGTATCTCGCGGGTTTGTTGGAGGAGGTGCGGACGATTGCGCGGTATGGAGCGGGTGTTTAGGCGAGCGCAGCGAGCCGTGTGTTTTGACGGAGGATGGAGAGGCGCGGCGAGTATGAGACTATGTGCAGAGTGATGGAGTGGGAGTATGAGAGAGAGTCATAGATGTACAATGTTTTTCTGCATGTTCTAGTGTTTCTAAGATCTAGTACTGGGGCAACTTGAGCACTCCTCCATCCTTATTCCACTCGGCCAGTTCCTCAGTAACTCGGACTTGACACCCAAGCCTGCTCTCGCCATCCCGATACTCGAGCGCAGTAAACAACATGTCCTCCTCCTCCTCACTCGGTTCCTGCACTGGTGCCTCCTCCCAAGTTGGTCGGAAGTGTAAGTGGCAAGTGGCGCATTCGCAATTCCCGCCACACGTCCCCTCCATACCGGGGAGATTGTTGAGTCTCGCAACTTCCAAGAGGGACGCGCCGAGGGGCGCGGAGACAGAGAGGGGCTTGTTGTCGAACGTGGTGAAGGTGAGCGGGACGGTTGGGGAGGAGGCGTATTTCAGGCGGGTGGAGGCCGTGTCGAGCCCGTCGAGACCGCTGAACTCGGAGTGGCCAGAGAGGGGGTCGAGCGTGTCGAAGGATAGGGGGTCGGAGAGTGGGTCGGAGGCCAAGCGGGCCGAGTTGCCCTTTGAGCGAGTGGTAGCCGTCGAGCCAGAAGAAGTCGGCGCACTCTTCGTTGAATCGAGCGAGTCGCCGTCCTCCTCCTCCTTCCTCTCGTTGGCCTTCTCTCTCGACTCTGTGGCGGACTCGGATTCGGCGACAATCCGGTCAACCCTCAGCCCAAGCTGCATCTGGACCAAGTCATTATACCCGATCCTTCCCCTCCAATGCTCCCACATCCCCTTCTCTTGCTCACCCCCGCTCTGAATGAAGCGCAGGAACTTGTCCGCATCGTCCGCAGAGAGATTGCTGAACATGTCCAAGCTGGGATACAGCAGCGCATTCGCCGCCCACTTGTGGCCCCCCACGTGGGCGATTTCGACGATCTCGAGATCCGCTAGCTCCGCCGCGTCAGCGGCGGTGTCGCTCTTGGAGTCCGCGGTGGCGTTGGAGTTGGAGTTGGAGGCAATAGCCGTGCGGAGCGAGTGCACGAGCGGTGTGCCGCGCTCAGAACAGCGGCAATCCCGCGCGCCGTGCGTGCACACCATGATCCTCTGCGTTGCCCGCACTCCCATCCCTGCTATCCAAGGTCCAGGCTGTTGGGCTGTGTACCGCGTCGCGTCCAGGAAGCTCGCCTCGTCCAGTGTCGCCTCGCTGAAATTCGTCCATTTGTAAACCCGTCCGTCCGGAAACACCAGTTCTGCAGGCAGACTCGTCACTCCCTTTAGATCTGTGGCAGTCCCCACCCCGTCATACACAACGTTCATCCCGATCTTGTGTGATTTTAGGGCAAACTGGACGCTCCCGAACAGGGGACACATGAGTTCGGCGTGGGAGGGCCAGGAAGTCGGCGGTACGGGGATGGAGAAGAGCAGTAGCGCGCGGCGATATGGCAGCCCCCTGTCTATCGGCTCGTATTCCACTGCAGGTTTGAAGTTGGGCGGGTTCTCTGATCCTGGGTTTGTGGGGACTGCGATTGGCGTTCTGCTCCTAGACGGACTCGTCGATAGATTTCTGGACGGGGAGAGGCTGCATCGAGATCGAGTGCCGGATAGGCGGGCGGAGTGCGCGAGAGTCGTAGCCGATACGCGCGCGCTGGAGACGCTGGAGACGCTGGAGACGCTGGAGCAGCGCCAAGCGCGCTGGGGCAGTTGTCGCAGAATCATCATCGTTGGTGGAATGGGCGACGCCGAAATCAGACTTTTATCTCGGCTCGGCCATGACGCACCCCCGTTCACCTCCACCGCTGAGTCCGCCGAGCCTTTGCCGATGCAGCCGAGTCCTGTTCTGCGGCCAACCATCTGGCGTCGATTTGCCCGCTGACTGACTCGCCGCCGCACTCAGAGCGAGACAGCGTGGACCATAGACCAAAAGCACCATGCATTTGCTAACAGACTGGTACATTACAATTATTGCGTCGCCTAACTCGTAAAAAAGTGATTGGTGTCTCTATCCTAACCCTCGGGAGACCCCTCCTCCCAAACTCTCGCTCTGCACACCCTTCTCCTACTCCAGGAAATGTCTCTCGTCCATATTCGTAAGACTGGTCATCCCGGGCCATGACCCAGTCGATTAGGCTATATGGTCGAGGACCAGGGTTCGCTCCGCTTACAGCTCGCTCTGGTCGCTCTGCTCGCGGCTCGCTGCGCTCGCCACTCACGGCATCACCGGGGGCCGCTCGGTGGGAATAAAGCTCCACACGGTGCCCATGCCCATGAGAATCGTGGAGACAAAGAGCACCACGTAGTGGAAGTATCGCCACGCCCTGTCGCCGGCCGTCTCGGGCGACTTGAGCATGCGGGGTCCGAGACGGAGCCAGAAGCCAAGCTGTCCGTTAGCACTACTCCCTTCCTTCACTGCGCACGTCGCACTTCGTGCTCTGAGCTCCGTACTCACCGGAAGAATAATGCAGATCAGGAAGGCCGAGAAACTGCCCAGGAACGCGAGCACCTGTCCGAAACCGGGCAGGAGGACCGCCGTCGCCACACACGTCACCGTGATCGCGATACGGCACGCGATGCGGCCGATACCCTTCCGGCCCTCTGCCGCTCCGTCCGGCTCCGCCACGGGCAAGGGCGATTTGGGCCTCTCTCCGATGGTAGAGTCGTCCTCGCCCAGATAGTCCGACACGCCCGCGGTCGAGAACACACTGATCGCCGACTCCATTGCGCCCGTGATGCTGTGCCTCCTAGGCCGCAGCAGGGGGGAGCGCAGGTGCTCCCCGCTGTAGCGCTCGCTGCGGGCGTACTCGGTGCTGGTGCGGCCTTCACGCTCCGCCTCGTGCTCCGCTTCACGCTGCGCAACGACCGCAGGCGCAGGAGCCAGGTTCAGGAATCCCTCGACCGCGACGTTAAGTGGGCGAGAGCACAGGCCAAACTTTGTCAGTGGGGTCACGACGATCATCCACACGGCGACCATGTTAAGAGCGCGGGGATAGCCGTAGTACGGGTCGAGCATCTCGCGCGTGATCTCGTCAGACACAACGTCGCCAATCATGAGATAGCCGGCCGCGCCGGAGATGAACGAGATGGCCGCGGCGATGAACTGGAGTTAGCTTCGTGCCAAAGGCCGTGCAGCTGAGACGAGGCTGTCACTCACGAAAGCAATGTTGAAAATACGGTCACAGCTCTCGGGCTTCTTCATGTCTCTCGCGACGGACGGGATGACAGCGTGCCCTCCAAATCCAGCAAGAACCAGGCCGATACTACCAAGCCAGTTGAGCTGGTACATCTCCGGTCCCATGCGCGTCGGGGCCGGGTCGAGGATGGAGCCAGGCGCCTTGGTCTTCCAGAACCCATCAAACACGACGATGCCGACCAGCACGACCGTGGCGAGGGTGGACATGACGGAGGGAATGGACAGCATGCGCAGCGGCATGAACACGGTAGGGAGGATGAGGAAGAAGCCGATCAGCTTGTAGGTGTCGCTTGAGAGGCGGGGGATCACAATCTCCATCGAGTCGCCGAACAGGACGACGAGCGCGACAGAGAGACCGAAGAGCTCGAGGCAGAACCTGTCGTTAGCTATCAGCAATCCACCGCAAGCTTAAGTCCACTTACAGTCCGTTGACGACTGCTCCGGCCCACGGGCCGAATGCCTTGCGCCCGATATCCGTGTATCCCGTGAGGAGCGGGTCGGAGAACATCATGCGTGCGAGGAGCTTCGCGCTGCGTTGTCAGCTTCATATCCGGCTGCTAACAGCTGCGCCCGCAACAGAAGCCAAACTCACGTGTGACAAGTCAAATACGAGAACGCAATCAGCATGAGCGTCCCTCCAATCCAGCCCGCAAAGGAGAACGCGAGAGGCATGGACAGCAGTCCAATACCAACGAGCACAGCACACGCGTTGAACAGCTGGTCGTCAGTTCTTTCCCATCCTTGCGCAACTCACAGTCTGCCCGTCGCTCGACTCGCCGACGTGCTCCAGCTGCTTGCTCCTCCGGCGCACGACACTCCCCCGCCTGCCAGCAATGCTACTGCGGCGAGACGAGACGGTCGGCGACAAGTGCCCATTGACCCAACGCTTCGGCGTTGAGCGGGAGGGTCGTCGCGGCGAGGGCTGCGCCTTCAGCAGCGGCGTGCTCTCCGTCGGCCGCTCAGCGGGGAGAGGCGCATTGTCCGCTGGCGGGGTGCGGTCCTTGTCCTTGTTGGCGTTTGCCGGCCCGGGGAAGGGATGCAGACCGAGCGATCCGCGCTGGGCATGGTAGCGGTTACCAGTGTAAGTCTGGGGGCTTGTCGCCTCCACGTCGGGAAGCAGGCGGACTTTGATGCCTTTCACCGTCCGAATTTCGGTTCCAGACAGACATCTGCGAGCATGGGAGCAATACCGCGAAGACTGGACTCGACTAGCTTACGAGCATGCTTACGTCCATGCAGGCAGATGTCCGTCCCCGATGAGAAAAACTCCCCGACAACCTGATCTTGGCGAGAGATCTGTCTTCCGTCTGTAGCCGTCGCTGTTGCTGACACTTCAGCCGGCGGGACGCTGGGTCCATTGACTGACCCTGCGCCGCTGACGCCTGTGACGCCGATCACTTCGGCGCCCTCGGCGTGAGTCGAGCCCCAGCGGCCCAAGTCCGGTCTAAAGACCGGCATAATCTTCTTCCTCATCTACTTTGCCTTCTACACGACGCTCTTCCGATCTCATTGTCCGCTGGCGGGGTGCGGTCCTTGTCCTTGTTGGCGTTTGCCGGCCCGGGGAAGGGATGCAGACCGAGCGATCCGCGCTGGGCATGGTAGCGGTTACCAGTGTAAGTCTGGGGGCTTGTCGCCTCCACGTCGGGAAGCAGGCGGACTGGCGGGCGGGGCGTCTGGGACCCGTTCGAGCCAACGCTGGACGAGAGAACTGGCGGAGTCGTGGAAAAGAGGCTCATGATACCACCCCTCTTTGCTGGTAGGAGTGGTGTCGCGAGCGGCGTCGACTTTGGTGAAATCTCCTCCTCCCTCTCCGTCACCGTCGAGAGCGCGAGCGCGCCACCCGCTGGTCCCATGGAGCGCTCCTGCGACTGGCGCACTGGGTCAGTGGGGAAGAACACCTCGCTGGTGGCGCTGTCGTCGTGTTCGTCGCCGCTCCACGCCGACTCGGTGTCGTACTCGCCCGGCGTGCCCGTGTCGGCGTCGCTGTCGTCGGCCGACCACTGGTAGTCGACAAAGGACGGTGCGGACGGTAAGCCGCCGTTGAAGCGTTGCTGTGATCGGGAGTCTGTAGGCATCAGTCGGGTGTCCTATGTCCAATAAGAGGGGTGTGAGGGAAAGAGAAACGGGTGAAGGAGGACGAGACGCGGTGGGAAGCTGCTGCGGTGGAAGATTTTGTTATTGATGGAAAGAAGCTACTCACAGCTGAAAACGAGCTCGAGGGATGAACGGACGACGCCGTCCTTCTTCTGACCTCTGGGCGCCTCGTTGGCGGGGATGGGGACGCTTGTCCTGACCATGGGAGGGTGTTGGTGAGTGAATCAGTCAAGAGAAGGAAGGACGTGAGATGCGATGTGGTGTGGGAGGGGTGGTCGATCGTCCCTCTGTTCGGGTGTGTAGTGCGGGGGGTAGCAGTTACGCGTCACGTGCGGGCGGCGATCGCTGGGCGTTGAACAGGTTACTCGGGTCGCGCCCATCGCAGTTGAGCAAGGCACCGAGCTTGATTCGCTTCCGTCTGTGTTGCCCAGGCTGTCCAGGCTGAGCCTGAAAAGCGCGGGGCCCAGGACGCCCCCGTGCGCCCCCTCAGGTGCCTCAGGTTCCTCAGCAGACGATCCCCCACGTCCCTTTGCCCCACGGCCAATCGGAGACGCACTCGCCGTGGCCATTCCGTTGCACAAGATAAGAGCCACCCAACGAGCTTAGCCGTACTATCTGCCGTATCTCTATTATGAAAAATCTGCATCAAGATAGCGCACGGCTGTTTGCGAATTCATGGGAATCAGACGGCTGTTCCAGCACTTCTAACACCCGAGTATCCCGATAGAACTGCTGCTGCACAGATGTACAACTTGTCCCAGGTTGTGCCGACAGAACAGCGAAAACGGATTGCTCGTCAGTTGGTCGATCGGCGCTGGCGTGCCAAGCAAAAGCAAGGCTCTGCAAGCTCCGGCCCCGCCCCCGGCCCAATCCCTACCAATCACCAGAAACGCAACCGGTGGGCTCGAAATACTAGTCGTACTACCCGATATTTTCCCGGCCCAACGGCCACCATAGGCTAACCGTGGCATGCCCATCGCACCGTCGTGCATGTGTACCGGTAGAGCCGGGTCAACCACCCCCTCAGCTTTGAGCCGCGTTTTACCGCCCCGAATTGTCACTGGCCCACAGAATGGATGAAAAGACATGCCGAAACTGCCGATTGGCTTTGAGACAGTGAAAAGTGAGCCGGAGGCGCATACGGCGGCACACGGCGGCGCACGGCGGCGCTCGGCGCGGCCGGAGCCACCGCGGACCTACCTGCTGTCGAGCTGTCACGTTTCTCATTCCCACTAAGTTTTGGTATGGCGTGCCGACACCTTTTGCGTCTTGCGTCTCGGAACAGGGCCTGAGTTCTCGGAACAGGGAGTCAGATACGGGGCACCGTGATGCATAGGGCGGCGTCCTCCGCCTCCGCTACATGGGGCTACATACTGCGACACAAGGTATGGAATGGACGTGGTGAAGAGGGGGTTACGGGCTGGAACATGCATTGGAGACACCGGTGCATGCGGCATTCCGCGTGACTTGCTCGAGAGCTTGGGTGACTGGCTCGATACGAGCCGAGCCAAGAATGACTTTGGTGGGCACGATGTGGGCTGAAGAAGATCGGCTCGTGGCCCCGCACAGACGAGCGAGCGTCTGACCGAGCTGTCCTGGGTGACTGACACAGGCCAGGTTCACTGGAATCACGCTCCCGACTCTCACTCACTCGCTCACTGACACAACTCATGCTTCCCCGACCAGGAAAGTCCGACGGCACTCTCTCGCATGCAAGAGTGAGAATGCATCGCCCTACTCAGGAGCTGAGGTGCAAAAAGAGTCGCGGTACGCTTCCCACCCTACTGACCCACAGCGTGGGGCGGACAAAGCCAGCGTTCGAGTGTGTCTCTACTGAATCCCCTTGGGAGCGGCCCGAATGGACCAGACTTCAAGACGGAAACGGCTGCACCACGGTGCTCTGGTTCTACACACTTGTTGGTTTGTGTTGCCGTGTGATGTGGAGGAGGGCGGGCAGCGGGAAAGCGCAATGTGGAGGAGGAGGGAGGTGTGTTGGGGACACTGTGGGAGGCCGAGGGAGCCTCATGAGTGAGTGTGGGTGGATCTGGAGGACCTCCCGGCGCCTTAAGGCTAGGAAGACAAAGAGGGCCGCGGGAAAGGAGGGGTCGAACGCAGGAGCTCTCGTTTGCCGTGGGAACCGAGGGAGTCGCACTGTGTGCGCGGCTGTGTGGTTGTGTGCAGTGCGGTGTGGGATACTGAGTGGACGTCGGTGGTGGAGATGCGATGGAGGGGTGGAGGCAGTGCTTGCGACATGACCTGCGCCTCGTCGCTGCTGACCCGATCAAGGGAGTCTGCGCGAGCGCTTACGGTGGTGCGGTCCTCCGCCGCCGCTCAGCCACGCGCATGCGCAGTCTCCGTGTCGCCGACGTTTCTCTGAGTCTGGGTCTCCTTGTTGCCGGTGTGCCAGGTTGATCATCATCGGCCTCAGCACGTTGCTCGGCGAAGGGTGAGGCCATGCCCGGCTCGGGAGGTGTGGCGCCAGTGCTCGGCTCTTCGCCGGTGACACGGGGCAGCAGCACCGTATGGAGCTGCGCGGTCGACACGGGGCTTGGGGAAGAGGTTTCGTCCGAGTAGTCGAGCTCGGGGAGCGCTGGTGACCGTTGTGTCGATGATGGGAAGTGCTCGCGTGAACCTTCAGGGCTCTCGACCCGCCGCTCTTCCGCGCGGAGCTGGGACATCTCGTCAGGCGAGACGACTTTCACCATGCAGCCCAGGTCTTCCAGAGCTGCTGTCAACACGGCCAGAACGAAATCGCCGTTCTCCGGGTTTGCGGCCCAGCGTTTGACGCTGAGGGGCCCGTGCTTCTCCTCCCTGAGCAGACTCGCGAGTAGCTCGGGGTCGGCATCGATGCTGGCCGCAAAGGACTCAGCGTCCGCGCCTAACGGTAAACTTTCGTTCGCTGCGTTCAAAGCCTGGAGGTCCTCAGGACCTAACTGGTCTGAGATGTCGAGGCCAGCAAGGGATCCTCCGAGGTCAAGGCTGAGTGCGTTGGCGTCGTCCGTACTGGCCGTCGTTGCGGTACGAGACTTGCTATGAGTCGACGCAGAGCCAGCGGCCGTCGAGGTGGACGTCGTGGTTTGCGAGCCCCCAGTCCTCGCTGTCCTCGCTGCTCTCTTGTTACACTGCCCTGTGCCGGCCGAACCGGAACTCCCAGACCCTCCCGCCCCGCCGTCATCCTTGTCGTGACGGTCTTCACCACCGGTCGAACAGCCATGCTCCTCCTTGGACTTCCTCGAGGTCTGATGCGTCGACACAGATCTGGCAGTGCGAACCACGGAGAGACGATCCTCCTCCTCAACGCTGAATGGGATGCGCGACCCGATCTGAGCCTCGTACTCGGCGACAGACCGGTTAGTGTGAGCGCCCAGCGCTACACGGTTGAGCGGCGTTGATGCGTCTCGGTGTGCCTGGTCGATTATGGCAGCTCGTATCCAGCCTTGGAACAGACCGAAGGCCTCTGCGTCGAGCTGGCCATCCTCTCTCAACAGGGAATGAGGGAAGCTTTCATGGCTCAGGTTGCTGAGCAGTTCGCGGACGCCGACGACCTTGCCGGTGCTCGACCAGTCAGCGACCTCGACTGCCACGAGCTTGGGACTGAGGACCAGCGTTGTCGCGAAGCGGATGCCTATGAGCGCGCAGTGCGAGGACTCGAACAGGCTATTGGCGTACGCAAGCGACTGCGCGATGCTAACGCGCGTCTGCTTATCGACCTGCATCTGGCGCATGAGGTTCTCGATGTCCTTCAGCGTGCCGTCTTGGGGAAGACAGGCTGACCAGTCGATGGGGCGAATGATACGCGCTGAATCTTCCAGAGCACTCGCACCCCGCTTCCGACCTTTCCGAACAGGTTTGCTCGCGCTCGCCGAGGTGTCGCTGCCGACGCGTTGGCGGGTTCGGCAGGTGGGCGCCCAGAGGGGTAACTTTGTTGGAAAGTGCGCTTTGAAGCTCTGCGGGGGACGCGTGTTGTTGAATGTACGCGTTACCCTTGAAGGCAGCCTTGGTGTAAGCTTACGCTAGACGTCAACACATACCTTCCTCGCGGCTTCGAAAGACCACAGAACGCGCCCAAGTCGAGTCTCAAGATGTCCCCTGGCCGTGCGCAAGCTCAAAGATCCTTGGCAGTTGGACGGCGGAATGTCCCATCTTTGGCAAATGCGCTGATCGGGTGGTGGTTGGTGGGAAAGCGTTGTCGATGGTTAATAGTGAGTGCGCCGCAGTTGACGACTGAGGAAGGCCACCCCGAGTGAATGATCCGCCGATGCAAACTTCCGCAGTCTCACTGCGCCCAAGCCAGTCAGCGATCGATGCGTGCGCGCGTGCAGGCCACTCCATCAGTATGTTAACAACCGCGAGCGCTTTGAAGTGTCTTGCCGCTGCCAACGGCCAACAAGGCCAGGCGACCGATGGCCGCTGCATTGATCTTCCCAGTTTCACAACAATCCCAGCAGTCGTAGCGCGAGTAGTAGCAGCTTAAGAGGTACTCGCACACGGTCCGAGCGGCTACGTCGATCACAGACCGGTCGGCGATGTACGTCCGATATCCAGACCGCTGCCCGAGTTTCCCAGACAACGTCGCCGCGTGGGCAGCGGGGTGGTCTGCCTGATCGCCGCGATGCTGTGACGTGGTGTACGCGACGCTACACTAAGAGCTGATATCGATGTCGACGGCGGTAAAGTCTGCTATCGTTGCCCGTCCAAAAGTTCAGAGAGAGGAGGAAGAAGAGTTACAAGTTGCCCACTGCAAGCATCACGGGCATCGAGGGTTACTCGCTCGGAATGCGGAGTGACGTTGCGGGTGTGCCGAACATTCGCCCGGTGGGCGGTCACCGCCGTAAGGGGGCTGGCTATACCCTGGAGATGAAGGGCGAAGCACCGCTCTTCTGTTCAGATCTGCACTGTGACATCGGTGACGCCTGTCCCTGTGGTAACGTCCCCGAAGCAATGGAAGCTTGTTTGCCCGTCACTTCGCACTCATTCAGTCAGTCATCGGGACCCGTGTGCGTTAATGTGGGTTCCGTCCACTTGGCAGGCGAGCAGACGCAACAAATCTTATCAATTCTTTTCGAAAAGTGGAGGGAGTGACGTTGTTCCTCGCTCGGACTAGTCAGGGACTATCACGGGCAAGGGGAGAAAAGAATGTCTACATCCGAACTATGGTCCGCAGGGTGTCTCCATTTCGAACGCCGAAGGCGGTGCTTTGGCATTAAACAAAGGGGCAGTCACCGACCACTCCTCCTCCTCCTTGGCTCCTCCGCTCTCGATAAATGCAGAATTGCAAGACGAGGCCAGGGGTGTGTCTTGCGTCGGTGTGCCCGTGCAGACAGTCTGTGCTTCCGGCTCCGACGAACGGACAGAACCAGGGCAGCATTCTTGGCAGCTTAAATAAAGCTCAACCCAGATCCGTACCTTCCTCTCCCCCTCCCTCTCCCTTTCATCATCGACCTCCACTCTCCATATCATCATGCTGCTCCAACTGGCGCAGCTCCCCTTGCTCGCGGCCCTCGCGCTGGCCGCACCATACAAGCGCGCAACCACCACCGACGGTGCCTCAGTCGCAGCCCAAAGCTTCGACTATGTCATTGCAGGCGGCGGTCTGACTGGTGTCGTCGTCGCGCGCCGCCTGGCAGAGGCGAACCACCGCGTCCTCCTCGTCGAGGCCGGCGGAGATGAAGAGGGCAACAGCCTCGTCACTGGTGAGTCCCCAGCTTATTTGACTTTCAAACCGTGCTGACAGCAGACGCATCCAAGTACACGCAGTCGTTTGACGTGAGTCACCCACCCACGCGCTCGAGCCCTTGCCGCTGATCGGCGGAGCTTCCTAAATGGTTCAGCTGGGAGTCAGTCCGTATCACAGCTGACAAGCAGAGTGCAATCGATTGGGCCTTCAACACCGTCCCCCAGCCCCAGGGCGGAGGCAAGAGCATGAAGATTCGTGCCGGAAAGGGTCTCGGCGGCTCGACGCTCATCAACGGCATGGCGTGGACGAAACCGCACACGTTCCAGCTCGATGACCTCGAGACGCTCGGAAACGCGGGCTTGAACTGGGACACGCTCGCGCCTTTGGTATGTTTCCCCTCCAATTCCCCACGAGCTATCGTTGCGGTTGTAGCTAATAACAGATGCGGAGCGTTGAGACGTACCACCCCCCTTCGTCCGAGCAGCAGGCCGCCGGGCTCACTTTTGACACCTCGTGCCACGGCACCTCTGGCCCGATTGGCGTCAACATCAACCCCGGTGTCCCCGTCGCATTCGAGAAGGTGTTCAACAACACTGGCGCATCCCTCGGTCCTTACGCCCGCGATCTCTCCTGCGGCAACCCCGCCATCCTCGGCCCTGTCGCGCACAACCAGGTCAACAACCGCCGCTCAGACGCGTACCAGGGGTACCTGTGGCAGAAAGACTTCCCCTCTCTGACGAGTGAGTCGCGAATGCAACGCTGCCCGATTTCGTTTACCCCCAGCTGACGCCCAGTTCTGACCAACGCCGTCGTCGGCAAGGTGACCTTCTCCGGTACGCGTGCCACGGGCGTCGAGTTCCGCGACCAGTCAGGCACGACCCGCACCGTTTCCGCGGTCAAGGAAGTCCTGCTCGCTGCCGGCTCGATCCGCACCCCTGTCCTCCTCCAGCACAGTGGTATTGGTCCCCGCGCCTTCCTCGAGAGCGCCGGCGTGAATGTGCTGGTTGACCTGCCCGCGGGCCAGAACCTGATCGACCAGACGACCTCGACGACCTCGTTCCAATTCACGGGTGGCGCAGCGGGAGGCGGGCAGTCGATCCTGTTCCCCCGCTTCCAGGACATTGCCGGCGGAGACTCTTCGCGTCTCTCTGGCCTGCTCCAGGCAAACCTGGACAAGTGGGCACAGGAGGCTGTCGATGCCGGCGCTAGTGGCAGCAAGGAGGGCCTGAAGAAGGTCATGACGCTGCAGCGCGACTGGATCCTGAACGACGGCGCGGCCGTCGGCGAGGCCTTTGACTGGACCGGCGGCGACAGCGTCAACTACGACACCTGGTTCCTTCTCCCCTTTGGACGCGGATTCGTGCGTATCTCATCCAACGACCCCTACTCGAACGCGTTCACGGTCGACCCGCGGTTCTTCACGAACGAGTTTGACCGCCTCGCCACAGCCGCCACGCTGCGGTACACGCGCACTTACAGCCGCACCCAGCCCCTCGCCGGCATCATTACCAACGAGTGGAAGCCCGGATCAAACACGGGCGACAGTCTCGAGGACTGGCTCAACTTTGCGCGCAACGACTACAGGTCCAACTGGCACCCCATCGGAACGTGCGCCATGCAGCCGAGGGCTGATGGCGGCGTCGTCGACGCCAACCACAGGGTGTACGGCACGCAGGGACTGCGCGTGCTCGATGCGTCCGTGCTGCCTTTCCAGGTGTCGAGCCACCTCATGACGGTGCTGTACGGTCTGGCGGAGCGCGCGGCAGAGGTGATCAAGAAGGATGCTTGTGCCGTCTAAGCACGAGCGGAACACGAGCGAAAGCGAGTGTTGCGGGTCCCCGGGACCAACTCTCGACGATTTGGCATCTGGCGACGCCGACTGGAGGAGCAATAGTAACGATAGCATTTGGACAATCACGACCACGCCCACACGGACCTTTTGACGGGGATACATGCATAATGATACAAACTACATTCTCTTCCACTGACACCTCACAGCGCGTGTGGCGGGTTGCCATCCGTCGGCGTATGAGGCGGAGGCGGCTGCGCCGACTGCCGTTCCCGGGCCCATTCCGGATTGTAGGATGGCGGGACAAGCTCGAGATCCTCCTCCATCCTGCCCGCATCTTCCTCCTGCGCGACCCTCCGGGGTCTCCGTGTCCTCTCCGCCGGCGGCGGGCGGGTCTTCCCCTCCCCCCTTGCCCCGGCACCCACTTCACCTCCAGCCCTCTGCTCGTCCACAGCCCCGAGCCCGAAAGTACCCATACTCCCCATACTCCCCATACCCCCCATACCCCCCATCGTCCCCGTCGCAGGCGTGACGGGGGACGGAGGAATGGACGAGGCAGGAATCGTAGCCTTGATCTCCCTTTCGAGCGGGGTGAGGGGGACAGAGGACTCGGTGCGCGGCCCAAACGTGTGGCTCGACATATTGGTCCAGCTCTCGCCACCAGGGGAGAGAAGCATGTCGCTGTGCCGCGTCTGCGCGCCGGGGGTGAGGAAGGCGCTGCTGCTCGTCGTCGCGGGCGAGTCGAGGGCGTGCTTCGTCTCCGTGACTAGCGGGGGGAGCACTGGCCGTCCACTTGTCTGCGGGCCGCCAACCTGTGCACTCCCGCCCTGCGTCACGCGTCCTGTCCCGGCCCCAGCAGCAGCGGCAGTAAGCGGCATAGAGTCGATATAGGGAGTAGCAGTAGCGCTGTCGTCGACCTCGAACCGATCCCCATTCTCGGACGCCTGCGGCGCATACCCGCCCTTCCGCTGGGAGCGTTTCTTCCCCAGCCGATAGAACAGGAATCCGACGAGCGCGAGCACAATCGCGCCCCCGACGCCGCCGACTACGCCGCCGACGATGGCGCCGACATTCGTCCCCTTCTCCGGATGGGGGTGGTACGGCGTGCCCGTCGCGCTTGGGGTCGGGCTCGGGCCCGGGGTGGGAGTCGTGTCGTTCGATCTGATGTCAGCTCCAGCTCCGTCGAAGAAGGGGGAACTCACGTTCCGTTCCAGAACGCCACACTCGATACGCCAAGCTGCATCGCGACGGGGTCGTCGCCGACGACGAGCGAGGCGTTGTACTTGACCGCCGGATCGAGGGGGATCGCGAACAAGACGGCGGGGATCTCGAACGGCGAGTCGCCGTCGTAGGCCAGATCCCCCTGTAGCATGAGCGGCGGCAGCGGGGTGCAGTCGATCGTGAAGAACTTGCCCCATGGCGAGACGCTGCCCATGACTTGCAGGAACGAGGTGTTGGCGGGCACGTTGAGGGCGAGGCGGGAGAGACGGCTGCCGATCGCTTGCGCGTAGGCTATGTCGCTCGTCGTTGCGATCGACCGGTTCGTGTTCTCGAGCACGTCGGTGACGTTCCACTCTCCTTCGAACCCGAACTGCTTCGTGTTCAGGCGTCCATCGGTGATCACGCTGTAATCCTGCCTGTTCTCCTTCCCGTGCTCGCCCATACTCCCCGTCGTGACCGTGATGTTCTCGATATGCACGGTCGCGTTGCCGCCAAACACGTCGAGCATCACGCGGTGACTGCCCCAGAGCAGCTCGGGGCTTTCAACGAGGACGCCCGGTTCCGAGCTCGGCTGGGACGCGACGATCCGTCCGTCGATCCGGAGCTGCAGTGTATCCGCCGCCGACGCATTTTCGAGGTATCCGTGGAACTTTACACGCGTCAGGGGGAAGATGAACTGGACGTTTGGCGAAAGGCTGCCGGGGCAGGATACTCGGGGGTAGAGGAGTTCACTGGCCGGAGGGGTCGCCCACTGCGTCAAGCTCGGGAAGGAAGGGACGCACGCCCGCCCCGAGCCGCCCGATGTGTAGTGCACCTGCCCCCAGGTCGCGGGGTAGGTCACGTTGAAGCGCGTGTCGGGCTTGAAGTCTTCCTGCGCGCGCACGCCGGCGCCGAGGGCGAGCGCGAGGAGCGCGTGGAGCATCATGCTGACTTCCGCTTAGGTGTTGGCGCGTTAGCGCGATGCTGGGGCGGTGAGACGGTCAGATGAGCGTCGAAGCAACAAGTCGTCTGGGGCGATGAATGAGGGGAAGACAGTCGATATCGCGATGAACAAGCAATGATCAGTGTAGTCAAGCAGTAATGAGAAAGAAGCAAGAACAACAGATGCAGCGCAGCCATCCGGGTACGTCAGCAAAGTCAGAAATCAACGATCGCAGGGTCACACTAGCGCGGATCGCCACGGTGTGGGCCGGGTTAGTACGACGCTTTTGCCGCTGTGGGCCGACATGCTCAGAGAATTTGCGCAGCACCTGAGTCGACAGTTGCTGCCGCTGAAAGGCCTCCAGGTGCGGGGCTGAATGTGCGCCACCACCTGACCATTGCCAAGAGGACAGAGGCTGCAAACTGCTGCTGCACGAGACCAGCAAGTATTCGGACTGCGCACTGGTGGACGGAGTGTGGGTTTGTGGGTGTACGCCGCGGCGGCGGGCGGCGGCACAAACACAGCTATCAGGTGCTGCGCCGGTGCCTGAAAGGTTAGAAGTGCCTGAACGTCATATGCCTCCTCCCGAACGGAATGGCTGCGGCGAAGCCGTGTTTGTGCATCTTGGTCTGGGACCCATGAACGGCTTGTCTGCTTGACGCTTGCTAGTTTGATTGTCGCCAAGCGTGCAGAGAAAGAAGAAATCTAGAAGCCCGCGGAGTGGAGCAATCCCGGTGCGCTAGCACTAGAGCGCTTCGAGTTCCTGGAATAGTAGGATACTAGAGGTCCATTTTTGTCTGTCTGCCGTTGCTGCGTGGAGAGAGTGGACGGAGCTTCGTGTTGAAGGTGGGCTTCAGCAAACCGAGCCGCGGGAGGCTGAGGCTCGTGGAGAAACCTTGTCCGCACCGCCTGGTCGACTCCGCCAGGTCCGCTCCCGCTATAAAGCGAGCCTGCCTGGAGACCGTCTCGAGCTTCACCCCAGCGAGACATTTTTACTTTGCTGTGTGTATGTTGAGGATAACTCGGCATCTTGTGAGAAGCAGGGTCTCAGGCTAAATCGATTTGAGAGGAGTCGGCGTGTAGCAACATCCGCTCACGATCATTCCTACCACCTCTTACTCCTCAACATTGATAGACATCGAACGAGACATTGGGCCCCGGACAGACCAGACACCGCAGCCGATGACGCCGAATGATGAGCCCGATGGCCGCAAGCAAGTGCGCGATTAAGTGACCGACGGCGTCCCTCCATAGTGCCCAGCGGCCACCAGGCGACACGCACGACAGCGCTCGGCACCGACCCATGGCGTCGCGTGGGAAAGCTCCCGCTGCCGATCAAAGCCAGCGCCTCCAGATAACCTCGTTGAGGGCCTCGAGGGCTGCAAAAGTCCGCGACGTCCGCGAGCCGCCTGGCTGCTGCCGTCTAAGACTCCGCATCCGCTGCATACCCAGCATACCAGTGACCTCATCTCGTCTTTCCTACACTCTACACTCCGACACTCGCTCGCCATCGACACCGACAGCGACCGCTCGATAGCATACGTGCCACCTCGACGCCGGGACTAGTAGTATCAACAGTTGCATACCTGCGGCTCGAGCAGACTCGCACGACCTTGCGCTCCGCGTTCCTCACCTTCTCCCTCCATCATGGCGTCTCGACTCGCTCCCGGCCTCCGTCTCCTGGCTCGGAGACAGGTGCAGCTTTCCGCCCGTCGTCTCCCTCCGGCGCCGCTAGTGCCCGCCTTCCCCCGCTACCCTCAGCGCAACTTCTCCTCCACCCCCCGACGACGTGACGAGGACGATGACCGCCGGCGCTCTTCCTCCTCCTCGTCCTCCTCCTCCTCCTCCTCCTCACGCTCCAACCAAAAGTCGGACCCCAACTCAGACACGAACCCGGACGGCTCCAAGAAATCTTCGTACCAGCGTTTCAAGGATCTGACAAAGACGTACGGCTCCTACGCCGTGCTCATGTATCTCGCGCTCTCCGCCGTGGACTATTCGCTTTCGTTCGCCTTCGTGCATGCGATCGGCGTGGACAAGCTCGAGCCCTACGTCGACCGCATGACGCATGCGTACCGCTCCCTCCGGTACGGCAGCGAGGAGGCCGACCGCATCCAGGCCGAGCACGAGGACCGTCAGGAGGCCGCCGCCGACGCCGCCGAGGAGAGGCGCACGGGTCACAAGAAGGAGGTCGCTTGGTACAATAACAAGCAGCTCTGGGCCGAGGCCGCGCTCGCGTACCCCATCCACAAGATTTTGCTCCTCCCTGTCCGCGCGGGATTGACTGTGGCGTGGACGCCAAAGGTCGTCAACTGGCTGAGGGCACGGGGATGGATTGGAGCGGTGAGTCATCACGAGTCCCGCAGTCCCGAGTTCTGCTATCGGAGCGTATGCTGACATTACAGGCGGGCACGAAACGCGCAGCGCAGGAAGGCGCCGACTTTATGCGCGAGCAGGGCAAGCGGGCCATGGACGCGGCCAAGAAGGCGAGGAACCGCGACTAGATCCTGCCTTCATCTCACAATATCTCACCTCTCACTTTTTTCAACACAACATAGAACCCATCGCAACGCGTCTCCACACGCTACTTATAGGCAAATTACAACTCGAGCATGCATCTCTAGAGCAGAGCAAATGGCTGCGTCGGTATAGATATAAGATGAAGAGATCGGTGCGAGATGAAGGAGTGAGAGAGAGAGGAGAGACGAGAGAGACCAAACGTCAACTTCAATTTCGAACCGGCGGTTCGTCAAAAATACAGTCGTCACGGCAAACGGCACAAGACACAAGACACGGCGGCGGCGCATGAGAGAGCGGCACACGCTCGCGCTGACGCGCTTCGCGTGCGCGCTCCTAGAGAACCGTGCACACCTTCTTCTTCGGCTTGCGCTGCTGTCCCGCTGCCGGCCGGTCCGCGGGCGTGAGGACGGCGCGGATCGCCTCGTCAAACACATTCTTCAGTCCCTCCTGCGTCTTGGAGCTCGCCTCGACGTAGCGCACCGCGCCGACCTCTTTCGCCATCTGCATGCCCTGGTTGTACGTGATGGGCGAGAATCGCCGCTCACGCAGCCGCTGGATCGTCGTCGGGTCGTCGCGCAGGTCGAGCTTGGTTCCGACCAGAATGATTGGGACGCCGGCGGCGTGGTGTCGGATCTCTGGGATCCATTTCTGGATTGTCAGCTGATACCGTAAAAACACCAGCTGCGTCGAGGCAGCGGTTCGGCCGCGTTCCGCATAGTCTAGAAGCTGTCTTAGACGCCAAGGGGCACTCACCGTCTTGATATTCTCAAAGGATGGCGGAGAAATCACCGAGAAGCACACCAGGAACACGTCTGTTTGCGGGTACGACAGAGGTCGCAGGCGGCTGTACGTCAGCTCGACCGGGCACATCGACAGCTGAGCCAGACTCGGCACACACTGTTTACGCGATCCAGCAGCGCAATGGGCCAGCGGGCGACTCACTCATAGTCTTCCTGTCCTGCCGTGTCCCATAGTCCGAGCGAGATCGGTCTCCGGTCGACGAGTACTTGCGCCGAGTAGTTGTCAAACACCTGCTGTCAGCTACACGGCCAATGCTCTAGTAGCTCAACGCACAGTCGGGACGTATCTGATGTCAGCTTTATTCCTATACCATGAAGCTTGTGCTCACTCTCCGGGGAAGGCATTCGTCGTGTACGAGATCAGCAGACATGTCTGGACGTAGTCAGCATCAACATCAGATCAACAGTCGTCTCTGTTAGCCCGACAGCCTGACAGCACCAGCTCCTCGGCATTGCGCGAGTTCCTCGGGCAGAAGACAACGTGGGCCGCACGGGGCGAGGAAGACAGGGAGGGTGTGCACGAACCTTGCCGACTGCACCGTCTCCGACGACAACACCTGGTCTGTCAGTTTGGACACTTGGGCGCTTGGCATGACGCGTTGCTAAGGAGTCATGTTGTGATCGGACGAGCGCGAGCACAGGGAAGGGGGAAAGAGTAAACTCACACTTAATCGCTTGGATGTTGTGGTTCATCCTGGGCGATCACTCTCTTTCACGCTATCGCTCTAGTGAGTCTAAGGGGGACGATGATGGCACGGGCGGTGGATGGCGCGATGCAAGATGGTGATGGGGTTGGTGGGATGGCGAGTGGACGCAAAAAGCGGCGGAGGGGGCTGGCAACTGGCTGGGCGCTGGCTGGCTGGCTGGGTGCTGCGTTCGGCGAGGCTGGCTGGTTGCAGGATATGGCGATGGGCCGGATACAGGGGCGGCAGAAAAGAGCAAGGGGGGGAAGGCGAGGGAAGAAGGGTAATCGACCTGAAACGATGACCCTCGGCGTGTGCGTTCCGGAGTTGATCGGCGGGGGGGAGAGGGGAGGGAGCTGGGATGTGATGAGCTCGACGATCCGATCTGACGCCGAGGTATGGGTATATCACAGCGAGAACGGAGCCGGAGATGGGACAGAGGATGGCGGAGATGGAACAGCGATCAGGATAGGTGACTTGCAAAGGAAGGAATGCGGGTCAAGTGGTTCATGAGGGAGCGATAGGTTGTGAGTGGATGTAATGTTGGCTGGCGGATTCAAAAAGTGGATGGCCTGGATTGGAACATGGAACAGGGCACTGAAAGCCAGTCGCCCCCCAGCAGCCAGCGCCGGCTGAACGGAGAGCGGTAGTACCGGACTCGCCCTTGGAACCCTCGAATGCTGAATTCTCCTTTACCAGGGTCCAGCCTCACTCCTGGGTCCCCCTTCTACCCAGTCAACAACGCTCACCGCCCGAGGCCCGGTCTCTACGCGGTCTACGGGTGCTCTGCAGGCACCGAGCACCGAAAGCTTAGCATTCACTAGATAGCACCGACGTCCTGCCATATGCCCATATCCTCGCTCGCTGACACGACCATCCCGGCCTTTAAGCTCGACCTGTCGCTGCCATTCCATTCCTCCCAAACCCCCTTCCCGTCCTGTTCCATCATTCGTTCTCTCCCCGTCAGAACATTGTCATCAACTCTCTCCGTCCTCCCTCGTGGTAGGCCGTGTCGGATTGGTTCACTGCGGACCCACCGTTCACTACTCGCTCTCTCCACATCAAGTGAAAGCAAGGAGGGCAAGGCACATTCAACCCACAATTCCGCGGCGTTTTCAGCGATCCCAGCACCCGTCGCCCAGGACTCCAGGACTTCCGGTCCGGGCCCTCCGCGCTGCATGTGAGGGTCTCTACGCCTTCCCTCATTTGGATGCTGTCACGATCGCAACCGTTTCTCGACATGATGAACTACTGATCGAGAACTGCCCTTGATTTCTCATCGCGAACATCGCGTCCCCCACATTGCTCCCTCCTAATCCTCACACGACGCATTTGCTTGTTCTGGCTCGTGACCAGCCATGCATCGCCATTCGACGCTCAACGTCATCACCGCAATGCAGTGCATGCATGTGGAGAAATGGGGGACGATTCGCCTCTCCTTGGCGACCGGCCCGAAGTGTCCGGACGTGCCTTCCTCGGAAGGAAGACAACATTACGCGATCTGACTCGCCCCTTCGTACTCACCCCACCCCACGCCGTTTTCCACTGTTTCTGGGAACAAAACCCCATTCCTCGTTGTCCAAACTCACTGAAACACATCGTTCACTGGAATCTGCTCACTACACCAGCGCCAGTGCTCTGTGCGAAATTTGCGAACCACCATGCGCTGGTATTTCAACGCTTCCGAGTCACGTCGGGCACACCTTCACCAGAGCCTGAGCGTTCTCGAAAACGCCCAATCCTTCTGTGACGCTACAGATCGCACAATGACTCGTCCTCCTCCGATCCTCCGTGGACAACGGTCCGTGCACCTCAGCCAGGCCTCATTGAGCGACGTCGACGACGCCCGAATGTTTCCTGCACGTGTTCGAGGTCCGAGCTCAAGCAACTCACTCGCACACAGACACAAACAAAGCCATCTTCCATTGTTATGCTGATCACCTTCACTTACCACTCTCACTCCTCGATCAATGGTCGAGCCATCAGCGAGCCTCTTGACGCAATCCCTTCTCGCCCTGCTAATGATCGCGGAGATACGGGCAGACGACAGACTCGGCAGCTACAGCAGCTCGATCCCCATCATCCGCGGCACAGCTGCGAACGTTGTCGCCGTGAACATTGGAGAACCGGGGCAGCAACTGCAGTTGGCGTTGAGTGAGCTGAGAAGAGACTTCATATAAGCTGACTCCAGCGACGGGATCCGACTACATGGCAGTGGTGAACTCAAGCTGCACGAGTTGCATGCAAGATGCTGTTGGGTGAGAAGCTCGTCCGATATGATATCTGAGACATGCAGATTCAACACGACGAGCTCTCAAAGTGTAGGAGTAAGCTGCAATTCGCTTACGCAGCTCACCGCAGATGTCTGAGGCTTTGCTTCGAGATTTCGAATATCCCCCAGGACGTCCAAGAGCGAGCGGCTCCTTCATCACGGTGAACAGAGCTGTAGGCGAGGTGTCGGACAGAGGGAGCGTCCTCGTAATCAACAAGATCGACATAGAGTCAGGGCAGAGAGGTGAGCGGAAGCCAACGACCATGACGCCAGGTACAGATGGTTTCTTCGGGCTAGGGATTAGTAGCGTGAGTTGAGGAGATGGTTTTCGAAGCTAAACAGCAGACGGACAAGGAGCGAAGCTTCCTCTACACTGCGACCGGCGGGCGGTTCACACTCGGCATCGACACGGAGAGCAGTGATGGCCTTCGCACGGTTGGTCGTTTAGACTGGGGTGGTGTGAACAAAGATCAGACTGACGGCGATTTGTGAGTTGCGCCACGCTTCTGGCGAAACTCATTTCAGCGAGTGGATCAAGACGAATGCGAGCTGGACGATCGGTATCGAGAGCATCGGAATACGAGGTGGAAGCATCGTGGGCGACAACTTGCTGGTGAGCCGAAAGGCGCTCTCCTTTAGCTATCAGAGCCTCTTCTTTAGCTAACAGCAGGCCACCATCGACCCCGGTCTCGGTGCTATCTATGCTCCCTTCTCCGTTGCTAGTGACTTCTACGCTCAGGCGCAAGAGGCCAAACCCGTCAAAAACGCTGACCGTGCTCGGTGGAAGCTTCCCTGCGACCAGAAACTCAAGTTTGAGTTGAAGCTGGAAGACGGTCGAGGTTTCGGTGTACCGCCAGACCTCCTCCGGATCAAGGAGGGAGATATTTGCTATGGAGCTGTCTACGCCTGGGCCAACCACTCGACGCCGGACAACAGCGGCAAGATCCGCCTGGGTACGCCCTTCCTTGACGAGTGGTACACGTGAGTTAACGGAGGTTCCCTTCTGAACTAACGACTCGGGCACTATACTACTCCGAGGGCGACCCTCAAGTTGGCTTCGCGAAGCACAGGACCCGCGGCGAGCCAGGGCCGAACGGCAAGCTCATCGGTGGTCGTGAGTCCCGTTTGCAGCTGTAAGCATCTCCTCTGTAGCTGACACCCAGTCATCGGCTCCCTCGTCCCGCTCATGCTCATCTTCCTCGTCGTCGTGCATGCGCGCAACACGTACACAATACCGGCATGGCTGGACCGGCAGTACAGGGCAATGTACGACTGGGAGCAAGCTGCGCGGGCGCAAGCAGCCATGAGAGCCGGTATGGCGCCACAGCCTCTTCCGCCCATGCCCTTTGGTGCTCGTATGCTCCACGGCATCCTCGGTCCGCCGCGCGAACACTTCAACCCTGCCTACATGGAGCCGATGATGCACCCAATGCGAGGCATTACGCCCGCCCCGTTCATGCCCCCGCCGGTGTGGCCACCTGGACAGCCGGGCATGCCGCCTCACATCGCTCCGGGAATGACGGGTATGCCTCCGCCAATGCCGCCTCTGCATCCCGCAATGACTGGCATGCCGCTGCCGATGCAGCCGCCGCTCCACCCAGCGATGACCGGCATGCCGCCACCAATGCACCCGGCACCCTTGCACCCAGCGATGACGGGTGTGCCACCGCCCATGCCACCACCCATGCAACCTGGGCCGCCGCCAATGCAGGCGGTGCAGCCCATGCAACCGATGATGACCGGCGCCGTCCCAGTCCCGGTCCAACCAATGCCGACGGGCATCCATCCCACAATGCAACCCGGCCTCGTGCCGCCGCCAGGTCTCGCTCCTCTCGGCCCCCAACTCACAGGCCGTCCGCGAACAGCTGCGCCTCAGCCTATGCCGCAGCCTATGCCTCAGCCGCAACCCGCCCCAGCACCGATGCCACAGCCCATGCCGGCGCAGGCGCCATACCCGGCAGAGTTTGGGGGCATGCCGCCCGGGCATAGGGCGCATCCGAGCTGGAGTGGGAGCGCGCTCGCTGTCTCTGAACAAGCTAGGGAGCAAGCTCGGCAGGAGGTTATCGACATTATGCGGCCGTATAGTCAGGCGATGGGACCGGGTAGGAGGTAGTTTCGGTGTGCACTGTAATGGCATGAGCATCTGTGATTGAGGTGTACTCCCTGCATGCAGGAGGTGCAGAAGTGCTGAGGTTGCAGTGGCGTGTGGAGTGCGGAGCAGCCTAGCACCCAAGATCTGGGCCCAGCCCCCTCACGCAGTCACCGTAACTTCACGTTAACGCTCGTTCTCAACGACCAACCCTCCTGCGAGAATGGCGACCCTGCCTTGATCACCAGTGACGAGTGGCGCTTCTAGGTTCGATCTCACCCCAGCCATGGCCAGCCAGGTACGCTCCCCACTTACGCGACCTGTGGCCTGTGGCTTGGGCTAGCTGACGAGCTAACGGGGTAGACTACGGTCCATGACCGTTATGAATCATCGACCTTGTCTCTCAAGTCACGCGTGCCCCAGCTGCGCCCCAATCGTCCCGGAATGCGCAGTGTTCTGCTCGCACGATCAACTTATGACGCGACCTCTGGACCTTCCTTCTTCTCACTCTTCACCCAACACTCTCATTGAACTATACCTCCTCTACTTCTACCTTCTCTTACTCTATCTCCTCTTTCTCTACCTCATTTTTCCTTTGCCTCCGCGGTCCATAATGAGCGAAGTGTCAGCGGCGAGCCCCGAGCCGCCGGCGACCGCTACCGCCTCGGCCTCACCCTTTCTCGTGATCCAAGACCATTCTCTCTGGCACGATGGCGACTTTGTCCTCATGTCCAGTGATGGGTGGCGATTCCGCGTCCTGTCGCATCACCTCTTCTCGGCCAGGTATGACTTCCAGCTCCACTCCTCCCCGCACCACGCCATTCTTGCATCTTCACTGACATTAGCCCCGTCCTGCGCGACGCACCCTCCACCGGCCTGCAGCAGATTGAGTTCACGGACGAAGTGCTCGAGCGCGCAGTCGTCATCGACCTCGCCCTAAACCTGATTGTTCACAATCGCCTAACCCGTGACAAGTACGACCACCTTCCCCGCCAGCCCAATGACGATTGCGAAGCTGATGAGGACGATGAGTTCGACGACACCTACCCCGAGTATGACGGCAACCCACCTGCGCTCTCTGGAGGTCAACTGAACCTGTACTGCGACGTCATTCTGTTCTTGCAGAAGTGGGACTGCGCCGCCGCTCTTCGTGCATTCGGCCTCGGCATTCTGGAACTCCTCGTTATGCGCCGCATCCGTCCCGCAGATGCGCTCACCTTGGGCATGCTCAGCAGCGACGCTGATCTGTGCGCCGCCACCATGTCCAGCACAATCGGGTGCAAAACATTGCGCTTGGCCAATTTCCCGCTCCGTGTTTGGGAACGCGCCGAGCCCAGGTTTCTCTGGGCCATGGGGATGGCGCGCGAGCTTCAGGTGGAGGGGGAAGATCTTGGGTCGCTGTTTCTGCAAGAGCTGCAAGTCGCTGAGGAAGGAGAGCTGTCCAAGTATGTACTGCAGGGAACGGAGGGTCTAACAGCAGGGGACCGATCTTCTACTGAGCAAGCAATCAATCGCACACTGTGCAGTGCTTGCGGCGAACACTTGGAACCCTGGACGCTTCTTGATGAAATTGCAGTTCAGCGTCTCACCTAGTCATCTGTATGTACATTTTGTAACCTCATGCCAGTTGTATGTATCCTCTGTCCGATAGTCATGTGCCATTCCCGGAGCTGAGAGGCTTGATGACACCCTCTCTATGACCACTCTCTAACCAGTTCGGTGGGTTGGCCCGTCGGTGGTGTAAGCACCGGGAAGACGTCTTGGCTGGAGGGTTAGTCTTGCGGAATGCCGAACGGTCTTACTCTGCCTCAACCATCCTCTCCGTCTGGCTGAGATGGCGACGAAAGGCGTCGGAGATGTCGGTCCAACCATTGCCGCGCCCCACTCCACCATGGGCACATGCGAGTGCGTACATGTACCTCGCCCCGACACGCTGCCAGGTCCGGAACGGAACGTCGTCTACACGGAGAGGGCGCCCGGCCGGCCCCCTCACTTTGAGGGCGGAGACGCACAACTCCTCGTCATCGGCCAGCATGCCGAGGACGAAAGCGTCCAGCGAGGCCACCTCTCCGCGCAGCAGGAGTTCGCTCACGCAGAGCGTGAATGTGCGTAGGGGCCCCTGGCAGTCCCACTTTTGCATGAATGTGATGAGCCTCGCCCAGCGATTGTGGGCTGCGTCTATGCCGGGATCGGGGCCGTAGTCTTCGCGTGTCAAGCGTCCGTGCATTATGAGGCGGACGAAGGAGCCCAGCACGTCTGAACGCTCAATGTCCGAGTCTGTGAACTGCACCTGTCTCCGTCCGCCAGAGGGAGCGTCGCGGAAGACTGCGCTGGGGGTACGTCAGAAAAGGATGGATGGGAGGGGAGACTCACCTGGCGGCAAAGAGATGGTAGGAGGGGACCGTAAATATTGCGTTGTCGCTTGAGATCAGGGTGAAGTCGTCATTGTCGACATCGACGTTGATGTTGATGTCGCTGTTGATGCTGATGCTGGGAAGTTTGGTCTTTTCCCTGCGCGGTCTGTTGCAGTTGCGAATAGGGACTGGAGGGACCATGATGCACATGAGTTGCGTGAGTGGAGTCGAGAGAAGATCTTGTCGCTCCGTCTATACTGAACTCGCGGCGGCACACAGGGGCGCTGTTTGCGCCCTCCAGAGAATCAAAGCGGAAATTCGGGCTTCATATCTGACTTGGCATGTATCGCACTCTACATGTACATTGCGCTCAGACTATGCATCGAGCCGGGGCACTTCCGGCTCGTCCAGCTCTATGGCGGCCGTGTCCTGTAACCAATGTAGAAGTCGTCGCGCGCTAGTCTGCCTGGCTAAAGCTCGTTCTACCCTGTATCGGAAGCACTGCGCAAGCTCCTGTAGAGTCGGCTGTCGGCGGAGCCTAAGTGAGCGGCCGAGATCCTGGAACGCGAGCATCCGGACGTCATAAGGAGGCGGGGGGCGGTGCACCGTGCTCGTCCTGTACTCGTCCCTTCGCCAAAGCAGCGCGTCGTGGTACGCTGGATCGATGAATCGTTCCCAGCTCGCGGGCAGGTATCCGCTGCGCCATGGGAGAATGCGCATCTTCCCCGCCAGCTTTACTATGTCCTCACAGAGCGAGAGGTCGCCGAGGGCGGCGGCGATCGCACACGCACTCTCGGGCGTCATGGCTGAGCTGGCGAAGGCGCGCTCTACGCCAGCTCCGAGCTTGATCATGACGTCGGGGCAGTCCCATTTCTCCAGGAAGCGGGCGAGTCGGAGGAGCGTCTCGGTGGAGAAGGTGGCATCGAGCTCCGGAGTGCCCATCAGGAGGTCCAGGAATGCTCGAAGGACGTCACTGTTCTCGATAAGAGGGTCGGTAAATTGGACCAACAATGGTCCCCTAGCCATCTCTGCAGCTGCGGCGAACACGCCACTGTCTGTCAGTAGCTTACACACCCACTACGCACCTTGCAGTCCAGAGTAGAGCAGCGGGAACCTTGAAGCGCCGCAGGTCAGAGGAGATGAGGGTGAAGGTCTCTTCTGGTGCTCGCATGCCAGGCGAGAGGTCGGCTGCTTCAGGTAGGAGCTTCGGTAGCGGCCGATAATTGATGTATAGGGAGGTAAGGAATGTCATCAGGAAGGCGAGTCGACACTTGTTCTGATGGTGGGGAAGAGAGTTGTGAATGCAGTGTGCGTTGGAGAGCGTGGGATAGTGAGCAGGCGGTGTGACTGACTCGCAACGATGCGCCCTACACTCGCACCCGAGTCGTCAGAGTTGTTTTTGACAGTGGTTTTGCAGGTGCGTCGCAAAAGACAAGTCACAAGCGAAAGCGTCACGAACACGCGTGCATGGCCGATCAGTTTCAGTCAAGTGCTCGGCCGTGGGAGGACGCTGGCATCATGCAATAACAATACGAATCTGCAGTATGCATTGGAACAACAATGAGTGCATAGCATTCTAGGACTGATAACCGTTCCTTATTTACTCTAGGACTACCTGCACCTCCGGATTGTCATACTCAGCGTTACGGCTCTCCTCCACCCACCGCATGAGTCGGCGCGCAACACGCTGCTCCATCTTGACTTTGTTGACTCTGGCACGGAACTCGTCCGCCACGTCCTGGGGAGTGACATAGGGACGGCTCTGCTGGCGATGATACAGCTGGCGGAGGAAGCGGGGCCAGAGGTCGACAACACACCGCCTCTCAGCGGTATGAGACCTCTCCTTCACGGTGCCCCAGCAAAGTGCGTCATGGTACTCCTCCGGGATTAGGTGCTCCCACTCGCTGGGCAACTCCCAGGTCTTCCAAGGACGGTTAGCCTTGGAGAGGGTGGCGGCCTGTAGGACTACGGCCTCGCAGGGCCGCAAGTTGCCTAGGGCTGCTGCCACAATGCAGATGCTCTTGAGGTTCATTGCGCCATTTTCCAGAGCTGATTGCAGAGCGCGGATTATTTTCTTGATGACGCGGGGACAGTCCCACTTCTTGGCGAAGCGGACGAGCCGAATGAGCGTGTCGGTCGATGGGTAGTTGCCCAGGACCACCCGACGCGTCAAGAAGGTGAGGAACAGGCAGAGTACGGGAGCAGTCTCAATCTCGTAGTCTGTGAATTGAATGACCAAGGGGCCCATGGAGACATCTCCGGCTGCGCTTAAAACGCGGCTGCGCGTCAGTACCCCGTGCAGATACGACCCACCTCGCGGCGAACAGGCGAGCTGACGAGATCTTGAAAGGTTGGTTGTCAGAGGAGACCAGGGTGATGTCGCCTTCCTGGAAGTGGTGGCCACACCCTAGAGCATAGTCCCCAAGCCAAATGTTCGGCATGGATCAGGTTGATGTACGAAGATGGTGGGGGAGTAGAACGACGAGTAGAACGACGAGTAATTGTGAAGATATGGCAATTGTCTTGCAGTTGGAACCCGGGCTGGCATCACTGACGCTGGTGTGTGCGCCGGCGCTCTATACAGCCCATTAGTCGAGCGACAGCCTGCGCTCCATTGCCGCACCTTTATCCCCTTCGCGCCGCATTCGCCACACTCGCACCGAGAGCGATCAAGTTGCCCTCTGTATTCAACCCTGTGCGATGCGTGCCCAAGGTACCGTATGTTTCCCCACCCCATCCACCGGCGCGTGAACAATGAGTAGCCACTTGCACCCCGGGCCACGTTCATGATGAAATCTATTATGCGCTGGACCGACCGGGGCGCATCCCCGACGCTTCGGCGTCGCTCCCATGTCCGGCGAGATGGCCGAGCGGTCTAAGGCGCTGTGTTAAGGTGATCTGCTCCTCCGAGCAGTCGTCTCCGCAGTCTTCGGACGTGGGTTCGAATCCCACTCTCGTCAAAGCGGGCATTCAGTTGCCCCCTTACGCCAATCTTTTTCATCCTTTGGACGTCGAGGGACGACGGGGAAGGCGGTTGGTTGACCATGCTGCGAAAGTGGCGCTGGAAAATCCTGAAAATTATCTGACGCCCTCCGCCAAAAGTGGAGGTCAGGGACTTCCACGCCAGTGACGACCCTCAACTTGTTCACCTAATTGTCCACTCTACACCCGCTCTTTACGAATGAAAACTAGTGCATTGCATGCGCACGAACGAGGAGTAAAAGACTTCTCCGCCAGGGAGTCGAACCCTGCTCTATCGCGATCACTTCAACTTCAGAGAAGCCGAGGTACTCTCTCTTGAGAGGCGATTATACTAACCGATATACTAGCGAAGAGACGATGTAACGCTCTTGCGTGCGCAGCTGGCAGCGAGCGCGGCCTCCGAGCGACGCAGAGAGAGGCGAAGGCTGTTCCGAGACGTGGGAAGCTGTTGGCAGGCGTATCGTTTCGGTGCTGATGATAGCAGACCAGTCTGAAACATCTTAAAAGCGTGCCACGCCGCTCCAGCCTCGAGGCGCCCCTTCGCTTCGCTCGCTCAGGCTCTGATGCGGAGTCGGCGTCCGCGCCGGCGCCGACGCCGATCCCTCGACGCCCCCGGCAGCGGAGCAGCAGGCAAGATGGCCGAGCGGTCTAAGGCGCTGTGTTCAGGTTACCCTCTTCCTCGAAAATGATCGAGCGGGGTGGATCGTCGCAGTCTTCGGGCGTGGGTTCGAATCCCACTCTTGTCATACGAGCATTCGGTTGCTCCCTTCCCTCTTTTGTTGCTGCTGCTTACGAATGGAGAGTGAGGGCAGATGTTGAATCGGGAGGGTTGCTGCAGGAAGCACAATGTTGAAAGTGGAAGAGCAAGTCGGTGATCATTTAACATTCCGCTCCTGGGAAGAATGCCTGGGGTCAGCCGCAGTCACAGATAGCAATAGCTCCCTTTAACCCAAACTTGCCGCGGTGCGCTACATCGATGAACTTACTATACACCCTCCGGCACCCCTTGCCGCAACTCAACGGTTAGCAGTTGTCGCCTGGGGTCAGCTTAGGTTGCGCAGCAACGCAGCTCACCATCTCTCTGATCATGACTCACCCAGCTTCAACCTCAGCATGTGGAGGCCACAATAACAAGATGATATCACTGTGGCGGCCGAACAGTTGCTCTGAAACGTCAGCTTCACATCCGTCCTGGTAGCTTACCCTCTCGTCACGTCTACCCCTCCCCGTCTGTGATAAGCTAGTATCGGTAGAGACCAGCTTCCGCCTGACCTCAATTGGCTGCTCACTTACAGCCTGAAGATAATGACCCAGTGAGCTGAAACCCAGGCTCCCCTCTGCGCGACGTCTGAGGGTCAGCTTGAACCCGGGAGTTAGATAGCTCTCACAATGCCGCCACTTGCCGGCTATCTCATTTCCAGCCCGAGTAACTCCATGGTTGAGATGCTGTTCAGATTCCGTACTGATAGAGACGGTGGGGATGAGCTGGTAGTTCGGAGAATACCGCGATATTAGCCTTGGTACGGGGGTGCACAGAGCTTACCCTAGGCCCCTCGGCCTTACTGTACATCAAGTGGTGGCTCGCACCTGCCGAGTCTGACCTTAGCTTTGACTTCTTACACGCATCGAGTAGCTGTCACCAGTCTCCACCTCCCACTTCAAAGGTCACAATCTCCCTCACCGCGACTCGGCGCTGTTTACTGGTCCTCTGTCTGACGTCAGCTAGAAAGGCAAGGCCAAAAGTAGCTCTCACCTCCTGCTCCTCTCCTTCTCCTCCATAAACCGCAGCCCAAGTTGTCTCCACTGGCAGGAGTGAACGGACTAGCGTTGCGTGGTCCTGACATGTCAGCTCGCTCAGTCGGACAGCTCACCGTGTCTCTCTAAACCGCCAGGGTGTCGCACGTCGACATCTGGAAACAGCTTCAGACACCGGGACACTCAGCTCTCACCTGCCCTCGATGTCGAGTGTCACGGTTGCCGTTCAGCACCTCGGATCAGTGAGACCCTTATATGGGGCTAGGTGGAACGTGCGGGAAAGTGAGAACGCTTTGAGATGTCAGCTGAAGTCACCGTGTAACGCAGCTTACCCTCTCTCGCCGACATATGAGTCCTTGCTCATCTATGCCTGACTCAGCTGCAGTGAGTAATGTTGAGCTTAAGCCTGCTTCTCCTCTACCGTCTGCATTACCAGTTTAGCCCCTCAATCCAGTATATCGGTGAGACAAAGAGCGTCGCAGGAACGTAGCATCGAGAGTATACTGGGATGTCAGCTCATCAAAAGTCTGATAGCTCACCGTAACTCTCTCAGTGAAAGCTTGCTCGTCGAAACCCTGGGGTTAGCTTGAGGCAGGCAACGTCGTAGCTACCCTTCCCCGCTCTGTCATCTTCAGCTTCTGACCTTGTGCCCCGTTATCGTTGATCGGGACGATGCTGCGACGCGATGGAAGTGCGAGAATGTGGCGGAGGGTTATCGTTCTGACCGTCAGCTTCTGTTTGGGAACCCGTCAGCTTACCATGTCAGATTTAGATATGGCGGTGGGTGGGTTTCTGGAGTCAGCTTCAACTTCTCAGCGTCGCGGCAGCTCTCACCTCTTGCTTCCAATGCCAGCACATTGCAAGCATCTTCGGAAAGGCGTTATCATGGCAGGAACGCTGTTGGGTGCGGCGACAACGGTGGAATCTGGCATGTCAGCTTCAATGGGGCAAGTGTTAGCTTACCCTTACTTCACTCTTTGCTTTTCCTGATCGTTGTCTGCAGTTAGCCTCTCACTAGGCCAAGTAGCCTTTACACCCTCCCTCGTCAGCCTTAGCCTTGCGTCTTTAGTCCAGCGCCTAGTCAACAGTAGGTGTGCAAAGCCCTCGGATAAAGTGGAGGAGGAGGCAGTACGACCAATCTGGCAAGTCAGCTTTTGTCAAGTGGCAAACTCCGGCAGCTCACGATCTCTCCTTTTCTGCCCCCATGCAACGTCGTGGCTCACTCGTTCCATTCTGGGAGTTAGCTACGGTGGTCAGGATTACAGAGCTCTTACCTGTTCTTGTTGCGCCCAAAAATCCCCGCTTCTGGTGGCGGCTAGTGATGGTTTGTTCCGCCAACACTCCTGCGTCTGTGGAGATGATGGGACACTGTAGTGTTAGCTGAAGTGCAGCGCAGCGTAGCTTACGCAACTCACTCCTACATTAGACATTGTCCAATCAATGCCTGGAGGTCAGCTTGAGATGGAGGGTCGATCAGCTCTCACCACTCTTTGTCATTGAACCACCCGATGCCACGCCCTGCAAATCCCACCAAAGACTGTAGACACGCAACCGCACAAGGCTGACACGCCGGCCCTCTGAGATGTCAGCTGGAAATCACCGCGCAACAGCTTGACCCTCTCGTCAACGTACCGCCTCGAATATGCCTGGAGTCAGCTGGCTTCAGAATGAAGGTAGCTCAACCTTGATTTGCGCGCACGGCCGGTGAGATCTATCCTCCGCTGTGGGTGCTCAAGCGGGAACGGCGTGTAAAGCGGACATGGGCTGGCGCGCTGGATATGGTCTTCTGATACGTCAGCTGGAACGCATAAAGCAGCTTGCCTTCTCTACCCGACCATGCTCGTTCGCTCGCCCAAGTCTGGCATTAGCTTGAGTGAAACGGAAGTACAGCTCTCCCTTCTGTTCCCCTGCGCCACACTCACACTTTTCCTCGGCTCGCCTCGAAATATGTGCTCTCACCAACCATCGCCCGCTGCCTGGCGTCAGCTCTTACTAGGCTGTGCAGCTGCTACCTATCCGTTGCCGCAGCTGAGCGTAATCGAGGCTTTGAGACGAGAATCGTTTCCGGCGGGATGGCTTCGATGAAGCGAAAAGCTCACGATCTCTGCACCAGCTTAGGCTTCTCCTGCCAATGTCTGGGGTCAGCTCGCACACGCAGTGACCAGCTCTCACCTAGCGACCCTTCTGTTTGCTTGCCTCGACACCCATGGCCGCCGGACCAGTCACTTCCTCATCCCACACGATCCTCCTCCGTCTCTCCCAGGGTACGCAGGAGTTCCCTAACAAGCGACAGACAGTCAGCGACCGCTGTGAGAGCTCGAGGGGGCCAAAAAGTCTCACCACTGTGAGTCGAACACAGGACCTGCGGATGTCGTCGCCTTATCAGGCGGCTTGAAGGATTGTTAACCAATTACAGTCCGACGCTCTACCAACTGAGCTATGGTGAGGAAGCACGTGGTTTCGGGCGCAGGGCCGGCCGTGGGCGGCGGCGTCGGCGTCGGCGTCGTTGACGCCAGAGATGGTGAAGCCGGAGCTGGTGATGCCGGATCTGACGGAGTCGGAAGAGGATCGGGATGAGGGGAAAGATGTAGAAGGGAAAGACGAAGGCTGATGTCAGCTAATGAGAGATGAGCGACAGCTGGAACGGACATCGGTGCTTCGCCTCCCGGCCAGACAGCTCCCTCTCACTGGATGACAACCGCTGCCGCTCGCCCCGCTGCGCCCTGCGCCCTCTCCGACGCCGCCTCGGGACGATCATCAGGCGAGATGGCCGAGCGGTCTAAGGCGCTGTGTTAAGGTGACCCCTTCCTCAAGGAAGAGCATCTCCGCAGTCTTCGGACGTGGGTTCGAATCCCACTCTCGTCAAGCGAGTAGTAACATACTCCCTTACGCCAACATTTTTGGATGGACGAGGAGAGGAGGGAAAGGAGATTGGGTGATGATGAGTGGGAGGTGTGGTGATTGAGAGGGGAAGTGCCACTCACCTTCGTCGGGTGGAGGTCTGTGCGAGATTTTCGCTCCAGATGTTGTTTTGAGGTCAGTCATTAGACAGCGGAGTGTGCAAGTTTGATGCTTCATGACTTCATGCTGTTCTACGATGCTTGTGATGTTGTGTGCTCTATTCTGCTCATGTTAGCTGTGTCGGGACCCCCCGCAGCTGGACCAACACACATTGATCGCCGATCATATCGGCCAGTCTCTGTTCTCATCAGCTATTCGAAACGCTGCACTAGAGCTTCCACTCACACAGTCTGCGTCAGATTCAAGTGTACTCCCTTGACCTGGAGATGCTCCTGCAGCCCGTAGGTGCCGAGCTCGCGCCCGATCCCACTGGATTTGAATCCTCCAAAGGGCACCGAGTTGTTGAGAAGACCGTACTGGTTGATCCAGACGGTGCCCACCTCGAGCTTGCCACTGACGCGAGTCGCCTGAGTAATGTCGGTCGTGAAGACGCCCGCTCCCAGGCCAAACTCGGTGTCGTTGGCGAGGTGAAGTGCTTCCTCCTCGGTCTTGAAGGGAATGACACAGACCACGGGACCGAAGATCTCTTCCCTGACTATCCGCATGTTTGGGCGCGTGTTCGTGAAGATCGTGGGTCGCTGCCAGTACCCGACGTCGTCGCCTTCGGGACCGCAAGGCTCAAGACCGCCAGTCACGATCGTGGCGCCCTCATCGAGTCCGGACTGGATGTAGGATCGGACCTTGTCTCGCTGCGCCGAGGAGATCTGGCGTCAGCTATCCAGAGCGGACATCGCAGCTCACCAATGGTCCCATGGAGGTCGCCTCCTCATACGGTTGACCGATGGCGCAAGCCTCTGCCCTCTGCTTCAGTTCGACCACGTACTCGTCAAAGTTTTCCTCCTGAACATAGATCTGAGATTAGCTCCAACATCGCCGCCGAATAGCTCACGCGACTACTGGCCGTGCAGTCCTGCCCAGTGTTGTAGAACACGCCCATGGCGGTCCAGTCCGCGGCCTGCTTCACATCGGCAGAGTTGAACACGATGAGGGGCGACTTGCCGCCGAGCTCCAACGTGACCTTCTTCAGGTTGGACGATGCAGCGGCAATCGAGATCTTGCGCCCCGTCGCGACTGATCCGGTGAATGCGACCTGCGGGTCAGCTCTGAGGCAGCATCCCCCCAGCTTACTTTATCGATGCCCATGTGGGAGGCGATGGCGCTGCCTGTCGTACCGCCCAGACCCGGGAGGGCGTTGAGCACGCCCGGAGGAAAACCAGCCTCCTTTGCCAGATCACAGATCGCCAGCGTAGTCAGGGGCGTGAGTTCGCTCGGTTTCACAATGATCGTGCATCCCGCAGCGAGCGCGGCCGCACACTTCCACGCCATCATCATGATCGGGTAGTTGTATGGCAGGCTGGAGTTAGCTCAGCCGATCCAGTGCGGTAGCTTACATCTGTCCGCAGACGCCGATGGGCTGGTGCAGAGTGTATGCGAGCTTGGAGCCGCCGAATGCATTCGTCGTCTGACCGTGAATCTTGTCCGCCAGACCAGCATAATAGCGGAAACAAGCTACCGCGTCGACAATGTCACCGTCACTTGGGGTTAGCTAGCCAACAAATAACAGCCCACCGAGCAATTCGGACACCCTTGCCAGAGTTCAGACTGTGGTCAGCTTCAGACATCGAGCAGGTAGCGTACCTCTCGAGAGCGGCCAGCCTGCTGGCGTCACGCTCGATGAGGTCGGCAAGCTTGTTGATGACTGAAGTTAGCTAAGTTCCGACACGGCCCAGCTCGCACGCACGCGCTGCTCGTTCCGTCGCATCAACGTTCATGCCCCATGTCGTGTTGAAGGCGGTCCTCGCAGCGTCCACAGCGGCGTCGACGTCGGCCGAGGATGCATGGGCGACACTGGCAATGGGCTTGCCAGTTGCGGGGTTGTATGTGGGGAAGGTCTCCTGGGTCGAGGAAGGCACCCACTTGTTGTTACTGGAAGTTAGTTGAAGCTACACAGAGCGAAAACTAACATGAACAAGCTGGTGGGGGTGTCTAGACTGCCGATGGTGGGAACATTAATGGTGGAATGAGTAGATGAGGAAGCATATGATCGAGCTGTGAGGAAGGGTAGGCGAGCAAGACGGTGTGCCCGCGGGAGCAACATGTTGCAAGGTGGATAGGGAAGGTGACGAATGTGAGATAAGACGATAAGGGAAGGTGTGGGTGGCGAGGAATGCAAGGAACGCGTGATCTCGACCAGGGCAGCTGCAGCATGCAGCATGCGGGGACCGAATGTGGAGGCTGCGGAGTGCGAAGACAGTGGGCAAGTGATCGAGCTTGAGCATGCTGGGCCAAGAGAGTCCGCAGTAGTGAGTCCGGATGATCTCTTGAGCAGAGTTGATCCAGGAATCCAATGAGAGGGGCCAGCTCGGTGACCTTTGGGTAGGAAGCCGCTCATGCGCTCGCCTTGCCTTCCCTCTGCATCAAAACCACCGCATGCCCTCTTTTTCTCTCCGTTGCAACATCCCCCATAACCCACCATGCCCAGTTGCACACACACACACTGGAATGTGTGCTCGACGACGACTCTGCAACGGACGACATGGTGAATCTGTCCCGAGGCTAAATCCGATCGGGCCCCTAGCCACCCAGCCAGCCAGCCAGCCTGAGTGGGACGGACCCGCACCCCAGCCAGCACCCGCCGTACAGCAAGCCATGCGTCCGCCAGGCGTGACTCGAGCCGGGCATCCAACCAATACCCGCTCGTCCACTGCATCCAGACATTGACTCACCCATGCTCTCACAAAGCACATCCATCGTCGCTTTCCGGCAGACATCTCAAGCATCCATCCCTCCCAACAATCCGCGCACACCATGTCGCCCGGTCCAACACCGAGGAAGCGCTCATCCCGCGCATGCGACGTAAGTCTTGGCTCTCCCCTGTTCCCCGCAGAGATTACCCGAGTTCTCGCGACAGAGTTCATCCTCAATTCCTCGACCCCGACAACAACAGTCTTTTGTCAACAGTCGGGAATGTAGCTCTGCGCAAACTGCTCGTTCACACGGCGGGCACCCGAGTGGAACGAGAGGCAGCTTTAGGGCGCGTCCATTGAAGCTGACAGACAGGGATGCAAACTGCGAAGGATGAAATGCGAGGAACTCGCGTCGTCCTCCAACGGCGAAATGACCTGCAAGTTGTGTCGCGAGGCTGGCACCAACTGCACCTTTGAGACACCTGTGCGGAAACGGTGAGTACAGGACAGCACAGTGGGGGCGGTCATGCGTTCACATGGAGTTGCTTCCTCAGGCTACGTCGGTCTGGGGTAGGAAGCTGTTTTGGCAGGACGTCGTCCAACTTTTGGAGGCACCCTTCCTCCGCAACCCGCAATTTCCCAGCTCTTCCAAGATGACCTCCAGCTGACAGACAGTGGACCTGCTCCCGGATTTCGTCGTCGTAACGGAAACGAGTCGCCCGGCAGTGGGGCGGGGTCTCGCCCTCACGACCAGGCATCCCCCCGTGAGCATGGAATGCCTGTCAAGCGACGGAGGTTACCTCTCCTCGGTCTGCCGCCCGGACTGGTCGACGAGCTGCTCGCCGTGTACTTCACATCAGTTCACGTAAGCTGTCCATCCTCTCCTAGCTGACATCAGTGCATCTGGCCGCTCATCTACAAACCAATGTTCAACCCACACACGGCGAGTGCGCCCCTGCTCCTCAGCATGCTCGCAATCTCCGCGTGCCTGTGTCCGCCCCAGACTGACGGCATCGACGGCGACAAGCTCTACGCGATGGCCGAGTCGGCGCTGCACCACTGCCGCAACGAGTCGCGCATCGACATCATCCAGGCGCTCATGATCCTGTCCCTACGCCAGACGGGAGTCGGCGACAAGCGCTCCGCGTTCACCTACGCTGGACGTGCGGCGACGATGGCACTGAATCTGGGTCTGCACCTCGCGCCTACTACGCCAAGCGAGGCAGGCGAGTGTGAGCTGCGCTCACGCGTGTTCTGGAACGTATACGTGCTCGACAAGATTCTTGCCGAGGAGCTAGGTCGCCCGCTGTTTCTGCGCTACCGGCGCAGCAGCACGCCGCTTCCCTCAGAGACCGAGTCGGACGAATTTGAGCCGTGGCCGCCTCAGTCGCCTTCCTCGGCCCCCGTTCCCGCACCGGTGCGACACATTACGCCGCGACGAGGCCACATCATGTCGTTTTTCGTATGGACGTGTCGCATGGGAATGATCATCGAGGACATCCTGGACCTCGAAGTCATTGGCCCGCCAGTGTACGACAGCTGGGACCGGCGGTTTATTGCGCGTATCGAGGCGGAGCAGGACACATGGCGCCGCGCGGAGCGCATCGCCGAAGACCTCGTCGCCTGGCGCGAGGCGATGCCAGCCAAGCTCGAAGTCAACCTGGACCCCAACGTGTCGCCTCTGCCGCACCACGTCGTCGGCCTGTCGTGGTACCACACGGCGCGCATTCTGCTGTACAGCCGCTTCCTGCGCCGGCGGAGCGGGCACGGCCGCGGTCCCCCCTCGCTCGTCGACAAGGCGCACCGCGTGTGCTCCGAGTCCGCCGAGGCATGCATCGACATGCTGGCGCATCTCGACCGGCACAAGCTGCTCTCACAATGCTCTTCGGACTGCATCCACATGATGTCCGTGATCACGCTGTGGGAGGCATTTGATGCGTCCTCGTCCGACCCAGCAATCGCGCACCGCGCCAAGCTCAACTTTGCACAGTGCTGTATCTGGCTGCGTGACTTCTCCTCCTCGTGGCCCGCAGCATCGGCGCACAAGCTTTTCTTCGAGGGTCTCATCCAGGGTGGTCTGAAGCTGAGTTCCGGGGACATGTTCCGCGAAGACCACACGCCGGAGAGCGAGCCGCGTTCAGGCGAGCCAGGCGTTACGATCACGGAGGGACTGCGCAGTATGGGCCGCAACCTAGCCGACGGGGACGAGGACGACACGCCGCGACAGCAGACCTCGGGCCACGAACTGGGCCAGCCGATCAGTCAGGGCTCCCAACTCGCGATAGGACAGCAGGGCCAGCAACAGCAGCCGAACCTCTTCAACCTGAGCCAGTTCTACTGGAACCACCTGACTACAACGGAACCGGCGCCAGGCGAAGGAGCAGGTGGCTGGGAGCTGGACCCCGGATTGGCGCCGCAGAACATGTTCGGGTCTCCCGCTGAGCCCATGCCCCCGCCGCAGAGGACGGATAGCACGCCTCCCGTCCAGTTCGCGGGACCTAGCAACTACTTTGACGGTGGAGGCCAGTGGGGCAACCCGCCCGCGCAAGGCGAGGGTTCGGACCAAGCTGCGATCTACGCTGCGCTCATGAGCTACATGGTGGAGGCGGCTAAGGGCCGTTAAGTGTGAGCCACGAGCGCGCACGAGTGGAGAGTTAGCGCACCGTCTCACGGTCAGAGATGCAAAAGTTGTATTCTATAGTACATGCATGAAAGTCGTACCATATCAGCTATCGGGAGAATCTATAAACTTATGAGCAGAGTCAGAGGGTGGGGCCTAAAAGTCATCGAGGATGTACGAGACCCCAGGATCGAGTCACTTGTCCATCTCAAAGAGGACGACTTCGGCGACCTTGGTGCCGGTGTTCTTGACGGTGATCTCATCCTTGGACTTGGCGCCGCGGATGAACACGCCATCGCCCTCCCCAAGGACCTGGTTCTGACCGCCCAGCGAGACCTCGACGTGGGCGCCGTCCTTGAGCGCCGGGCCAGTGTTGTACTTGGTGCTCTGGACGACCTGGACGTAGACGAGCTTGTCACCGGGCCTGTTGTCGCTGCGGTCCGTGACCTCCTTGTTCAGCTCCTTGCCGGGGCTCAGAAGCGTAGCGAAGAAGTTGAGGTCGGCATGGATGGGCGTGGGGCCCTTTGCGTCGCGCTCGTCAATGACGCCGGGGAAGGAGGTGGGCGCGACGACGTGCGCCCACTTGTCCGTCTTCTCGGCATCGGAGAAGTGGCGAGCATAGTACTTGGGCGTGAGGTTGCGCGCATTCGGCAGCGCCCAGATCTGGAGGAAGTGCACCTCGTCCTTGCCGCCGTTGTACTCCGAGTGGCGGATGCCGGTGCCGCCAGAGGTCATCTGGACGTCGCCGCGCGTCATGCCCTCGACATTGCCCATGGAGTCCTTGTGCGCGAGCGTGCCGCCGAGCACGTAGCTGAAGATCTCAGCCTCGCGATGAGGGTGGGTCGGGAAGCCGGTTCCGGGTGCGACGCGGTCTTCGTTGATCACACGGAGCGAGCCGAAGGACTCGAACCGCGGGTCGTAGTACGACGCAAAGGAGAAGGTGTGCAGCGTCTTGAGCCAGCCGTGGTCCGCCCCGCCGCGCGTCTGCGTGGGGCGGTACTGGAAGGAGACCTGGGAGGACATGCTGCGAGCGGAGGGAGTGGAGAGGGTGGAAGAGGCGAGAGGAGTGGTGGAAACCAGAGGCCGGGCGGCGCGGAAGAAGGGAAGTCGCGGAGTCAGGATGGCGATGGCGACGGCCAGGAAGGCGAGCGCGAGCGCGCTGAGCAGGCGGGGAATGGTGGCTGCACTCGGTGTCCGAGTGCGAAGAGTGCTGCGAGCGAAGTGAAGCTACGAGACTTGTAGCTGCGAGTTGCCAGTTGCTGGTGTTTGCTGAGGTTGTAGCGAGTAGAAGAAGAGCTGGCTACCGTAAAGTCGTTGAGTTGCTACTTGTGAGAGTAGGTTGTGTTCGAAAAGTTGATGGGAATAAGATCTGCATCCAAGTCAGCTCCTTTTATACTCGTTGCAAGAGATGTTGTCGTCATAACAGTGCGGAGTGCGGCATGTCAGCGCTGGGAGCGATTATCAATCCCGCCCCTGGCCTTCCCCTCTAGCGCCCCCCGCTTCTGGTGCGTCGTGCCTGAACGTCGATCTAGAATTACCCAAAGAGGAAGGTATTCTCCCACGCTTTTATCAGCCAGTCCTCGCACTTTTTTCCTCGTTCCCTTTCGATCGGGAAGAGGAAAGGCTGACTACTAGCTCCCACCAAGCGGCGACACGTCGACGCGTTGAGAATGCTGAGGCAAGAACGCAAGTCGTGACGTGTTGCCTTGGCTTTTATAGCGGAAGTGCTCTCCGGCTGCTCTGCGGCAAAAGAAGGGTGAGTCACTCTTCCCAGGAACACGTGCAGGGACCTTCGTGCGGGGCACCACCAGAAATTTCCAGTCACCTCCACCAGCCCTCATCACCACCCTCTTCCACCGGTCATCGAATCAACGCCGCGACGTTTTCCGTCATGGAGAAAAAGTATTGGCGTAGGGAGTGAACGAACACTCGCTTGACGAGAGTGGGATTCGAACCCACGTCCGAAGACTGCGGAGATGCTTGGATACACCTTAACACAGCGCCTTAGACCGCTCGGCCATCTCGCCGGGGATATCGGAACTCCGGCAGCCCGGGGACGGCGGCGGGGCGCTGGGGGCGAACGGCGAGCGGCGAGCGAAGCGAGGCCCGATTAGTTGGCAAAGCGGAAGAGACCTACGTTCTCTGGACAGATCTTGACCGGAGAACCCTCTTGACTCGTCTTCCAGTGGAAGCTGCGCGAGGGCTTCCCCCTCTCTCTCTCATTCTCGGAGGAACATCCAATGTAGCGGCTGCGCGGTCTGTCTGGCTCTGAGATACCCATCAGGCGTTGCCAATCCGTCTCCGAAACGCCCGGCGCTCTCGGCCGGGGCTGCGCCCCGCCAATCGTATCTCCTCACCATAGCTCAGTTGGTAGAGCGTCGGACTGTAACTGATACAATCTCAAAGCCGCCTGATCAGGCGACCACATCCGCAGGTCCTGTGTTCGACTCACAGTGGTGAGACTTTTTGGCTCTCCAGCGACCGCAAGCTGTCCGGGAAGTTGCCCGGCAGCTATCGATCAGGGATGGGATGGTGCAGGAAGAAGAAGGGGAAGGCTGGAAGTCAGGACGCCCGCTCTCTGCCGTTCAAGGTCGTGGCTGCGGGTTGGGCAGTTCTAACTGTAATGAACTTTCACACTACTGGTACTTCCTAGACCTCTGGCTCCCCTCCAGGCTGTACTCCCCTTAAAGAGAACTCAGAATGCGTATCGTAGGGCGTATGCGAGGGTGCGGCGTCCTGCGGAGCCACTGCACTCCTAGAAATCATCTGTGGCACTAAGCAGCATTTCGCGGATTATGTTCACCTCGTGCACCTTAGCCTCTACGCAAGGCCTCAGAGAGCAGCGTCCCTCGTTATACTGATCCACACACTATCTTGGATCATTCAAAGGAGCTACTGAGTTCGGGTGTGGTGAAGGAAGACCCCAGGTTGTCAGCCAATCACACCTCTCGTCAGGGCAGACGTTCCTACGCGTTCCCTACCCGTCAAAAAGCTCTTCCTCAACTCCGGAGAGCCTGGAAGACCGATGTGTGGGACGAGGGCGGATCGAACGCCCGACCTCAAGAACTGAAGCTTCACTCTCGCGCTCTCCCAACTGAGCTATCATCCCGGAGTCACGCTGGCCTCGGCGTGGCGCCGTGATAGTCCTAGCCGGTACGACCGGCCGATGGCATTATTATCACAACTTCAATGGCGCTCCATCCAGTCGAGGACTGATGCGAGCAGACTGCGGCAGTGAGATATCGAAGTGGTACTTTCGCTAGTCTAGGTTCTGAAACCCCTCGGTACTCTTCCGGGGTCGCTCCTGCCCATCTCTGCAGTACGAAGGGTCGATCCGGCCGCTGCACATGACGGATGGGAGAAGCTCTCTCTGCAACCGACCACATCACACTCTGCCTCCTACCCTCTCTTTCGCCCATGCCAACTCCCCTGCTTGGTGAAAAAGGAGGCGTAAGGAGGCAACTGAATGCCCTCTTGACGAGAGTGGGATTCGAACCCACGTCCGATGACTGCGGAGGGGACGTCGGACTCGGAACTCCGAGCCGATGAACCTTAACACAGCGCCTTAGACCGCTCGGCCATCTCGCCTGCTGTTCGCCGGCGCTTGAGCCAGACTGTGGGTACCGGCGCCGCTGTGCGGGCGCATGGGCTCGTCTTGTATTCATTCATCAATTGTATTCGCGAGTGAGAAAGTGGCAGAGGGTAGATGGCGATATGAAGTCTGGTGGATAGGTTATGCCACACTGGACGGATGGATGCACCTTGGACCCACTCCGATTCCGCTCAACCCCTTCAATCACTGCCGAGAGAAGGTGGGCAGACCTCTGCTGAGAGTGCTGGGCCTTGGCGAGGGGCATAGATAAGTGCCGGCTGAACCACGCGGGCCCCTTTCCGCCCGCTCTTCCCGACTTCTCCGGTCGATTCCTTATCAGCTGATTTAAGTCGCCAAGGTCCACTTTCCGGTGCATGCCGTTGCCACCGCCGACCATGAGTCTCTGTTAACGCAACCCATTCATTGTCCCGAGGTACAAGTAGGAATGCGTGAACAGCGACAGAACATTATGCTACCAGCAGCAAACTTCCACTTCACAGGCTATTTACCATGACCATTGACACCCCCCTCCCCGCCACGATGAAGGCGATCATGGCACGGGGCAAGTACAACCTCAAACTTGAGGACGTGCCCGTTCCCCAGATCGAGATGCCGACGGATGTGATCCTGAAGACCCGCGTATCCGGCTTGTGCGGTGTGTGTTTCTATCTCTCCAGCGCTAACGCCAGGCTCCGATTTGCACATATACCGTGGCACAGACCCGACGCAGGGCTACATTATCGGTCACGAGGTCGTAGGCGAGGTGGTCCGCATCGGCGACGCCATCAAGAACTTCAAAGTCGGTGACATTGTGGCCGCACCGTTTGCGAGCAACTGCGGAGCATGCTTCTACTGCGACAAGGGGTACACTGCGCGCTGCGCCCAGTCTGAAGGGTACGGCTGTGAGGCCCTAAACGGATGCCAGGCCGAGTACGTCCGCCAGCCTCTTGCTGATAGTTCCCTGTTTCCCGTGCCCGAGGGGATGAGTGAAGAGGCGATGTTGCTCCTGGGCGATATTCTACCCACGGCCTACTCGTGTGCGTACCACGGTCGTAGGCTGCTGGACGAGGACGATGACCGGGAGATGAACACCCCTATTGACGCCGTTGCCGTTGTGCTCGGCTGTGGCCCGGTCGGGCTGTGCTGCGTCTCGAGCGCCAAGAGCATGTTCAAGACCGTGTACGCGACCGATCCGTCCGAGGAACGCCGAGCCCAGGCTGCGAAGCACGGTGCGATTGCTCTCCCTCTCGAAGAGCTCCAGGCTACTCTTTCCAAGACGACGGACGGACGAGGAGCCGACGTAGTCCTGGAGCTGGTCGGAAACACGCCCGCACTGCATACCGCGCTTGAGCTCGTGCGGCCCTTCGGTGCAGTCAGCTCGATCGGGATGCACATGAAGCCACTCGAGCTGCATGGCGAAGCCCTGTATGCCAAGAACGCTCGACTCCAGTTCGGCCGCTGCTCTGTGCGCAGGTTCTTTCCTGGCGCACTCAGGGTGTTGCAGCAGAACAGGGAGCTGTTCGACGCGTTCATCCAGCATCGTATCCGATTCGACCAGTTCGCCGAGTACTACGAGCTCTTCGACAAGGGCAAGATTGGCAAGACGGTGTTCTACGCCGATGATGTGCCTATTCCTGGTGCTTAGGTTGTGTGCAGTTGTAGAAGTCGAAATGTGTGGTTTACCGCTAATGAGTCCAAGTTCTGAGTTTGGCACGTCATGTCTCAACATGTGGTACTATCCATCTCCCGTTTCCACTACGGTCTTGCCGATGTTCTTCGAGCCTGCTTCACTCCACCATGGTCACTACAAACAGAGTGAGCATGTATGCATGTCACAGTGGCCCCTTTCAGCGAGCGTCTTACTTGCTCAATGCGTCAGAACTCGTCCGTTCGTAAGGCACTTCAATTATCTGATATACATTCGTTCATTCAGTTTCTATTCAATACCTAGTTGCGCGCGGCAATCACTTCGAGGCCGCACGGAGCCTCCAGAGGGAGTCCAAGCACCTTGACCGTGGCGCGTGCAGGGCGGTGGTCGCCAAGGAACTCGACAGTGAGCTTATTGAAAGCGTCAAAGTCCGCCAGATCAGTAAGGTACAGCGTCTGCTTGAGAATACGCTGGGGCGAGCTTCCAGCCTCCTCGAGCACGACCGAGAGATTTTGGTAGATGCGGCGGAAGCGCTCCTCGGCCGTGTCGCCGACGAGCTGCCCGGACTTGGGGTCGATGGGCAGAATGCACGTGCTGTAGATTGTGTTCTCATGCACTGTAGCGTGAACGTAGGGACCAACAGTCTTGGGCGCTCTGGACGGAGCGATGCCGGTGATGGTTGTGCGGGCGAGGGTCACTACTGGGGTCAGGGACACAATGCCTGACACTCACTGGTTGGTGTCGTGGTGGCCGAAGTATTCCGGGCTGCTTGGTTGCCTCCATCTACAGGTTCGTTAGTTATATAGAGACTGATGATAAGCCCCTGTCTATGCATGCAGGACAGCCATTGGAAGGATCCGGAGGAGAGCCGGTTCTTACCTGCCATGCGCTAACAGTTGCGGAGGACGACCGGTCTTCTCCGCGATAAGGAGAACATCGGCATGATGCCCACCTCCCCGTCTTATCGGCTCGGCGTCTTGCGGTAGTCGCCCCCACCTACTCGGCAAACTCAGGTCCTCGAGTTCTCACGTTCGGAGGTTTATATGCTGCAGGCGCAGGAGTTGAGCAGCCACCACACAACACAATGCTTCGCAGCATTCGACCCACCCATCTCGCGAGCGTCCGAGTACGACCTCGATTGCAGCTCCATACCACTTCTCGAATCACTAGTCCGAAGAGTTCGCCCAGTAACAATGCCCCAGTGGACACGACAGCGCATTCAACTTCCAGCACCGCTGCGGCTGAAACGATGCGGGATGCCTTCACCAGCCTTCGTGCACACTGGGACAGCGCACGCGGTCACGCTCGAGGACACCCTCGGCTCGCGAAAGGAGCGACAGGCGGCGCGCTGGCCCTGGCTGGTCTCGCGTACTTCCTCTCAGGTGATGACGGGAAGAACGATCCTATGCTCGGCCGCCCCAATCCTGCCGACGTTGATGCGTTATCGCGTGTACCTCTCTCCAAACTCGTGTCAGGGTGGATGTGAGCTCCATTCCTCTTCCACTTCTGACTTGCAGTGTGTATGCCTTCTGTTCTTCGCCTCTACTAATTGAATGGTCCGAGCCTCTCTTCAAGACACTCCGTCAGGTCCCCATCATTGGATACTTTGTGGACGACTTTGCGCGACGGACATTCTTCCGCCAGTTCTTCGGGGAGGAGACGCCGCGTCTCGCCGCGCTCAATGTCTGGGCACCCCTGAGGGCGGAGCATGTCGGCGTGCTTACCGCGTACAACGTCGAGGCGGAGAACTACGACAGCATCCTCTCTCATGCGACAATCCGCGAATGTGTTGAAGGAACTCTCGACGCGATCCGCAAAGTCGGCACGTTTGGCCTGGCGAACTCTCCTCCTTCTGCTGCGGAAGCAGGTGACACGCGCTGCTGGGTCCGGACCAAGGTCAGTGGGCTGCTACCCGACCCACAGATCATGATCCGTGCCAGTGAGTATATCGTGCACAACAGGCAGGGCGCCGTGCCGTACCCAGGTGTGCCAGAGGATGGTGACTTTGACCGCCTCATGCACGGCGACGGCCTCAGTGTCGAGGACAGACGGGCACTCAAGGGTCTGTTTGAGGAGCTGCGCCAGTTCATGCGCCAAGGGCAGAAGTACGGCGTGCGTGTCATCCTCGATGCAGAGCAGAGCTGGTACCAGCCCGCGGTGGACGTGATGACGGAGGAGCTGATGCGGGAGTTCAACTCTGGCAACGGACCAGCGATCGTGTGCGCCAGCACTCAAGGATACCTCAGGCGCAATACTGCGTTGCTGAAGAGCCAGTTCAAACGCGCTCAGAGGGACGGCTACAAGTACATCTACAAGCAGGTGCGCGGAGCTTACCTGCCCTACGAGCGTGCGCGGTGGAAGGAGAAAGGCTTCGCTGGCCCGCCTCCGGTGTGGGACACGAAGGAGGAGACAGACGCGACGTATGATACGGCAATGCGCATGGGTCTCAAAGCTATCAAGGAGCGCCAGGAGGACGGGAGCAAGCCCGATGTCGCTGTCGTCTTCGCGACGCACAATGAGGTCAGCGTTGACACTGCAATTCAGTACTTAGAGGACTACGGAATGGGTACCAGGCAACCAGACGGAAGCCTCCTCATCGATCCATTCGTTGCCAACCGAGTCGCGTTCGCCCAAATCTACGGCATGAAGGACAATCTTACGAACCGCACCGCCGCTAGCGTCAAGACCGAGGACGGTCTTCCCGTTGTGTGCAAAAGTGCGGTATACGGTACACTCGAGCATGCCCTGCCTAATCTGAGTAGGAGAGCAGCGGAGAACAAGACGGTGATGGAGGGACGGGGCGGAGCTATTGCTGAGAGGCGCCGCATAGGGCGCGAGCTGTGCAGGCGGTACGTGCCGTTCTATACGAGCGAGAGATAGACAACGCGTAATTGCAGAGCAAGTAGTGTCGAATGCATATCGAGTTGAGATTTGGAATACCGCTGAAGGTAACTGAACGGCTGCGTCTATGAACTGAAATGGGGAGCGCATCGCAAGGACTGTGTCAGTGCGGCGTCACCGGCTCCTTAAGCTGCGCATGTCTGACCGTCAGTCGGACTACTGCTGGCCAACTCCAAAGTGATGATCTTTTACCATCGGTAGATTCCCTTCCAATGTACGTCATTGCTCGCACGGTCGTCGACAGGCCGCCAGTATGAGGCGCCAGACTTCCTGGGAGTCAAACAGCTAGATTTCAGAATGAATATGGAAGCATTCCCACTATCTATGCGCGTGCAGATGCCTTGCCTAACACTATGAAACGTACAAGTATCACGATAACCCGCAATCAAGGCTGCAGGGATTCAGGATGCGGCATATCCCTTTGACGTCGGCGGCGTTCGCTCCCCCAGCCAAGCAGCACAACCCCCATCTCTCGTGTATCTCGATTAGATACCGATCTTCCAGACTTCTCCGACGGCCTCCAAGCCCTTTCCGGTCTTTGCCGTGCTCACGTGACCGACCTCTGCCCACCGTCAACATCGGCCCACCAGTCATCTCCCGAGTTTGCCTTCAGCGTCTCCGTGCGCACTCCAGCTATGCCCCATTGCGGTCCTCCGCCGCCCTCGGCGCAACGCGCTCTGCGAATCCTTCGCGGGGTACCCATTCACCTTAATAACATGTGCCCGCAACCTATCCCGACGGGCTCCCACAGCGCGACTAAGGGCTGAAAGTGACTTGTCTGTTGTCACCTCAGACCATATCTCAATCTTCAAACTGGCAACATGGACGCCTCTTCGATCGATTACAACAAGAAGACGAGCAATATGCCTGGCGCTAGTGTGGACGTCATACCTGTGGAGAAGTACGACAATGACCCGTCGGTGAAGCACATCGACGACGTCGAGTACGGGCCTGCCGACGTCAAGGTCCACGACGCGGTATTCGGCGATGTCACTGAGGACGGGCCAAACTACCGCAATGTAAGTCTCTGCGTGTATTAATGCTGACGCTGAGGTTTCATGGGTTGGCGCAGTCATTCTTATGTGCAAGAGCAACATCGGTCTCGGCGTGCTAGGCATTCCGGCCGTCTTTCAGACCATGGGTGTCGTGCCGGGCATCATCCTGATCTGCTTCGTGCAAACGATAATCACGTGGGCCGACTACGTCGTGGGCACGTTCAAGCTGAACCACCCTGAAGTGTACAGTCTGGCCGACGCGGGACGTGTATGCTTTGGACGGGTCGGTGAGGAGATCTTCGCGGTCATCTTTTGCATCTGTGGGTGTTCGGGTTGTCGCGTGGCTGACGTCAGACATGGTGTTTGTCTCCGCCTCGGGTCTCGTGTCGATCAGTGTGTCTCTGAACGCGATCTCGGTCCATGCGACATGTACCGCCGTGTTCATGGTGTGCGCTGCGGTTGTCGGCGCCATCTGCTGCAGCATCCGTACGCTCGGCCAAATCACCTGGCTCGGATGGGTTGGGCTATTCTCGATCCTCACAGCCGTCATCACGCTCACGATCTCGGTTGGTGTGCAGGACCGGCCCGCCGATGCGCCGCCGAACTGGCAGAAGGAGTTCTACATCATCGGTCACCCCGATTTCGCCGGAGCGATGAGCGCAGTCGCATCGATCGTGTTTGCGACCTCGGCAACATCCACTTACTTCGGCATCGTCAGCGAGATGCGCGATCCGCGCAAGTTCAACCGCTCCATGCTCATTGCGCAGGCGTTCACTACCGCGTTCTATATCGCCATCGGCGTCACCGTCTACTACTACTGTGGGCAGTACGTATCCTTCCCCGCGCTTGGCAGTGCCGGCCCACTCATGAAGCGTGTCACATACGGCATCGCGATCCCGGGTCTTCTTGTCACGTACACGATTTACTCCCACCTACCGGCAAAGTACATCTTCGTGCGCCTCCTGCGCGGCTCGCGCCACTTAAGCTCCTCCACCCCAACGCACTGGATGTACTGGCTCTCCTGCACTTGCGGAATCACGCTTATCGCGTACATCATTGGCAGTGCGATTCCCGTCTTCAGCAACCTCGTCGGATTCATCGGTGCCTTCTTCTGTCCCTGGATCTGCATGATCCCCTTTGCGTTCATGTGGCTCCACGACAACTACAAGAACAACCCGAACCGCACTATCGCCATTGAGCTACAGGCGGCGTGGGCCGTGTTTGTGATTCTCGCCGGCCTCTTCCTTATGGGCGCGGGGACGTGGAGTGCGATTCTTGCGCTTATCGCAGACTCGTCGCGCACGTCACCATGGTCGTGTGCGGACAACTCGAACTCCGTGTAGATGCCTTGCTTGTTAGTCGCGAAATCATCGCAATCAGCCGTTGTGTGCAGTATGCAAAGTGTAGTTACTCCCTGCCTTTTGGACGGACCAGCGGCACCTCGTCCACAGATGGAACGTATTGACGGGGCCTTATCGGGCCGCTCTATCGGCTCTACCCGATTCAGGGTTCAGCCCAGATAATCCAGATCCGGCGATCTGGTCACCTGCTCGCAGACCGCGTACAACCGTTGCCGCGTCAGTGGGCATTGTTGCCATCGTCACATCACCTACTAATAATACGACCAGGCAACAATGCCACCAGCCGAGAAGGATGGGCCGCGGAGTTCCGTCCGCCCCCAACGGACGTACAGGGCTTGCTACCCCTGCCGAGCGGTGCGTACACCCCAGAACTGGTACTGACAGATAGCGCAAGACGAAGTGCAGCTTCGGCAACCCAAACCAGCCATGGGATGGGCCTTGCGAGCGCTGCCGCCGAGAGCAGCGAGAGTGTGTACGGGGCAAGTCAACCACCATTCCGGCCGTTATCCCGCGCAAATCGGACGCGTTAGACTTAGACCCCTCTTCGCCTCAAGCTCGACCACCGCACGTCTCCCATCCATCACAATCGTCTCGGAGTCGCTCTCCCCGATCGAGATCACCTCGACACCAGACAGAGGAATATGCTGACGCGCCTGGAGAGTACTACTCCGGAGAAGAGGAGGACTTGGGCGAAGGGACAGGCGGGGAAAACACGCTCCTCAACTCCCATCTGCAGAATCCAAACGATGCTCTGCGTCTCCTGGCCAGCGCGAGCAGTCTGAGCTACAGACGAGTGGGGCAAAATGAGAAGAGGGAGGTGCGGTGGGCAGGCGACAACGACGCAATTTGGACTGAGTTCGAGCCCATTGAAGAGGGCTGCGTGACCGTACAAGAGGCACAAGCTTTGTTCACCTTGTGAGTTTTCCTGGAGTACTGGGCTGACGACAGCTTCGAACTGGAGATCGCCCCGCTATACCCCCTCCTACATCCTGTTTTGTTCGAGTCACAACATCTCGCCAGTCTCATTCACGAGGAATCCCTGCTTCTTGCAGTCGTCATTGCCATTGCGGCGAGATACTCGACGATCCTGGCAAACAATCGCGGACCAATCGTACACCGCAAATTGTCCAAGTGGATACGGCAGAGAATCTTGGACGTGTTCGATGGCGAGCCCGCACTGAGGTGTATCAGTACCGTCGAGGCGCTGTTGCTCTTGACGGAATGGCCCTTGGCGCCCAAGACTCCAGCTTCGGGCCGTGCCGACGCCGCATCAGAGGAAGCTCGCCTCCTTTCTCCGTCATTGCGCTACGACGCGAGCTCATGGACAAACATCGGACTGGCGGTGCGATTGGGACAAGAGCTCGGGCTGCACCACGCCATCAGCGCGAACAGGAAAGCTCCAGCGACCTGGCGCGAGATGCGTTCTTTGAAGACTTGGGTGTACTGCTACACGGCGGACCGGCATATCGCTGTGCGACTGGGTCGGAACGCTGTGTTCCAGGAAGCGATGAGCAGTCGATGGTGGGAGGCAACCAGCAGCTTCGTCCACAGCCCACAGAAGCGGGAGGATGTGTGGACCTCTGACGCATGGATCCTCGGCGCGATTGCTCAGCTCATGGGCACGATCCAGGACCACCTCTACACGAATAAGGATATGACGCGGAGCCTACTGCGAACTGGGGCTTGGGAGCCGTTTCTCCGCAGTCTTAGGCTCGAGATCCGGTATTCGAAACGTGCTACCGCTCATCAGCTACGCGATGGGAGCCTAAGCAGTGCCCTGCTTCAGATCGAACTCGACTACGTTGTCCTGTACGCCTACTCGCTAGCTCTGCGCGCATTGCAGGACAAGCTCAGGAGAAGGCGCCAAGCAGGAGACGTTCACTACACCGCCCCCTCGCTCTTGAACCTGGTCGAAGGACCATGGATTATGGAAGCGGCGAGCGCGGCGCGGTCCATTATCGAAACAGCTCTGAACGTACTCCGAGCGCGTGGTCTGCTCCGATACTGCCCCTCACGCATCTTTCAGTTCATCCTCTTCGCGACGACGTTTCTTTACAAGGCCTTAGCATGTGGGATGGTCGAAGAAGGCCAGAAGAAGATCGCGGGCATGCTGGATGATATTGTTAGTGCTCTCAGTAGTGAGAGCATTGATGACGAGCACTTCGTTAAGGGGTTTGCGGAGCTGCTAACGCGGCTGGGGAAGCACTGGAAGAGCGGGGCGCGCACCAACTCGCCGTCCGTGCTCAATGTAGAGCCGAGTATGCGGGAGGAGAACCGGGACTCGGACCCGCCAGCAGTACTCCGGACAGCGCCCGCAGCGCCAGCGCAGAACGACACGCAACACGCGATGCAGCTGGAGAATATCCCAATACCAGGACTCAACGGCACGCCACCCAATCTCCTTGAGCTCGGGTGGAACTTCAACCCAGTATTCCAGATGCCGGCGGCGGATCATGAACAGGACATCCTCTTCCAGACTATCTGGGATACCTCACTGCAAGAAACGGATAACGAGACGTCCAACCTATACGCCACGCTGCTCGGCGACTCCCTGAATCTCCCCGATGGAGCGGGTCTGTAATTGTTAAAACACGCTCAGTAGTTTGCTCTGATGCATGACGTTGTAAAGCTCTGCCAAAAGAGGTACGCGAGGGATGCGAAACTTATTGTGTAGGGTGGCAAGAAGATGCAGAACTGGTGGGCAGCCTGGATCCGGTGACGCTTGGCCATTCGATTCGGTTGGCTGAGGTGGGCACGGCAAAGTCCGGAATCGGTTACTTGGCCCCCCTCACTTGAGTGGCTCGGCTTCCTTTCCCTCGGCACGCAGACCCGGGGCACAACGCCATCGCTATCAGAGCAGATAGGGCCCTGCCTTCAGAGAATTTTATGTTGGCGCGGGCTGCGCGCTGCGCGTGGTGGTTTCTGCCCACGTTATCCGGCATCAGACAAGCACTTCCCTCGGCCGTTGCTCTCTACACTCCCAGAGCAGTGCGGGACCATGTCTTCTAACAGTGATGAGAGGTCCAGGCAGATTGTGTGCGCAGTATTGCCCATCCCACAGCTGCAAGAACAGCAGCAGTGTCGACGGCCAGCCGTCGGTGACGGCGCCGGCAGCGGAGTTGACAGGAAGACGTCCAGGACATCTATGGTGAAATGGTATCATGCATCGTTGCCACGTGTGATTCGATGCGGTGGGGGTTCGATTCCCCCTGGATGTATTCATCTTTTTCTGGTCTAAACTGTTCAGATGCATGGTAGCGCGGGTTGCTCATGGTTGAAGGTGGCCGGAAGGTGGATGGATGGTGGATGTCGACTTCTAGCCCGTGTTATGTAAGAGTGGGGCGCGCGGGCTTTTATGTAAGACCATGATAAGGCTTATCATCGGCAACATCCTACCAAGTTGGCGCCCGTGCCGACGATTACCGAGTTTCTCACCGTGGAACATTCGTCACTCCACCACACACAGCCCGGCGTTTTCCGGCCTTTGCCATGGGACCGGTGGGCGTTTCGGCGTCATATCTCGGATACGCGCTTAGCACGCCGAGACTTCATATCCATCCCGCGGCACTTATAAGAGATGCTCGGGGCACGTCTCCGGCCGGCATACAAACACGCATTCACCATGTCTACCACCTCATACCAGTTCGTCCCACCCAAGGTGTACAACGAACCTTCGTTCGAGTACGCAAAGGGTTCGCCTGAGCGTGCGCTCGTCGACAAAGCTTTAAAGGAGATGAAGGCGCAGCTTCCGTTCGAAGTGCCCTGCGTTGTGGGCGGAAAGGAGATCAAGACGGGGCAGATGATGCAGCAGATCCGGCCCGACGACGTGAAGGGTCAGCCGCTGGCCGAGTTCCACGCCGCTACGCCCGATGTTATTGCACAGGCGATTAAGGGCGCCGTCGCAGCCCAGCGCAAGTGGGCCTCGACGCCGTGGTACGAGCGTGCGACTATCTTCCTCCGTGCCGCTCAGCTCGTGTGCGGCAAGTACCGTTGGCAGCTGATGGCGGCCACGATGCTGGGTCAAGGCAAGAATGTCCTCCAGGCCGAGGTCGACTGTATCGCCGAGCTCGCCGACTTCTTCCGCTTCTCCGTCCAAATCGTCGATGACGGGTACAAGCAGCAGCCCATGACTGTCGTCAATGATGCGGCCAACCGCATCGAGTATCGACCTCTCGAGGGCTTCACGCTTGCAGTGTCGCCGTTCAACTTCACTGCCATCGGCGGAAACCTCGTTATCGTTCCCAGCATCCTCGGCGGTGTCGCACTCTGGAAGCCCTCCCCTATGAGCTTGTACGCCAACTACCTCACCCACAAGATTCTCCTGGAAGCAGGTGTGCCGGGCGACGTAATCCAGTTCATCCCTGGCGACGCTGTGGCGATCACCAAGCAGTGCTTCGAGCACCGCGACTTTGCCGCCCTTCACTTCGTTGGCTCCAGCAAGGTCCTCCGCGACCTCTGGGAGCAGGTCGGCGCCAACATCCACAAGTACCGCTCGTACCCGCGCATCGTGGGCGAGACCGGCGGCAAGAACTACCACCTCCTGCATCCCAGTGCGGACTTCGAGTCGACGATCACCCAGGCTATCCGTGCCGGATTCGAGTACCAGGGTCAGAAGTGCAGCGCCCTCGGACGCCTCTACATTCCCCGCAGCATGTATGAGGCTGGGTGGCTAAACCAGCTCGTCGAGCAGGTGAAGACAATCGTTCAGGGACCTGTCGACCAGTACCCCTCGTTCATGGGCCCGGTCATCAGTGAGCGGTCGTTCGACAACATCCTGTCTCTTATCGAGGCGGCCAAGGCCGAGGGCGGGGTCGTCCTCACCGGAGGTAAGGGAGACAAAAGCGAGGGTTACTATGTCCAGCCGACTGTGATCCTGACGAAGGACCCGAAGTCCGTCACCATGACAAAGGAGATCTTTGGCCCGGTGATCACAGCATACGTTTACGAGGACGACGAATTCGAGAACATCTGCGACCTCATCGACGATACCACCGAGTATGCCCTCACCGGCGCCGTATTTGCGACCGACCCGCACGCCCTCGCCCGCGCGACAGAGATCCTCCGATACTCGGCCGGAAACCTGTATCTGAACGAGCGCACCCCCGGAGCCCAGGTCGGACAACACCCGTTCGGCGGTAACCGCTCCTCAGGCACGAACGACAAGAGTGGCACCTGGGCCCATTTCTCCCGATTCGTTTCGCCCCGCACTATCAAGGACAACTTTGCCTCGCCTCCCACTCAGTTCACTCACCCCTCCAACGTGGCCTAAGTTGTAGAGCATATGTATGGATCGTACTGCGAGGTGTCTCGGGAGCAGGATACTCGGGGCCGACGCCCGAGCGCTGACGAGCGGAGTTCCGGCTTCCCCGCCAGTAGGCGAGATGGCCGAGCGGTCTAAGGCGCTGTGTTAAGGTTCCGCACCTCGGATCTCCGAGGCCGACGTTCTCTTCCGCAGTCTTCGGACGTGGGTTCGAATCCCACTCTCGTCAAGCGAGTGGTCGCACACTCCCTTACGCCAACCTTTTTCGATATGGAATTGTGTCGCAGAGCTGGCAGAGGAATGGAACTGGAACGGCGTCATTAGGCCGGAGTGGTAAGGGAGGTGGAGGTTGACTGGTGTCTCGCTCTTAAGTGGTGAGCCGCGAAGGGTCCGTAATCGGCTCTGCCACCTCACATGCATTCCCTTCGTCGAGGCACGTCGTCGGGCAGAACTGATCCCAGTTGAAGCTCGACCGCTCAAGTTGGCCACAGCGGGGGGCGCAGACTAGGTCTTGCGCCCGAGACACATGTGGCACTTGTTCGATTTTTGACTTCACGTCAGCCGCCAACTCACTACATTCTCAATCTCTCCCTTTCGGCCACCACTGTCCATGAAGGGTTGCAGACAGACCATGGACAAAAAGGTCCTCGCCGGGATTTGAACCCGGGGCCACTCCCAATCCGTCTTCGAAGAGACGAGGAGGCAAAGCTCAAGATGTTAGATCACCCTAAGAGAGTATGATAACCACTACACCACGAGAACGTCCGATGGACAGACGATCGCCCTCCGCCGCGCTGGCCCAGGACGGCTCGCAGCTCGGATTCCCTGTCGAAAGCAGAGCAAGCAGACTTGGTACGATGGGCCGAGACAGGTGGTAGTGCCTCAAACAGCCTATCACGTGCCATGACGTAGTACGAACGGAGTCGCAGCTCACACACGGAATCGTAGGATTGCGCTCCAGCCACACTTCCGAGATTCGGCGCGCGTGGCAGAGCGAAAGACGAGACCCTGTCCCAAAGTGTGGACTGCCAAGCGACCGTGGTAACTCTGTCACGGAAAGGCTGGCTGCACATCTCAACCCGTTCAGTGTCCTCTGCGGCTTCGGCGCGATCAGGCGACTCCGTCAGGAGCGATGAGTCCGACTCCGACGCTGATCCCCACCAGGCAAGATGGCCGAGCGGTCTAAGGCGCTGTGTTCAGGTCCCTCTCCGATCTCCATCGGAGCTGATTCCAAATCGCAGTCTTCGGGCGTGGGTTCGAATCCCACTCTTGTCAACGAGAGCATTCAGTTGCTCACTAACTGGTCTTTTTCTGTGAATCTGAATTCACATGTCAGGTGGCGCTGAAGGTTCCAGTGAAACGAGGCGGGGTCATGGACTGAGATAACTTGGCTAACCTGATGCGAGATCTATCCAGTGTTGAGGGATTTGTCTGTCAGGCAGAAGGGTTATAGGACCTGACTGTTACCGACTGGTCGGGTTGCCTTGCTGCCTTTCATCAGGTCCAGAGACACACGAGCTCTGCACCCCCGACCTTCATCGGGCCCTCCTCTTGCCTACCGAGTAACTCTTGGGCATCCTCGGGGCAGAGTGCGACGGCGTCGCTGACGCCATCCCGCCGAGCTCGGCGCCGCCCTCATCCCGGCGAGATGGCCGAGCGGTCTAAGGCGCTGTGTTAAGGTGACCACCCGTCCTCGAACGGGCTCTCCTCCGCAGTCTTCGGACGGGGGTTCGAATCCCACTCTCGTCAAAGAGGGTATTCAGTTGCCTCCTTACGCCTAACCTTTTGGTCTCCTGGACGGAAGACCGAACTGGCATTCGGCGTGGATGGAAATTTGACCAAAACTCCAAGTAATTGGTTCAAGTGCCACTCGGACACCCACCTGTACTCCGCCGTCGGAACGTCGTTTGGATCACGCGTTTTTCAATTCCTCATCCGACCACTGCTTCGGAGCTACGAGTCTGCTGGGTACGTACATATTAAACATTCAACTGAGTGGTTCAAAAAGTCTCCTAAACCTCTTCAGGAAGGAGGTATTCACTGGGACGAGGGCGGATCGAACGCCCGACCTCAAGAACTGAAGCTTCACTCTCGCGCTCTCCCAACTGAGCTATCATCCCGACCACGGACATTCGGCATTGCTGCCGGGATGTGAAACCGCCAGCCTTGGGCAAGCTCGCTCGATGGTATCTGGAGCTGTGTAGCAGAATGGACCGCTCCAGTCGCTGCTTTTCACCAACACGAGTCAGTGTGCAGAAGGTAGCGCGCCCGTTCTCCGCACGCTCTATCGCTCAGCCGATGGCTCGTGGTCGTAAGCCACTTACTGACGATCTCGGACCCCGCTGTGATGTGCGGTAGCCGGAGCGTGGCATCCAGTAGGCGAGATGGCCGAGCGGTCTAAGGCGCTGTGTTAAGGCTCTCGGTCTCGGAACTCCGAGTCCGATCAGCTCTCCGCAGTCTTCGGACGTGGGTTCGAATCCCACTCTCGTCAAGCGGGTGCTCACGCACTCCCTTACGCCTCCCTTTTGAGTTTCTCCTCGTTTCCCGGCAACAGTGGACGTGCGATAAACTTGTAGACCGCAGTCACGCCACTAACGCCGCACAGGCAGCAGCGATGACGGTTATTAACTTGCATATCTGGTCTCTGTACTATGATATTGCTACGAGCTCACTGGCTACACTGCGGATTGGATGCTGTCGTGCGGACCGGCATCGTTAGGGTCGACCTGGTCGGTCTTGCGTGGCCTCACAGCGTCGTTGCGGATGAAGAGGATGGAGACCAAGGCGATTCCCTTAACTGATGTCCCACCCATCAGCATTCGTTTCTACGCAAGCCCGTAGGCGGCCTGGCCGGCGGTCCTGGTCGCAGCCCCTTGCGGGTAACTCAATTGCCTCTTGATGTCCTCGTATATTTCACTCCACTCAGATGGTGTTCCTCCGGTAGAAGCTCGAGCAGCTTCTTCAGCTTCTTTGGAAGAGTATCCGCCCAAACAAGCCCGGCGGCGTCCGCCGGCGCCGATCGGCGCCGATCCCTCCGCGTCGTTCAGCAGGCGAGATGGCCGAGCGGTCTAAGGCGCTGTGTTAAGGTTATCGAGGCTTCGGAACTCCGAGCCTCGGCATCACCTCCGCAGTCTTCGGACGTGGGTTCGAATCCCACTCTCGTCAAGCGAGTAGTAGCATACTCCCTTACGCCTCGTTTTTAGACGGCCATGCTGCTGCACAGGGTATAATGTATGCATTAGGTTCGTGCGTTCGTTATTGATCATGAGCGTTATCAGAGTGACAGATATGGGAGGATGTTTGGGGCAAGGTAATTAATATGCCGGTGCAGGTGCAGGTGCGGTCGAGGCTAGGAGTGGAGGCAGACCAGATACAACGAGACAACGAGAGTCAAAGCGAACAGTTACACAAGATCATGGGTTGATGGCCAGGCGCGGGAGTCGGGCCCCTCGGTGGCTTAAGAGCCCCCGATCGGGTTCGAGCTTTCAAATTCGTTGTTGAGTTCCATGGAGTTGCGGTCCGGGGTGACACCAAGGCCGTTGCCCATGAGCAGCAGGCAGGGCAGTCCAGGGAGGATGGCTAGGAAACCAGCGACGAGCATCCTGATTTGAACCTCCGCATACCCGGACTGAATGGCGGAGCGCGTCTGGCTGCCAACGGGATAGCTCAGCTGCTTGGGTAGACTGTTGAAGATCTCCTTCCACTCAGAGCGGATCTCCTCGGGCAACTCAAGCTGGAGCTGCTGTGGAAGGGTGTGGTTCCAGATCGCGGCTGAGAGCGCCTTGCCCACCGCCTTGCCCATGCGCTCGGACATGAAGAGGAGCGCGAGCAGGGCTGGCTGGTCCTTCTTCCGGTTGAGAAGCGACGACGAACGAGGTCAAGAGATTGAAAGAAGCGACGGCGGCGCCGATTAGGAACTGCGGGCCGATGACGCGGTACAGTGGAGTATCGGGGTCACGGAACAGCATCATGAGGTTGACGCCGAGACAGAAGAGCAAGAAGGCTGTGACAAGGAGGGCGCGGGGATGACCGAACTTGTCCGCCACGAAGGCGATAGCGACCTCAGCGATGGCTTCCATTCCTTCCGGGATTGCCGCAATCCATCCCGCCTCCGCGACGGAGCGATCGAATACCAGCTGCAAATACGATGTGTAGTACCCCGACCAGGCCGAGACGGCGACTGCACGTCAGCGAATCGGAGAGTTCGCTGTAACTCACTGTTGCTACAGAACAGCAAGCCACAGGCTCCCAGCATCATGCGATCTTTCAGCAAGCCGAGCGGGATGAAGGGGTTGGGGACGGCCCATTGCACAGCCGCGAAGGCGGCGAGCAACACACATCCGCCCGTGATCATCCCGATGATGTACCCGCTCTTCCAGGTTTCCGAGGCGGACTCGGCGGCGGAGAATGACACGAGCAGGAGGTTGCTGCCGACAAGGAAGAAAAGGGGGCCAGAGATGACGTGCGCTTGAGGGAAGAACTGAAGCTTGCTGCTCCAAGAGCGACGGCAGCGGCCGACGTCATTGCGCTCACGGGATGGGGGCTGAGCCGTCGGCTGCTGATCGCGAGTGTGAGTGTGGCACCAGTGGGACCAGTGCATGAAGGCCGTGCAGATGCAGAGGACATTCATTGTGATGGCGAGGGAACCGTAGCACCAGCGCCAATGGTCTTTGGTGAGGTTCTGGGCGAGCGGGGAGCCTACGAGGGTGGTGAGCAGAGCAGGGCTGGAGTTGAAAGCACGAATGATACTGATATGTGTTCCGTCAGTCGCTTCCAGGAGAAGAGAGTTGGTCGCGGCGTAAATGGCCACCCAGCCAACCGAATATATGATGCTGGCAATGCTGTACATGATCAGCGTCGTTGAAGTTGAGAGCATCGCCAATCCAACGGTAGCGATAACCGCGCCGGATGCATGCAGGTAGAAGCGGTTGACGACCTTCGGAAGCTTGGCAGTGAAGACGGCAGCAAGGGAAATGCAGCAATCGACGACGACAAAGACGGTGGGTGAAAAGCTATGCCCTCCAAGTTCAGAAGTGATGAACGGCGAGACATTGGTGACCGTACTGTTTTGGAAGGCGTCGGTCGCATTGAGAAGCCAACACCTACGAGTGAGCTGACCACTGTCCTTGGAGTGTCGAAAGATAGGCAAAACGCGCACGACTCACGAGATATACAGCAACGCAAGACCACTTCCGTTCCACTTAGGCTCCGGCAAGCGAAGCTCAACAGTGGTGGCCGACCCTCCAGCTACGGCGGGGTTGGCGGTGGCTTCCGAGGAAACGGTGTTCTCAGCGGCGCTTGCATGGTCGACGACAGGGTCGATTGGCACATCCGTGAACGAGTCACTGGCTATGTAGTGTGAGGTGGCAAGACCGACTGATAGAGACGAGGGTGGTTCGTTGTGACTAACGTTGGTAGTGGTGTGGTTCAGAAACGTGGAGGGGCGTGAAGGGCGCGGGTTCTGCGTATCCTCAGCGTTGTTTGTACCAGAGGCGGAGATCAGTGACACCGCTTGGTTGGGCGGCAAACCCACGCTGACTGCATCTTCATGAGCAGCCCTTGCCACAGAGGCAATAGCATAGGGAGCCTGAACGCTGGCGTGCGAGTCCTGCTGCGAGGCTAAGGGCGCAGACACCACGATGCTGGGGATGTGAAAGGCCGTGCGCTCCGTTTCAACGGGTTCATCGGCCCTGTAGGCTGGCGCAGTATCAATCTGGCCGTACGCATCAACAGGGATGGATGTGCCCTCTGCACGGGCAGTGTTTTGAGGTTCAAGGGAGCTTGGGGACAGATCTGTCAACTCAATCTCATCGAGCACAGATAGCGCCGCAGGGGAGAGAAGAGCGGTCCTGGCGTCCTCCTCAGGGCGTTGGTACTCGTCATCCATAGGGACAGCGTTAGGAGGCTTGGGTCGGTGCGGTGAGACCATGTTTGAAGTTTCGACGAGACAAGTCTGACTGCTAGTGTGTGTACAAGGAAGGGATGCGAAGGAGCTGTCGAGGTCGGTGGGAAAAGGAAAGTGGTGGTGGCCTGGAAGCGGTCTCGATGCTCTTGCGCTCTTTTCTAGAATCGCAAGCTCCCCAGCTGACAGCGATGAAAAGTAGCCTCGTGGTGCGCAGCAGCTCGAGTCACAGCATACCATCGGCTTTTGATAGAGCAGGCTGCCCAAGTCCTCATCGTGAAACATGCAGGCTATCTAGGCAGACACCAAGGGCGTCCAGAGAACAGGGTATGTGGCCAGCAAATCCCGAACGTTGAACGATGAGGTAAACACCATCTGCTGCACCTAGTGTGACAGTTCGCCCTTGAGGTATCCTTCCGATAGTTCACGTTGACCCTCGGCGTAGCCTGAGCATGCGAGCAAGCTCGTAATCCTTCTGATCTGCTTCCTGGGCACATCTGGGGATAAGAATTGATCTTTTTGACATGATCAGCGCGCCAGCCATTGCGATCGAGACAGCTTCAACGTTCAGCTCCTTCACCGTCTCCGTAAATATCCAGTTCTTATCTCACTGCCTCGGCGACATATCAGTTTCGCGCTGGCTTCGCCAGATGAGTGATCTGCAGAAGCGGGCGGCGCACGGCGTGCCGTTGCAATTCAGGGTACGACACAGATAAGAGCTCATGCGAACGCTCGGACCTTGCCCTTGTTCTAGGGGCACAAGCAACTTGGCCTTTCCCGTCATGCTGGATCTCGCCTCGTTCCACAGACTGTGGAGCGTCGGAGGAGCGCGCTGAACAGCTATTGTTCTCCGGAACCGATGTGATCGTCCCTCGGCGTGGCTTCTGGCGTTTGGAAAACGCGCGTAGGGATGGACATGGTGCGTGGGTTGAGACAAACATGCACTCGGGTTGACGGCATTCGGATAAGCGGACAGACCGAGGTGCTCGTCATGGGGCAAAGGTCGTGGCCGGGCCAAGAGACTTGTCACAGAGCGAGACCCAACGCCGGGATCTCAGTCCCGGACGCCAACCCCCACCGTCCAGCATCTGGGCGCATGTGCGGAGTCCAGGGGTGTGTGCCGGATCTACAAGGCGAAGTTAGGGGGATGCAATGCAGCAAGGCCGACGCATCAGTCTAGAATGTCTCCTGCACTGTCGCCGAGCACATCAAGGCTTGAGCTCCTAGCAGACACTCAGTCGGGAAAACGTAGAGCATCCTCCGGTCTTGCCTGCGGACGACTCTCATTGACCTTGCTCCTGAGCCATGTTGGCACGCTACACACACCGCGACCTCTTGAAGTCCCATCTCTCTTCGATCTTCACGCCGAATCATTCCGACAAAACAACGCGTAGTCGTCTCTACCTGAGCGCAACTCAAGGCGTGTCCGCACCGAAGGCTGGGTATCCCAGACACCGCGGCGATGTGAGTTCGTGGTCAGCGTGACTAACGGATGCTCGGCCTCAAGTACGCTGTACGTCTTTGAGAGAGGTGTCGTGGTCAGTAAATTGCACCCTTGAGCGCTATGGACCCGTGGGGTGGACGAATGAGGAGAAACACCCGTCCGCCAAGCAAGGCTCCCTGTTCTGCTAGCGCAGCAAGTCCCTTAGAGCTTACACAAAGCACGAAGAACGAGTACGGGAGCTATAAGAGCCGTAATCTGTTAACGGGACTCGCATCCTCAAGACATCGACGGATGACGTTCTTGGCGCGACACCTCTCGGCAGTCCTCACTGTAAGTGATGTTGCTGTCGCCGTCTGCGCCTGTTCCATCGCCCACATCCAAACCATACCAGGATACTCCATACCCCGATTCGTCCATTCTCAACGTCTCACCCTAAGAAAGGTGCGCCGTCGACTCTCACGGACGTCAGCTCAACCTCCACTTAGACCTCGTTGTTCTCGCATCAGTGGAAGCTCTCAGACCGTAGCCTCCGAAGCTCGTGAGTACCTCACCCTGGAATCTTCATGTCCGGCCGTACGTGCACCACGCAGTTTGGACCAACCCACGACTCGACTAGTCGCCATCTTGCCCAATCGTTCCGGAACTTCCCGAGGCCGGGCTGCGGTACCACCCGCCGTGGAGCAGCAAAGCATCCAAGCTCCCACCGTGACACGGATCAGCAGTCTTGTGACAGCTTCTTGTGACAGCTTGTGATTAGCCAAAACTCCCCGTCATTTTCTGCCTCGCGGGCGTCGCGTGCGCGGCACATGCGTAGCAATACAGACCAGCGGTAATCGCACAACATTAGAGTGATTAGCTGCAGAACGCCACCAGATCAGATAACGATCAGCGGTAACTAACCCTGAACCTTGGTCGCTACCCTCGATATTTCATGTACTTACGTAAAGAACTCACCCAACTCAAGACTCACCTCGTTTCCACCCTTACGCAGGAGAGCCAGTCGATTTGGTCCGCTGGGCGAGTGCGCAGGTGGCGAACTATCCATGCCAGCCTTTAACAGTCAGTAAGAGGCCTTTGAAGAATGGTAGAGATAGCGGACTTCGCTCCGGCCGCTCAGGGAACAATTGCTAGAAGGAGACATTGTCCCCGACCTGAACCCTGCCAGCCACCGACATCGGTGACTCACAATGAACAATCCAACAAAACAAGCCGAGCCTTTGAGAGAGCGCGGAGTGCGCTTGCAGCGATGAAGCCATGCACGATGTCTGTGTCTTAGACTCTTTGCTTGTCGCGCGAACAGTAGAGGCGACTGCGCACGGTCGCGGTGAGCGAGACATTCTTGCTTCTCGCGGCACAATGGACGGTACCGAACTCACCAGGGTTGTCACCTTGAGAGGCGCCCGAGCGTGGATGAATGGAGGAGGTAGGAACCCATGGGTGGCGAGTTCAGGATGCGAGTCAGGGGATACGTGCACCTTCGCAAACGATGCATGGCGCTTTCGGGCTTTCAGATGGAGAATGAGGAGAACTCAACGTGGTAGATGGGACTTCACAGAGAACAGAAAACCACAAGCCGCTCCGACGCTCGAAGACGTTTGAGTTGCGGTGCTGGAGTGGCATTTTGAGGAAGGAGAGGCTTTGTGGAGCAATCGAGAGACGTGTCTGTCGCCGCTCGGGGCGTTCCCATCGCCCCTCAAGCTTCTCAGTGGCGAGCTACTTGGTCAACGTTCGGTGGACGGACCATTACGGTACAGTCATCGACGAGGTAGCTGAGGGTCACCATCATGCAGTAGACTAGTCAGGGCACGGCGGAAACAGCAGACAAAACAAGCGTTTGCCCCAGTCGAGGTTGGAGGGTTGGAGCGAAGTGGGGTTACAGTAGAAAGCTGCGAACATAGCTGGCAGCCCCCGCTGGGAACTAGTTTTTGACACGAGGATAGCTTAAGCACGCAATCTTTGGGCCCCGGGCAATTGACTTGCCCGGACAAGAGTGAGGCTGTGGAGGCTCTTGGGGCACCGTGTCCACATGGCAGTGCAGGATATTCAATAGATGGGCACGGCGAGGCGAATGTCTCAAGTCCATGGCGTGGGACCACAGTAACCCCGTGTCACACGACTATGCGGAGCGGACCAGCGGGAGAAGTAGAAGAGTGCTCCACCGCAGGTCTTCAAGGGCATCGACTTAGGGTAATCAGTGGTCGGGGTTCCTGATCGGCGTAAAGAGGCGTCTGAGTGGGCAACTGCGACGGGTAAAGTATTGTAGCACGCCTGCAAAATCCAATGATCGATCATCTCATCGCTATTGTACTATCAGCTCCTATCACTGCAATCGTGATGTCCATTGCCTCCATCTGGTTTTCAGCCAATCTGACGGTCGATCTGACGTGGAAAGCGACTGGCGCTCGCTGCGCCCCTCTCCCCTTCCCCAGGACAACCGCAATTCCGCCAGGATCTACAGTCTGCGTCGTCCGGCTCCCACCCACTCGCCTTTTCGAGCCTTGGTCATGCAGCCATGCTGATCCTGATCTCACGCACAACCTCCTGAACGTCTTTGTCTGTGAATTCATGCATGGTAACACCTTTCATCCCTCGCTTTCTTGTCAGGCGCTGACGGGTGACTTAAACCGGAGTCCCACGGAAAGTCGAACGCCACCGTAGCGAACAAAATCGAATCGCTCGTTGTTCAACCCAAATTGCTTGCAAGCTTCTGAAAATTGCTCCCACAGCTGAGGACCAAGCAATGCCCTCATGCTGCAACTTTCATGCGGTTGCTCTGAACGATTGTGAAGTTATCATCGATCGAAATTCGTTCGACTCTCGACATTTGCTCCTACGGTTGGTTCTGGCGTTCGACGGCCCGTTATAACCCGGTTTAGAGTAGGTCTTCATTCGATATGGCGTGCAATAAGCAGTGGGGATCTCATCTACAATCTAGACCCCACAAACCAGTTTCGAAAGCTGCTCACATTAATCACGGGCGCGATGGCGAAGTCGTGTTGATAGTGAACAACTGGTGTGTGAGAACCCTCAGTTCAGCCATTTAGTATGCGATCGGCACCGGGTTCTTGAACCGGCCGTAGGCCGTCAGGCCCATCACTTCCAGCCCAAGTTGCTTCAGCTCGCATTCGCAGCTTATCACTGCCTGGGGATACGAGTAAGCTGGCCGGTTGTTATCGCGGTCGTACCGCGTGCAAGCTCCTGGACTGAGTGGGAGATTGCACCCGCCCACCGCCAGCGTCCCCAAGAGGACAAGGTCGGCCAGAATGTGGATAGCAACCACGCGCTTGTGGGAATGCATGTTGTGTAGACGATGGCCAAGTGGTAGAAAAGTTGAGACGTGCTTGCAGACGGCTTTGGAGCTGATAGATAGGGGTATAATGATGGTCGGTGGAAGCTTATACAGATGAGGTGGAGACACTAGAAACCCCAATCCCGTGCGAGATCGTCGCGTTGTCGGGATCAATGTCCCACCTCCACTCTGTCACGTGACCAGAGTCCACGCCACCTCATAGCTGTCGTGTTTGTTTACTGTTTGGTTTCTCCTCATGCATCTTCGGATTCTCTTACGCGTGTGACGTGTCGGAAGCGGTACTGTGCCTCAACGTCGGAGAGCCTATTGTGAGACATCCCCCATCCCATCCTGATATTGCGAGGACTTTTGGGGCCCCAACCCATATCGTATTGATCCCATCTCGGTATGTTGGTATGGAGATCCCAATGCATCGTAGAGACGAATCCCAATTGGACATCGCAGGAACCACCGATCCACCGAGCACATGCTTGCGCTGTTTCGATTCGCTTCTTACGGTACGGCGGAGGATGCATGGAGGGGCTTTTAGATATACGGCGCCGGCTGATTGCAAGCCCCTGTGGCTTCATGCCGAACACGGAGACGGTGGCGAGAAGTGGACTCAGGGTCGCGAGCCGGCGACTGTTTTCGAGCAGGTACAGTACCTTGATGGAGATGAGAGACTTTGATGTGCATTGGCTACCAAATCAGAGGTGGTCCTCTACATGGGTGAAGATGGTGATCGGAGCTCTCCCAGGATCGAGGATCGGAGTCCTTGACAGCCATCGCCTGATCAGATGAATTTCAACAATCAAAGACTATGGCGACGGCGGGTGAGGCGATTCTCTCCGCCGGCATCCATAGGATGGGCGTTTGCACTTTCTTCGAGATCCCAATCTATGTAGAAGCGGTTGAGCTCGTTGTGTATCCATCTTTCCAGGGCTGTACGGAGCCGGAGTTCTCTCTGAGGCCGCAGGTTGTGACGTTCCCATACCGAGCCGGGACCGACACGGGACGAGACGGGGCGGCGATATTCAGGCTCCCAATCGAACGTCCAGCATAACCCGTACGCGGGGAGGTGAACATGCACCCAGGAGTCTGTTTCCAGATGGGAGTGGTCGCACGCAAGATGTCCGAATGCCAGATCTGCGCCAGCGCCGCGCCAAGGGGGCTGTTCCGTGAACTGTCTGCCTAAGTGGCGCTCCATAGGTAGTCTCTGGACTGCAATGATCCTAAATGTCTCCGAGACCCCGGGGCGATGGGCAAGGCTTGCGGGAGGGGGAACGAGGACTTTGGCGAAGGCGGTCGTGATTCCTTCTTGTATAGCACTGAATAGGGCAGCGTGCTTGCGGAGGGTAACTGGGGAGATGACAGGGTGGCTAATCTCACGTGAAGGCTTGGTAAAGCTCAGGTAAGAACGATTATCACCCCAAAACGAAGCCGTGGCACATATACCGTCTTTCCGATGGTGGACATGTACATAGTCGGCCACCGGACGTCTGTGGTGCATCGCACAGCCCGTGCATTGGTGTGGAGCTTTTCGGGACAAGGGTAGTTCAGTCGTATCTCCAGTGGCTGAGGGGTCCTGCGGCACGATGGGGATCCTGCGGCACGACACGATGCCTCCAGTGACTGAGAGGTCCTGCGGCACGATGGCTGATAGCTCTTGGTCCCCCACGGCCGCTGCTGCTGGCTCTGGGAAGCGCGGATCTTCCCATTGTGACGTGATTGTCTTCTTTAATCTTGATACGATGCGATCTATGGCCCACATATACGCCACAATATCACGGAACCGTTCAAGGAGGTCGTCGGCCACGTGCTGTGGACAGCCCCTAGGGCTCCCCACAATCTCGGAAATCCGGAGCCACAGCGTATCTAGCTGTTGAACTTGTTCTTTCACCATGCGATCGAGGCCGTTGAAAAGCGGGGACATATCCGGGCGAGTGGCAACGGCCAAAGGCGGTCGCTGCCCATGCAGAGTGTCCCATCCCCTCTTCCATGATTCGGGCACTTTCAGCCTTGGCATCGATCCCGACGGGAACACAGAAACGTCGTCCATCAAGAGGGCGCAGCAGAGAGCGAAGATCATGGCAATGCTGCTTCCAATGAGGGTCTTTATCTGGGTATCGTCGTAGACATTTTGGATGGCTAATCGCGCCGTGCTCTCCGAGACGAGGCTGAGGTGGTCTTGAAGAAGAGGGTGTACCCTTTTCGCGCCAAGAATGGCCTCCCCAGATAAATAGTTTTTTGGAGCTTGAGGAAGCGCGGCAGCCCATACCCCGTCCGCAATCGTGGCTCCAATCATCCCACCCAATTTGTCGCATACACTCAGCATGGCGAGCAACATGGCCGTATGATCAAGATGTGCGGAATGAAGCAAGGCCACCTCTTTGACTCCATCAAACGAAGAGCGAGACATCGCCATCACTGCTTCTGCTACTATCAGGAGGGAAAAGGAGTGACCAATCCGCTGCGCGGCAATGAGGAACAACAGACCCAGGAGGTAGGAGAAGCAGCCCAGCACGATGACGTACTTGAAGTGGCCTGTCCGCCAGACTATTACTCCTGCTACTACCCTTGATACCGCTTCCGCCGCGGTGGCCATGGAAAGTAAGTGATAGGATGTTGTCTTGGACAGCTCATAGGCCATCTGATGGAAAGGGTGGAGATGAGTACTCCAACACGAGTGGGCGACTACAATGTCAGCGGATCGATGTGATGCGGGCAATACACTTACACTTCCAGATGACGGCCATAGCGCAGATCGCAAGCATGTTCCTGCTCCGCAATGGCGTCAGGATGCTGTCACCGGTACCATCGTCGGCCTCTTTTGCCGTGATCTTCCTTGCGAGGAAATTTCCTATAGAGCGAGGGAGGAACTTTCGGACTTCGGGAGCTTTCGAGTCCGGAGATAGAAACGACGTTAATGTACGTCTAAACTTCTCATTCTTCAGAGCTATTAGGAAGGCGAGAATGCCGAAGAACAGGACGACGACTGGAATGGCGACGGTCCACGAAACAACACTGACCTGGACCAGCCATAACACGACAAAGACAACTAGTAACGTTGTGACGACAAAATATGTCGTACCGGGTTTTAAATTTTTCACCACGGGCCAAATGACACGAAAGGAGATTGGTTCCCTAGGGGGGTTTGGGATTCGCAGGGTGTTCGCCCGGCCGAAGAATGCCTTAGCAGCATTGGCGAGCCGCTCAGATCCCCCGAGAAAGTCGAAATCAGCAGCCCTTCGTCGGTAGCAATGCAAGAAGCCGACTAAAATCAGCCCAAGCGCGGGCATAATCCCAGCAAACACGGCGATCGCCGTCCGCAACTGGGAAAGTGACAGAGTCCTACGCATCTCTGGGACTAGAAACGCAGTGATCGCCCAAGGAGACGTTGCGAAGGCGTACCCCAGTGCTCGGTATCGGATGTCGAGGGTGTCGGCAATGAGCACGTCAATCAAGAGTCGGAGCCCTGTGAACCCCATCCCGTAGAAGACTTGCCCTGCACTCCGCACGGCCACTGTTCGAGGCACTGCGAAGAGGCCCAAGCCAATGGTCGAGAAGAAGACGGAGAAAAAAACCGCCACAGCACGCGTCTGGAATTCCAGCGACCACGCAGTCGCAAACGCAGCGCACACTGTGACCAGATCTGCGATGATATACGCAGAATTCCGAGCCTCGTCACCGTTGGATAACGTCGCAGAAGGCGAGACGCGACCGTTCCAAAGGATGCTGTGCTGAAAGGCATTTGCGGCACAGTTCAGCCAGATTCTGTTCGTCAGCCTCAGCTCCCCGCCGTCCAGTGCGAACATGAGATATAGGTACTTGAGTTCTTTGAAATCCCAAAGCGTGGCGGGGTCATGGCACGCACTCTTGCGTAGTAATCGATGCGACCTTCGGAAGTACTCGCGCATCCAGTTCTCGCCTGCTATGATGTCTTTCAGACCATGTAAGAACTCATAGTGTACGCGCTCATCATAGAGATCGGGTACAGAGACGGGGAAGACGTGCGCGGGGATCGTACCGGCGGTGGGCTCTGTCTGGGGGTGTGCGAGAACGAGAAAGTCGGAGCGCGAGTTATAGCGCAGGTGATCCAGCGCCCATCGGAAGCACGTCCACCAGCTGTAGAAGATGTCTCGAGTCTCATTGTCGAGCATAAATGCTTGCACCTCATCTTCTGGTCGAGGGTTTCGGGGATCAATGATAGGAAGCGTTCCCTGCCGCGCTGGCGGGAAATCGACGAGGTTGTCTCCCATTGATCAATCGGAAGGACGTAGAGTTGTAGGTGATGACCTGTCAAGAATTGTTTGCGCATCAGTGTCTAACTCTGCGTCAAGAGTGGGAGGTATCGGGTTAATCCCAGACCATACATCAGCTGCATTAGCCTCACCTCCGTGGTGCCACGCCAACTGCCCCAAGCCTATTGTCCACAGAAGACCCTAAGGAAGCACTCAGCGAACTGCCTGCAGGGCCGCGGCTGCCTCACCAGACATCGGGACGAGTGGAGCCATGCGAGCAGAACAGCATCGGGAGCAAGGACCACCCGCCTTGCTGCGGACGACATAAGGCAGCCTTAGTCGTTCTGCTCGAGACCTGCGCCGTCGCCTCGCGCTCGAGCCCCTTGGCTTGTCGTCGGACGCCGCATCGGAGCGAGCATGAAATTAGCGTCGCCGGTCAGTCCCGTTAGTTCATGCGCGCCAGTGTTGGGACGAGGCCGGGTCGTTTTGATGCGTTGGGAGGCAGTAGCAGGATGGGCCGCGAAGGAGCCGACAGACAGTGATGTGATAGAGCGAAGATCAATTCAACCAGTCAAGTGGGGCGAACGTCCTGATCCTCTCGCCCCTGTCAACCGTGGGAAGATACGACAGTTCCCTCCACCAGCCGAAGGCTGTTCGCGGCCCCTCGTTGGGTGAGCTATCCTCCTCGGAGTCCGGAACAGAATACAATGCAGAGAGTCCTATCTATGCGAGGGGAAAGTTACAACAGTGTCTTATTCGATGTATCTGAGATGCTCCGGCGCGCCGAATCTGAACGGCTTGGCCTTGAGCTGCTTGTTCGCGCGCATCTGCGCGAGATGCCACTGGATCCAGTACATCTGCTCGTGTTCGCGGAGGTACCTGCTTCCGTGGAACGAGTGGAGGACGACCTCGCGAGAGAGGAGGCCGAGTTTGCGCCTGTCTTCGGCAAACTTGTAGAAGCGCTGCGTGAGCTTCTCGACGTCCTCGCCTGGCGTGATGACATCGGGAAGTGGGGGACCCTCGCCGTAGTCGGTGAACTTGGCCCATGGGCCGGACATGGACAGGATCGCGATCTGTGCGCGCGCCAGTCCAAGCGCGTCGTTGGGAGGGACGACCTCGCCGTAACGCTGCTCAGGGTTTGCAGGGTCGGTGAGCACGAGCGCCGTGGCGCCGACCTCGGTCGCGACAATGGGCACGCCGGCAAGCGCCGCCTCGCCAATGGCGAGCGGTAGACCCTCGGAAATGGATGAGTTCATGAACAGCCACGCGTCCTTCAGGACCTCGCTCGGTTTTCCGAAACCCGCGAGCACGACGTGTTCGGTCAGGTTGTTGTCGACGATGAGCTTCTCCATCTCGAGGCAGTAAGACGGCTGCCTGTCCTTGGCGCCGTAGACGACGAGGCGGTAGTCCTTGAAGCCAAACTTGTTGATGATGATGTCGGCAGCCTGAATCGCGACCTTGACGCCCTTGATGAACTGCACGTTGGAGAGCATCACCACAGTGGGGATCTCGGTGCGCACCTTGTCGACTGGCGTGAAGGACTCCATGTTCGAGATACCGTTGACGATCGGGTCGATCTTGCGGTGGAACGTGTTGCGGGCGCAAATGCGCGAGCCGTCCGAGCCGAGCTCGGTCTCCCACATCGGGTTGAACAGCGACGCACAGGGGAGGATAACGTCGGCGTGGAAGTAGGCGAGGCGGGTCGCGACGCCGATGCCGGCGAGGAGCATGTTCTGCACGGCGACGGGGAGCTGACACTGGGCGACCGAGAAGTTGAGACACGACTCGCGCCACAGGATCGCGTGATCCCAGATGCCGAAGGTCACGCCGCGGCGGTACTTGAGCACCATACCGAAGAGCGAGGAGATGCCGTGGTGCGTGCTCTGGAAGACGCGGGGGCAGCGCTCTGGCACGCCGACCGAGAAGATGAAGAAGTAAGCGAGGTAGATGTACAGCGCTTGGCGGAAGTCGAACATAGACGGGCGAGAGATGTCGAAGCACTCGGTCGGGTCGGCGATGTTGGGGTCGTCGTACGAGCGCATCCACGCCGCAATCCACGCCTGCTCGACCTCGGGCGAGCGCCAGGTGAGGGTGTAGTCCTTGAGCTCATAGTACTTGCCGAACGAGAGGAAAACGTTGGAGAGGTGGAGCAGGTCGTCGTAGCCGAGACGCTTCATCCGGCAGCCCTTGACGAAGGCGTCGAGCAGCGGCACGAAGGTGCCCACGATGTCGCGATCCAGGTCAGTGTCCTGCACCTTGGCGTCGACTTGGGACTCGAGGTAGTTGTCGATGACACCGTGGCGGGCGGTTCCACCATCGAGGCCCCAGAGCGGGAGCAGCTTGAGCGACTGCACCGACTTCTCGACCTGGAAGCGGGGGATACCGTAATCGTTGGCACACTCGGCGAGGACGTGGTTGCGAATAGTGCTGTGGCCGTTGACGAGGTCGCGACGACAGTTGGACACACCTCCCGGCGCGACAGGCCAGCATCCAATGTCGTTGAAGATGACCGAGATGCGGTCGTGCGTGTCGTGGTAGCAGTCCTGGGGGCGGGAGGTAACCGCGTTCGCGTCCTGCGCGAGACCCATGGCGTAGAGGTCGGACGTGCGAATAGCCAGCAGGGTCTTCTCGGACACATCCGTCTCGATGTCGATGGCGCTGACGATCTGGCTGATGTTCTCGTCGAGCAGCTTGCGAGCTTCTGGGAGACGTCCGCGGTCGCGCGCGCGCCAATAAGGGCGCAGCAGCGGCTCCTCACGCAGAATGATCTCGTCGACAGTGCAAGCCGTGACAGCGTCGAGGTCCGTGTTCTGAAGCCACTGGTTCCAGAGCTCGGTACGGACACGCCAGGTAGGGACGGGAGTGTACTTCCTCCTGCGCCAGAGGGAGAGCCAGCGAGCGGGGTGCAGCGACTTCTTGTTCGTGCGCGCGTACGCGCGCATCTGGCCCAGCTGAAGCGCCGAGTGCTCGTTGAGGAGATCGTCCGCCTCGAAGCTGTGGTTGCTCGGCATCGAGAGCAGCACCTTCTCGCCCGGCCAGCACTCGGGTGCCTCGGTCAGCGCCGTGCGCCGCCCATTGCCCTCCTCGAGGTACGTTGTAGCGACGGGGTCGCGGCGGTGCGAGTAGTCGAACTCGGTCGTGTATGTGCGTCCCTGGATGCGGCGGACGATGAGGCCAACAGTCTTGGACGGTACCCACGTGTAGTCCTCTGTGTCGATGGGGTTGCCCCAGAATACGCTGAGCGAGTCGCCGCCTCGGCTGTAATCGGCACGAAGCAGGTGCGAGCCACCAGTGTTCCCCTTCTTGTAGTGGTACTTGAACGTGAGGTCCGTGCGCTCACCGAGCGTGAGGTTGCCGCGGAGCACGCGGCCCTTCTTGTCGTAGTAGCCCACGGAGTGAAGGTCGGCGTTCGTGACTTCGACGCTGGTCGGACGGCGCGAGGGACGTCCCCTCTTCTCACGAGCAGGGTAGTGGTACGTGACCATCGCGGCACCGCCCTCAGAGCGGTACATCAGACGGAAGTCGCGGTCGTAGCTCGCAACGAAGAGCGGCGTACCCTTGGCAGGGTCGTACTCGTGCAGCCCGTCCCAGCCCTGGAGAGACATGGAACCGTCGTCCTCGACGGCCGCGAAGCCAGTGACAAAGCGGCGTGTGAGCTCAACAACGATGCGGTTGCGGTTGATCTTGCGGCGCGCGCCCTTGGTAGCGAGGCGAGCAATACGCGCGAGCGCTGGGCGGTGGTAGAGCAAGATCCAGTAGACGAAGAACTTCTGCACGCTCCAGCAGCACTTCCAGATGCCTAGGACAATGGCGATGGGCACGCGCTTGCCGTGGAGAAGGTAGTAGATCTCGCGCTCGATGTTGGAACCTCCACCACTGATGATGGCAATCCACTTGACCGCGTCATACGGGAACAGCTGGAGGCGCTTCCAGAACGCAGGCTTGCGGTCCTGCACGATGGGGACGGACATGAGGCGCGCGGGGCCCTCGTAGTCCTGCGGGTTTGCGTAGCCGAGCAAGTGGACTGCGTTCTGGTACAGCGCGACGTTGAGCTCGACGCCAAAGTCGGCCGTCTGCACGTCAACATCATCGTGGGAGCACCAGCTGGTGAACGCGGCGGAGAACTTGGCCGGCTCGCCCTCGATACGCGCGATAATGGCTGCACGCGCGTCGGGAGGCATGTGCTGCCACTCGGTATCGACGTCGCGGCCCAGACACAGGGCACGCATCAGGTCCTTGCGCGACTTGCGCGGGAGCGCGCCAAGCGCCTCCACATCCACCTGGCCCAGGTCCGTCTGCAGGCGCACGCTCAGAATTCCGTTCAGGAGGCACTCGGCATGGAGCGCCTGCGAGTCGGTAAGGCCGAGCTGGACGTGCGCGACGTGGTAGACGATGCACTCGGCGACGATGTTGGGCAGCATTGTGTGGGTGATGTCCATCTGGGAGAAGCACACTGCGATGTGGAGGCCGAGGTTGCGGCGGTACGAGATAGAGAAGAACTCGCCGAGACCCGCCGAGTCGAACTGGTCACGAGGCAGCACGCCGACAGTCATGCGGCCGCCGGTCCACATGTTGAGTGCCTCCTGCATTACACGCGTTGACCACGATGTACGACCTCTCGCGCTGTTCAGGGCCGTGACGAGGATGCGGCTGACGTGAGAGCTGGTCGCGGTGCCATCCGAGTGCCAGAGTGTTGCCTGCGTGAACTTCTTCGGAAGCTCAGACTTGCAAGCCGGCTTGCGCGCGGTGGGCAGCGTCATGAGGCGGGGCTGGACGTAGACCGGGTCGGGGTTCTCGTTCGTGGGCGAGAGCAATGGAGATGCGGAGCCAAACCAGTCCTTGATCGTGAAGAGGGAGGTGCCGAGCGCAGCCATACCGGCGGCAAAGTTCTGGCAGATGATGTCGTTGTACAGGAACCCGCACGTCCAGGGAAGGGCGTGTAGGAGGACGCCGATGAGGAAACCGATGGCCGCCGAGTACAGGATGATGCGGACGTGGACGGCCACGTTAGTCGTGAAGCACCTGTTGAACTGGAACAGGAGACAGCACGAGTAGCCGAACATGTACATGTAGAACATGATCACGGTCTTGTAGTTGTCGACGAACAGCCACATGAGGATCGTCATGGAGCCGAAGACGAGCGATACCTTGCCGGCGACGTCGGCGAGGGCTTGGAGCATGCAATCTTTGCGCTTGCGGTCAGTCTCGCGGGCGACGCGCTGGGCGTGCGCGAGGTCGAGGAGTTTCTCCTGGGACAGGTCGTCGCGGATGGACCAATACTTGAACAGCGTCGCGTCGAGGACCATGGAGCCGAGACAGAAGTAGACGATGCAGAAACAGAAGGCGTAGCGCGAGCGCAGGTCGAGGTAGATGGAGGGATACGGCTTGCGCGCGCCCATGACGAGCATGATCCAACGGTCGAGGAGAGCGACGAGGAACAGGCCGAGGTTCTGTCCGAGATCGTACCGGGCCACGCGGAAGAGGGCCATGACGCTGTGGTCCTTCAGGCCACGAGAGAGCTGGCGCTGCTGAGAGATTGCCTCACCGAGCGCGGTGAACCAGGCAGTTGTGAAGGGCTCGGGCTGGGAGCCACCGCCCTTCTTGAACAACCAGGCGACATAGGGCATACCACGCGCGACCTTGCCGACAAGCGGGTCCTTTACCATGTCGGCGTCGCGGCGGCGGTAGGACGCGATGGCAGCAACGAACGCGGAGCGCGCCTGCGCGGCCACGTCGTCCGCCTTCTTCTCAACCGCCACCTTGGAGGTGTACCAGTCCGTTATGTCCTGGGCTTTGAAGTCGGGGATGTTCTTCATCCAGGCGCTCCACTGGTGGCAGAGACGGCGGTAGCGTAGAAGAGCAACGACGAGGAATCCGTACATGACCGGGAGGTAGATCTCGAGGTCATGTCCGTTGACGAGAGAGGAGAGAAGGGGCGAGATGAAGAGGATTGGGAACGTCTGAAGGAATACGTTGCGGCCCGACGGGAGGGGAGAGCCGTGCTGGTGCATCGTGCTCATGATGCCGAGCAAGTTGAGGTAGGTCGAGATACCAATGAGGTAGGCGGCGAAGACGAAGCCGGAGGCGACAGAGACAGAGACCGCAAAGCCAATACAGCCGAAAACGGAGACAATAACGGCGAGGACGAAGCCACCAGCAAGACGCTGGACGTGGAAGAGGATGATGTTGTCATAAGCGTAATGCGGGAGGTAGTGAGATCCGGCGCTGCCGACCCAGCCCGTAACACCGGCGGTAAGGAGGAGAGCAGTGAGAAGCGCGTATCCGGCGGCCTGCACCATGTCGGTGTCCATATAGGCCGTCATGAAGAGCCCGCGTCCAACAAAGGTGAGAAGGATAACGTCGACGATGGCGGGAGCACAGAAGATGCTCATCGCGCTCGCGGCGGCGAAGCGCATGCGCCAGACAGTGAAGCGCTCGAACAAGCTCAGCTTGGCGTCGACGCTGCTCTCCGCGAGCATCTGGAGGATCGCCTCCTTGGTCTTCGGGGGCGCGTCGTCCGTAGATGCGTACATCGTCATGATCTCGTTGTTCTGCCTGTCCTCAGCCTTCGGCCCACCGAGAGCCTCGAGCTGGCCCTGGCGGCGGTGGTAGATGATATCTCCGATCTCGCGGGGCACGACGCCAAAGTAGTTCTCGCACTGCGAGCCGAGCGTCCAGAGCTCGGAGAAGACGGCAGCCTGGTCCGCCTGCTGCAGGAAGACGGGACAGCGGTCTACACTCTCGAGGTAGACATCCTCGAAGGCGGCGCGGCGGAGACAGGTGAAGAAGATGAGCGCGAAGAGGTCGGCCTGGACGTCAACGCGCTCGCCGGAGCCGGGCGGAGCTGGCTCGCGACCGTAGACGTGGAGGAGAGCCTTTGAGAGTGTCTTCAGCGTCTTGTGCTGGCCCTTGTATAGCGAGTCGATCATGACGTCGTCGATAACGTGGTACAGCTTCATGAGGTCCGCGATGAGGGGCAGGCGCACGGCGCCGGCGCGCGCGTGCTGCTCGAGCCTGAGACAGAGGATCTCGAGCATGCTCATGCTGCCGTCGAGGGCGCGGCGGGCGACCATGTTCATCCATGTTGTCTTGCTCGTCCCATCCATGAGAAGCTCAGTCGCGAAGGCGCGGATCGGGGCGCCGAAAGGCGTGTCATCGCCGCTCAGCCTGAGCTGCTGGAGAATAAGGAGGAGCTCGGCGGTGCTGGCGCCCTCGAGGGCGGTGCGGACCGTGTTGGGGAGGCCACTCGGGTGTCCTCCGCCGGTGAGGTTCTCGAGGACGACCTCGTGGATAAGGCGCGTGACGCGTGATCGCCCATGGTGCGCGAGCCAGGTGTGGAGGACGACAGCGGCGTCATTCGGCGCCGACTGGGAGATGAAGATGTCGAAAACGGGGTTCGGGGACGGATCCGCCGGGTCGTGCCTGGGCGCGCACACGCCCCAGAACGCGGCGTTTGCATCCGGAGCCCGGAATCCCGAATGCAGTCCCTTGTGGATACGGATAGTCCGCGTACTCAGGCCGTGGATCAGCTCGTGCAGGAGAATATCGGCGTTCGGGTCACCGGCGAGAGAGCGTAGCTGCGACAGGATCGCCTGCTCCTCGGCGTTCTGCACGGGGTAGAGCATACCGAGCGCGCGGAGCTGAGACTGCTCGGCCACAATCGCGGCGTAGTGTCCCTCATGCGGCTCGGAGCAGAGCGGGAAGCATCCGTGCTCGCTCAGCTGAGCGCCGTCCGTGCCCTGCGTCCAAAAGTCGGCCTCGCGGTACGCTGCCATGTACTCTGGCGCAGGCACGAGCTGAGGCACCTCATACTGCAGTCTGGCAAGTTCCTCAGGGAGGTCCTTCTCGACGAGACAGTCTCCAACGCCGGGGATGACCCTCTCGATGACAGCAAGCGGGAGGTGTGTCGGCTCGCCAGCCGGTGTGAGTTCCACGGGGCGCGAGTCTGACGCCCATGAGCGCTGTAGGTCCACAATCTCCGGTCGACGAAGGTACTCGAATCCACCAATTGTGCGGGTGCTAGTGGGCGCGGAGCCGAGCAGACGTGGGCGGTGCTCGAAGACAGCGCCGTAGTGCTCGGCGATCTTGATCGCGCGACGGATGACGGCGGGATGCGGCCGGTTCTCCCATTGATCCAGGAAGCCGACGAAGAACTCGGGCCGGTTCTGGCGCTCGCGCGCGCAGTCAGCCATCAGGTCGCGGAGCGGGCGGGCCTGGAAGAAGTCCCTCGGCTCGCCAGAGGGCAGAATGCACGCGTTCTCGACGATGAGACCGGCAGGGAGCTCGAGGTTCAGCTCGTTCAGGGCGGGATGCTGCTCGTGGATGCACACGATGCTCGAGACGCCGCGATAGTGCAGCGCGTCCACCAGTGAGTCGATCTCCTCTGCGGTCGAGCGTGGTGCGACGCGCAAGGCAAAGCCGTTCAGCTCCAGCTCCACGAAGCGGTCAAGTAGGTCAACGACAGTGTCGCCGAGATTGGCTAGTGAGAGGGCGTCGTCGGTCAGGTCCTCGAGGTCAACGGCGCCAAGCTTCATCTTCTGCGGCCCGTTCCCGGCGCTCCACTCGCTCCCCGGCCGAGGGGAGTAGAGGGTGTGGCTCCAGTCCGAGCTGGGTGCATGGGTGAGGCGCGGAGCGCCGCTCCAGTCTCCGCTGGCACCGATGCGAGGGCTGCCGCGGACACTGGTGCCCCAGGTATGGCTCATGTCTGAAGGTGTCATAGCCGGACTTCCCGGCAGCTGCGGCGAGCCGGTTAGCATCTCGCGCGAGTCGCGTTTCGGCATGTGCAGGGGGAAGACGACGAAGTCGGCCTTGTTCGTCTCGGCATAGTCGAGGTCGAAGTCGAAGTCACTCAGGACGGTGAACGACTTGGTGTTCTTCAGTGAACCGCGGAGAGAGAGGTTGGCGAATGAATCGCGGTGAGACAGCACGGTGCTGTCATCGTCCCGGTTTCTGCGGAACGAGAAGGCTCCGCGCGCTTGCTGCGTGAAGCGACGCAGGCTGACGGTGTTGTAGGTGCCCAACGAGGACTCGGAGGGTGCGTACGAGGGATGCGAGTGGTGGCCCAGGCTGGACGGCGCCGTGTGGCCATGCGATGAGGGAGGCTGGCTGTCGGAGAAGCGGGTCGCGAATGACAACCGCGTGCCGTAGCTCGTCTGGCGGGAATGCGTTGGAGTATGCCTCCGGGACGCCATCGACATGCGCGCCGCTTTTCGATCTCGCTCCTTCTCGCTCTCTTTCGGTTTCGTCCGTACGGGCTGATAGTCTTTCGGCCGTCGCTGTCTCTTGATCAATCTGTACAGGCCATACAGGATGATGGGGATGCAGAAGGTGACAGCCGCGAACACTATGCTGAAGCCCTGGTACCAGTGCGCCAGGCGGCGGTCGGAGGGTAGGATCGCATTGCAGAAGACCTCGAACCCGTTGACAGTGCAGTTTGTGACGCCGCCGGACTCCTCGAAGCCGGGCTGGAAGAAGGTCGCCATAGTCGCTGGTCGCTGTGAGCGTCGGGTCTCGGTCTCACTCGGCGGTCAGGCTGGCGGTAATTGGGGGGTAGAATGGAAGAGAAGAAGGTTAAAGGAGGGAGAGGATATGGTACAGGCGAGGAGTGTCGAAGGGGAGAGGTGGTCGAGGGAGTGGAGGTCGGAGGTCGGTCCCCTTGGTCTTGGGAGTCCAAGAAAAGAATGTGGGTAAAGTTGGAGATTGTTGTGAAGTGCGATCGCAAAGTCTTGTCAGCTGGTCAAGCCTGACCCGGCGGAGTGCGGAGGCAGGAAGGAGAGCAGGTGATCGTGATCGCTGGTGCATACCGTCGGCATCCCAGCTGGTCAGGAGCGACCACAGCCACCCCCGCGCTGAGACAGTCGCAAGCCCTCAGCAAGCTCTGCTCGCCGGGGATTGCAGGCCGAGTGACTCCCCCTCGCTCGCACACGGGAGTATGCAGGCGGCGTCGTGAGCGCCGCCAGGGGAGCGATGGGCCCGATGGGGGCAATAGAGGGCTCAAGGTTGTTGACATAACCATGTCTGGATCCGAGGGACTGGCACCAGGAACGACCCACCGCCGTCGCAGGGTCTGGCAGTTCGCGAGTGCGACCCCGGATGAAGGCACGGGCAGCTCCCAGAGACACTCCCTGGCTACTTCCAATGTTCCCACAGCCACACCTGTTTTGCGCGAGCAGATGTGATCGCTTCGGTGCGGCCCTTGAGCTGGCATTCCTGCATTGAACGACGCGGCATGCCCAGCCTATGATCAGCCAGAGCCCAGCCGGACCTGCCGTTACACCGAACCAGGTCCGGGGGCGTCCTTTAGCGTCCACTATGCTTCTGACTTCGAGCAAGCATGGCCGCCGCAGACGTTTCGACCAACGCTGTCCCGCACCCCGGTGAGAACCCTAAACCCACAGTGCACACGGTGCACGGCCAAGGTGAGCGGTGAGCCGATATGGATGCCGAGGGCGGTCAGCACCTCGACGACGACGCCATGCACGGTGGTCCTTCTGCCCTTCTGCTCCCCTGGTGTGCCTGCTTGCTCACTATTGACGAAGATTCCGGGCTAGGGGAGGAAAGGGGACGAAGGGGAGACCAAGGGGAAGCCCAAGGGGGTGAAAAAGAGACAAGGGAACGCTTTCCCCTGTCCGCTGGACCGTTGCCCTGAGGAGCTGTCATCCACGGTGGAGAGATCAGATTTTGACCATTTCACTGTTTTCAGCGATATAATTCAGTCGCTGCCGTGGGCTGCAATTCACTTCCCTCTGCATTCCCTCAGATCGCGATCTGCAGTCGCCCAGATGCACAGAATCAGATGCAAGGGGGACGATCCTCGGCGCCATGGCCGGGGATCAGCCCATCGCTTGCAGAATGTTGGAGCTTGCCGGATGGGTGGATATGGCGGTGCGTGTAAGCGCTCATCAATGCAAGGAACGCATGCAGGTACGCGCTATGCAGGTACGAAACGAGCACTTTCGCGGGCTGGCTGGTATTTGCTACACCTTGGTTGACAATTACAATGCATTTGCACGGGAAAAGCAAGCTCAGCCTCGCCATTCTGACCGGGACGTGAGGGACGTGTGGGTTGAGCTGGTAGCTCGAGTGAATCGCATTCGGACGGTCAGCTGGTCAAACCCAGCGACCAACGGTCAGCCTGCCAGCCAACCGCGCGAGGACGATAACATCGCAAAGTGGAAGTATCCACGACCCCACTGACGCATGACCCACTAAGCCAGCCCGCCGCTCGCCATCACGGGACGCTTTCATCTCAGTCTGTAACAAGCCCCCTGGATTCTATGGTGTATGCTTTGAGTAATTCGCATGCGTCTGAGTAATGAGAAAGAAGTCTAATGGTTGCATCGTCCGTGCAGTCCCGGGTTTTGTCTAAGTCTATGGTTATTACCCCGGTAGGGGATGTGTCGCCGCATGCACTATGCATGCGACGACGGGTGGTATTACAGTTTGCGTCGTTTTGGGGATAGTGGTAGCAGTGTTCTAGACGTTGGTTCCTTAGGGGGAAGGAAGGAGGTTTTCATTTTCGTTCGCACGCACATTGTCGTCGTCGTCGAAAAGTGCGAAAGCGATGCAAGGCGTTAGGTGATACATGATGAGAGAGAGGTCTGGCCATCGCAGCAGACACGGAAGACACGGGGTGGCACCCGAGCGCCGTAGCGACGGGTGCCGAAGGCACAGTGGTTCCCTCGCCGTTGCCCGTAGACCGCGCCGAAGGCCGCTGGTGCCCTTGCGGTGGCTGCGGCGGTGCCGTGCCGTGTGCCGTAGGCCAGCCGTGCCAACCGTGCCGTAGCGTGCCGTAGTCCGTAGGTGGTAGGTGGGGAGAGTGGAGGAGGGAGTTAGGTTCGCGGTCCGTGTGCCGTAGTACGCCGCCGGCACCAGGGCGGAGGACGACGCAAGGTTACGCTTTAAGTCTGGTCCGCGCAAGCTTGACCACGATACGGATCCGGCAGACGCTGGCAACGGCACAAGCACCGGCTTAGACGGCGCGGACGCGGGCGACAAAGCGCCACAGGTCGCGTGCGCTCTGAAGCAGGCTCTCCGTCGTCGTCCACCCGAGCTCGGCGGTGGCGCGGGCGTTGGCAGCGACACAGGAGCCGACGTCGCCCTCGCGCCTCGGGGCGAGGACGGCGGGGATCTTGCGTCCACTCGCAGCCTCGAGCGCGTCGTGCGCCTCGGCCACCGTCGTGCCAGTGCCAGTGCCCAGGTTGAAGGTGCGGAAGGGCTCGTCGACCTTGGCGTCCAGCGCAGCAATGTGCCCGCGCGCAAGGTCTGAGACGTGGATGAAGTCGCGCACCGCGGTACCGTCCCGCGTCTCCCAGTCTGAACCGAAGATCTCGAGCCGTGGGCGGTCGCCCGTCAGAACCTGAGCAAGGACAGGGAAGAGGTTCGTCGGCACGCCACGAGGGTCCTCGCCCAGGAGTCCAGAGGCGTCGCAGCCGATCGGGTTGAAGTAGCGCAGGGCGAGGATGGACCAGGACGGGTCAGAGTAGGCAAGGTCGGCGAGGATTGCCTCGCCAAAGTACTTGCTGCGGCCGTAGGGGGAAGTGAGGCCCATGGCGCCGGGAATGGCAGTGACAGTCTCGCCATCGCGCTCGTAGGTGTGGGGGTGGTGCACGACGTCCTCCTCGCGCAGCGGGACGCCCTGCTCAGCCTTGGTGCCGTAAACAGTGGCTGAGGAGGAGAAAACAAACTTCTTGATACCGTAGCTGTCGAGCGTCTTCAGCAGAGAGACGAGGCCGCACACGTTGTTCATGTAGTAGTCGAGGGGCTGGGCGATGGACTCGGAGACAGACTTGAAGGCGGCGAAGTGAATGACGCCGCTGATGCGGTAGCTGTCAAGCACAAGGCGAAGACCGGGAGAGCGGTAGTCCATCTCGTAGAACTTGAGGGCGGGAACCGTTCGCCCGTTGGCATTGCACCAGAGGGCGGCGGCCTCACGGATCGAGGAGAGGACAGTCTCAAAGGCATTGGAGAGGTCATCGACGATGACAACGTTCTTGCCGGCCTTCAGCAGCTCGAGGGCGGTGTGGGAGCCAATGAAGCCGAGACCGCCGAGGACGAGCACGTAGGCGGGACCGGGAGGAGGCGAACCCGACCCAGGCGTGGTCGGAGCAGTGGAGGCGTCCGAAAAGGAGGCGACGGAAGACGCCGAGGGGGAGTAGAATGCCATGATGGGTTTGGCTTTGGTCTACAGTTAGGATTGGGGAAGAGAGAGGCGATGCAGCCGTGTTTATAAACGCTGAAAAGGTCGACGATCTCGGCATGCAGCGTGCGAAGAACATGTGAGACCTGATGATGCACGGGAAGAGACGCTCCCTTGTTTTGGTCGCAAGGTTGGAGTGCTCATCCAGACTTGGGAGCGGCAGGATGTCCGGGAGTCGGCGTTGACCCGGTCAACCCGGCGGAGAAGTTCAGCGGCGTGGGGACCGAGAAAGTCTGAGGGAGGCGGGCCCTCCTCGCCGCCTACCTGCGCCTACTGCGACATGAGGTAAGATGTGCGGACCAACGCAGTGCAAAGCGACGCAGCATGACCCGACCCTGTGGCCAGATACAGAGTTTACAGTGTCTGCATTCCTGGCGTGCTCTGGTCCTGGGCACCTGGCACGTCTGGGTTCTTCCTGGGCACGACGTGGGACCTTGACCCGCTGGTCCGGGCTGCCCGGTCTCGTCCCGAGCATGCAAGGTGTACCTGCCCTCTGGGAGGGGTGGCCGTGGCCGCACGGCACTATGTCAGAGGTGGAGGGACCCACTACCTCTGCAACTTGACACGCACGGTGGTTGACCGCCGTGCGCTGCGTGCTTGCCTCAGCTTGCTTCAGGCATAACCGCTTATGAAACCGTGCGCTGCCAATGTCCTGAACCCGAAGGCGTCGCAGATCCACCGAGCTGGGAAGCAAAATGGATGATGTGTTTCCGCGCTGATGTTTCCTGAACTCGGTCCTGAGTGCGAGTTAGATCCCCAGCGCTCCTCAACCCCGCTTCGCTGCGCGGGGAGATCGATCTACTATGTCCCCTTTCGTCCAAATGATTATGACAGCATGGAGCGCAATGTCGGGTCTGAGCAGAACATTGCTGTGGGCTGACATCGCACCAAGCGCTGAAAACAGCAGATCCCGATCGCTGGTAAGGAGACGGCATGCCGAGACAATCCCACTCGGATCACAAGGAATGACGAACGCAAGCGACACGTCCGGCGGGGATAGCGGGATATCGTTGATTTAGGTCAACGAACGTGATATTGACTATGGGGACGTGATCGAGGCGTGCTCAGACCTCGGCCAAGAGCAAGAGAACACCTCACTAGCATCATACATGGGGCATGCGGACTGCGAGCGAGCGGCAGCACCAGGGGCTGATCATGCCACTGTGAGCACGAGGCACAGCCTGGCATTTGGAACGCACAAGTTAATCTGCAGCACTGTACCTACGCGCATGTTCTCACGGAGCGATCAACCCGGATGTACCTATACATGCAGTCAAAGCTTTAATGATCACCTGGGGTTTGCATGTGTTGTCGTGAGCGTAACAGCATGGTGGGTCGGTGTGCTGGTGGGGGTGGTTATTCACCTTTTGCAACTGTTACGGCTGAAAAGCCACACGTCAGCGAGGCTGACAAGTGTTCAGGGCAGTTCTCTGGCTCTTGGCTCTGGGTTGGCGGGGACCATTACCGGAGCCCGGTGTTTTGGTTCAGCCTTGACCTTGATTGCCGCACCCTGGCCAACTCATGAGACGTGGGTAGGCATAGGGAGCGGAGGAGAAGGGCTCGGGAGCCTGAGCGTGAGACAAAGCTCATCTGTTGCTGCCAGTCTGGTCACTGCCTATGCCCGGACAGCGGTTGGCTTGGCTGCACTGGCTGATGTGAGCGAGCCTGCACGGGGCGCAGGGCGATCAGGTCTCGGGCGCAACCGGTGCCGAGACAGCTGCAGGAATGTCTGGGCCTGAGGACCCTGAGTGTGTCCAGAGCAGGGCTGCCGATCTCGGTGGCGTCGCGAGGGCGTCGCATATCACGGGTACCTTCCAGACCCTGAACACCTTCTGCGGCTGAGCTGAGCCAAGTCGCAAGCTTCACTGGGACATTTGGCCTCCGTGGGTCGTTTTGGCTCTGGCTCGGTTGCAAAAACTGACAAAACTGATATGGACCAGGGTATGCGCCGTTGGCGCGCGTTTCGCGTTTTGCTTGCAGCGCTAACTTGCCTCCAGCAAACCCTAAACCCACCACTGCACTAGGACTGCAGACTCGACGCTCGTCCTCAGGCTGCACAAGACCACGACTCCCACAAATGCATCCCGTGTTTCTGTCGTCACCTGTCCGAGCTACATCGAGCTGCCCCGAGCCCTCCGGTGTACGCCGCCCGTCACGCCTTCTGCATGCATTCAGTCATGCTTTTGTCTCCCTCTTACTGCTTTAACCTAGCACTTTTACGCACAGCGTGGGCCATCAGCTGGGCCACGGCGTGAGAGCATGGGGGCCGAGATACTGGTGTGCAGGTACCTGACCACTTTTGCAGGAACGATCAAAGGCACGGCGGGATGCAAGACTTGGCCAGGCACAGGCAAGCGTCAGCATCACCGCACAAAGGTTTGCAGCTAAACCCTGGTAACCAGAGGTTAAGGCACAAGAACGCGAGCAACACGTCACGACATCGAGACGCTGCTGGCTGCCGAAGAGCCCGCTGGCTGGGCCCGGCACCAGATCAGATTGCGATTGTAGTGGGTTGTGACCCACTGGCCACCTCATCGCGCAGCTCGCTCAGCGCACCGCAGCGACAGACCCGTCCCAGACACTCGGACTCGGTTTCGTCCCCGCGCCTCTGCCCTAAGCATCAACGTTAACGTTCCAGTGCACCGCATCACGCAACGTACAACGAACCACGCATCACCGATCGGCGAGCTTGCGAGCACGTCTCATTGCACTCTCCCCAGTTCGAGCCAACCTTCACGGACAGCTTAGTCATCTGGGTCTTCCAGCAGGTCCTTCCAGTAAAGCACGTTGGCACACTCCAGACGCCGGACGACCTACGACACCCTCGGACGCCTCTCCTGGACTCTCCGCAACAAGCTCAGCACTAGGTCTGAAGACCAGGAACGACGCACACGCCTTCTCGTTGAGCGCATAGAGTGTCCGCAAAGGCTCGTAGAGTTTGGCCTGAAACGCGGCCCTACACCTCCCTCTGCAAGTCCGCTGGCCGTCCTCAGTCCACCTGCCCTCACCGCTGGCCGCCTTTCATACTCCTGGAGCAGTAACCTGGCGTCCATCCTCCGCTACCGCCCGCCAACCTACTCCGCCCTCCGCCCCCAGCACCCGCAGCAAACGTGCCAGTGCGAGTCCACGAGGTGACTTCCCACCGTTCCTTGCTCATTTCGCCGTTCACGCCGACTCGGCCAGAGTTGCCAGCACGATGAAGTTGGGAAGGCTCAACCTCCACTTTGGCTCTTCACGAAAGTCCAAGACTGAGAACCTCCACCAGGGTAGTCCACCCAGTCAGCCGAGTTCATCCAGTCCTCGTACTTCGACCAGGTCTAGTAGTTCTTCCACGTCCAAACGTCACGCCGGACAGTCATCTGCTCCGCCGCAAGCTCCGACTTCGGCCTCCCCTCGACGCCACCCCGGTCTCTACTCCTCCCCCTCCGCTCGCGCCATGGCACCCACCGCAATCGTCATCCCCCTGTACATCTATCCCTCCCCCGGCGCTTGGGATCCGCTCATCCGGACAGCCAAGGCGAACCCGCTCGTGCCCTTCGTCGCGATCGTGAACCCCAACAATGGACCGGGAAACACCGTCCTCCCCGACGCATGCTACCAATCCGCGCTCGCCGAGCTCTGCATGATCCCCAACATAACCCTGCTGGGTTACGTGCACTGCGTGTGGTGCAAGCGTGACTCCCCCGAGATCGAGTCGGACATCGACACGTATGCGTGCTGGGCTGCCGAGTCGCAGGGCCGTTTCGGCGTCAGTGGCATCTTCATCGATGAGGCGCCCTGGGATCCCTGTCACCGGCCGTACATGTCCAACCTGGCGCAGTACATCCGCAAGACGTTCGAGGAGGAGACGGGCACCCCGGGACTCGTGTGCTACAACCCCGGCGTGGTCGTTGATCAGGGGTATCTCGAGGACTGTGACCTCGCCGTCGTCTTCGAGCAGAGCCACAAGGAGTGGTACGCCTACTTCCTGCGCAAGGGGCTGGTACAGATCCCCTACAACCTCAGGTCAAAGTGTGTAGCCATGGTGCACTCGTTCGGCCAGCTCGAGGGTCTGGAGCCGACTTCGCCTACATCTCCGCACTCGCCCAACTCGCCCAACTCTCCCAATCACCGCAACGGCAATGGACACGGGCACGGGCACGGCAGGCATGGCAGCATCGAGCTTGACGGGTCGCACGCCGGCGGCGTAGCCAAGGCCGCTATCGCCGTCACGGACCAGATCACGCAGCTGGGCTTCGGCGGCGTGTTCCTTACGGAGCAAGTGGGGGGATACTCACACTTCCCCGAGACCTGGGACACGGTTGCGGAACGCCTGACGCAGACGCAGACACAGGCGAGGAGTAGGAGGTTTTAGATTAGACTGTAGCCTGGTTGCTCAGTGATTGACGTGGACTGCGCACACAGGAGGCGGTCGCTGCTGCGCGCGGAGGCACGGAGGCCGGAGACATGCGGCTCCGCTGCGACGATCATCGAGGCTGACACAGCTGTGCACGGTTCCAGTGTCTTGGTACCGCGGCGGTGCGGCTGCGGATCGGCGTTGTTACATTGTGCAACGCACAGACACGAAGAGGAGATGAGGCGATGAAGTTCTATAGATAACTCGTGAAACCCTGATGCGGCTGGTGCCGCAAGGTATTTAGACCCATGACATGGACCAGGAACAAGTTAGACCGGATGCATCTGCGATTCAAGCGATAACCCTCGGCCGCGATAAGGGTAGTGCACGGGCTTGAGGCAATGCGTAAAGAGCGTAGTATGCATACTTTGATGGAAAGACGTACCGCCTGAGCGGCTGAGTGGAGCGCGGAACCAGCCGCTGCTCCGTGATTATGGATTCTATGGAACCCTACAACGACGCCAAAGCTTAGGCGTCAAAAGTCGGCTCGCACGGCTCGACCCACTGGTCGAGAGCCATCTTCTTCATAACCATGGAGAAGCCGTTGCTGCCGTCCGCATTGCACTGGGCGGCAAGGGCGTCGGAGGGCATCTCGGTGCCCGCCTGCGAGGGGTACTCGATGGAGAAGACCGGCTTCTTGGCCTCAATCATGCCCTGGTACTGGCCGCACTCGCCGTACTCTGCGCACTGCTCGACGACGGAGAACTGGACGGATCCGGAGACGTTGGGCACGATGGCGGCGGCGTTCTTGAGTCCACAGCCCATGTTGTGCTTGCCCGCCTCCTGGGCGAGGAATTTGACATAGTCCGAGGCGTCGGACTCGGTGAGGCCGAGTCCGTTCTCGTTGTTGTACGCGTCGACGTTGTCGGGGTCGACGGCGTCGCAGCCCTTCTCGGCCGCCATCTTGAGGCGCGCGGCCATGATCGAGCGCACCTTCTCGGAACCGGTCTTCACCCACTTCTCGCCGTGCCAGCCCTTGAGGTCCGCGCCGAGGTCGCCCTGGTCCCAGTCCTTGGCGTCCGGACGCCAGTCCTCGAACGAGCCGGCCGAGAAGTAGCAGATCACCTTCTTGCCCGCGGCGTGCAGGGCCGAGATGGTCGAGGCCTCGACGTCGAACAGGTCCATGTCGTAGATGTCCACGTTGGGCGTGGGCTTGCCGTCCACGATGGGGACTTGCTCGCTCAGAACGATCTGCCACGAGGCGCCGACGGGGGGCTGCCAGATAGCCGTAGGAGGGGAGACGGGGGCGGTGTCGTTGCCGGTCGGAGCAGGGGAGACGGCAGAGTCGGAGGCGGAGCCGGTAGCAGAGGCAGAGGCGGAGGCGGAGGCGGAAGCGGAAACCGAGGGAGAGACGGAGGCGGAAGCGGAGTCAGCGTCAGAGGATGCCGACGCCGAGGCGGAGTGCGACCCCTTGCGGGTGCACATCCCGACGGGGATGCCAACCGCAAAGGGAAGGATGAAGACGAGGAGGAATCCGAGGATGACCATTTTCTTCCACAACGGCCAGCGCTGTCGTTTCGTAGTATTTGACTCGAGGTCGGACTCTGTCCGGTAAGTCTAGGCTAAAGAATGTGGGGTTGAAGGAGTGGAATGCAGCTGGTGTGGCTGCAACGAGTGACTACGAAACTACAAGAAAGGGGTGAAAGAAAGAAAGGCGGGATGAAGGAGGGGAGTAAGGAATGAGAGACAGAGATAGGGAGGGATGCATGATGCAGTTATGTATGATCGCATGCATCGACGTCGGACGCGTCGCGGGACGCATTCGCGATCGCGAACACGCCGTAAGCAGAAGGTGAAAAGTGACAGGTGGTGGTGAAAGCTTAAAACACGACGTGACCCGGCCGGACCGGTCTGTGGACCTAGCTTGGCAGGATGGACGGGTGTGTGCATGGGTCACTCGTCACTCGGTGAGGAGGAAAACGGGGGTTGGTGGACTTAAGGACGGTGCACTTTCGAGGTCCTCTCGTAACTTGACTCACTGCTGCGTGTGCCATCCTTCTGGTACGAGTTCGAGTCCGGCCCGTCGGACGGGATGAACTGGATGAGCGCAGTGCCCATCTTGGCTCTCGACTATGGGTTTACGACTCTGGTCTATGTGCGTTGGACTGGGCCCAGGCTAGGCGAATTTGTCGAGCGTGGGGATGTTGCATGAACGGTGGTTTGCAGGTGTCACGACGCAGTGCTTGGCATGCGTCGTCTGAAATTGATGTGGTTAAGTGTGTGTTTCTGTTGCGAGTTGGAGGTGGGAGAGAGAGCCCGTCGAGAGTCAAGTCGAACTTGATGAAGGCTGCGTCGAAGGCGCTTGCGAGTGCTGTTGAGATCTGTGAATGCCCAGCCCGCTCTATTGCGGGACAAGACGAGGCTATACTTGGCACTGAGCTGTGAATGGCGGGCTGTCGCTAGCACTAACTCTCTGCAGCGGTCCGCAGTACATGGAACGCCTAGTGCAAGGCGATGCGGGTGCGTAGGCTGGCTTGGCTGGAAGAAGGTGGGCGGAGGTGGAAGGGTGAGGTGAGCATGGCTGAGAGATGTCGTCGTACCTAGTGCTGAGGAGGAGCACCTTCGACCGACCCAAGGGACTCTGTCAGGAAAAGACAGGGGTGTGCAGGGGGTTCAGCAAGTGGGTTCTAAGGAGGACCCTCAGCGTTGGGGCTCCATGCATGCGACCCGAGCTCTTTCTTCATTAGGGTTCCAGGCTCTGTTCGGTAGGCGCTGGTGGGATGAGGGATGAGACGTAAGCCATTGGCTGAGACAGGGGTACAGCCAGAGTGGGATGACGTGAGACACTGCTGCTGCGGTGATCGTCGGCCATCTCCATCCCCTCCAGCTCTCTTTCGCTTTGGGAACAACGGCCGTTCCTCTTTTTCAGAACAAGCTTTCGGTGCCGACTCTTCAAATCAAAAGGCTGTGCATTCGCCTTCCAGTAAAAGACTAGAATGGGCACTTCTCCATCGGAACGACTACAATGGGCAGTAACGCTGCTCGTCAGGGTATTTCAGGGTGGTGCAGGGCCGCGGCCGGTCAAGTCACGTGCAATAGGGTCAATGATGTCATATGAGCGCTGCTCGCCATCACAACGGCCTCGCTCACCGTCGCTTGTCTCACTCGGCCATTCTTCATTCTTTCATCCAATTCTAACTAGTTCTGATCGCGCTCGACTTGGGAGGCCTGCGAGGGAGCCTGGCCAGGCAGGTGACGCTTCCGTTTCTTGTTTCCCTTGCCGTTGCCTCGGGCTTTGGGCAAGGGCTCGTCTTCATCGACTTCTAGCTCCTTTGGCAGACAATGAAGAGGCATCAGGCGCTCATAAACAGCTTGCCAGCCCTTGGTAGTGTAGAAAGGAGCCACCAGGCGCTCAGCACTCGGCCGGTCGAGCTCGGCAAGGATCAGGAGAGCCAGGGCGTGGCGGCAAAGGATCCGATACTCCTCATAGAACCCGCAGGGACACTCACAGGCCAGCGGCCTCGACTGATCCTCAACACTAGCACCCTCGGCCTCGCTGCCGTCGTCGTTGATCGCGTAAACGCGCACCTGGCGGTCTCCGGAGTTCGGACCGGTTACCCGGCCAATGATGGAGGGCGCAGCACTCCAAAGAAGAGCATCGCCGAGGTACCAGTGAGCGCGCTGGAGCTCCTCCTGGACGATGGGGAGGGCCCTGGGTGTCACCGGGCCCTTGTAGGCTTGCGCCGCTCGCTTCTGCTTGACTGCATGCCGAAGAACCTTGTCGCGAAGTCCGTGTAGCATGTCCACCACCGGCTTCTCGCGTAACTCGCCAATCCAAGCGTTGCTTGCCTCGACGGTGTTCGAGGTCGTAGTGCCAAATCTGCCTGGAAAACCGAACCAGGCGCGTGCCCAGGACTCGAAGGGACCTAGCAGAGTGATGTACCTGAAGAACTGGCCAGGGAAATTGGGCTGATTGGCCTCTAGAAGCTGCATGAAACCCTCCTTCGAGCGCACGTTGACGAGCCGTTGAAAGAATGCCGCGGCCTCGTTGTTGTAGTGCCTCCTGACGTTGCTAATGAGGTGCTGGCAGCAGTAGGACTGCTTGGTGGCCGGTAGCTCCCTTTCCACGGCGTTTAAGAGCCCTTTCTGTCGATCAGAGACGAGAACTCGATTGGGATCGTTGAGGACGGGTATGTGGCTTTTCAAACGGCTCAAAAACCAGGTCCATGATGCCTCACTCTCTGCTTCGCACAGGCCCCATGCTAGAACGTTCAAATGATTGTCACCGTCCAGCGCACATGCTAGGAGGATCGTGAGCTTCAATTGGCCCTGTGCATGGCAGCCGTCGACGGCCACGACTGGTTTACAGAGCCGAGCGGTTTCGGGGGCGGTTGAGGGTGATACAATGACGTTGAACCCTTCCTTCTCGGCGAGTCCAGCGGGGTCTGCCTCCTTCAGGAGCTCGATATAATGACGTAGCTGCTGCCATTGGGTGTTGTGGTCGCCAAGCCGAGCTTTCCGAACGCGGTGACGCGCTCTCTGAGTCGTATGGACCGGAGGTATGTAGTGGAGGTGACGGCGTACGGTGTCGGCAAGGGCCTTTGGCTTGTGGACCCTGTCAGGCCCGGTATGCAGCGCGGAGACGATCTGATCCATGTTGGAGGCACGCGAGAGGGCATGACGCTTCGGCTGGGAGAGAACTAGGCAGCTGTGCTCACTGTGGAGACGGTTGCAACGGTACGGCTTGTCGAGACTAGTTCTAGTGAAGGATGCTCGAAAGGGGCACAAACTGCCACATTCGGCCTCGGCGTTGTTGACGGCGGTCTGAGCGCTCTGGAGGAGAGCGCTACCGGGGGGTTCGGTGCGCTCCAGCTGTCGGAGATGGGCCCGAGCCTGCTCGGCGGCTTTCTTCTTCTCATAGGTCGTGATACAGACCACGACACACCTAAGCGGTTTGGAGGTCTCTTGGCGGGTCGTGGCTCGAGTTGTCCTCTGCTCGTTGCACAGCAGCTCAGCAGCGCACTGTGCGGCGTCGCGTGTGTCGAATTCAGAGCCCACTGTGAGCTTGGCTTTGAGCTGGGCCTCGATAACGGGGCCAGACATGGTGAGGTGAAGTGAGACATCGATGGTGAGCAGTCCCCTTTGGATCGCGAGCAACGTGTCTCACCCTGAATGCACGTGACTTGACCGGCCTCGGCCCTGCACCATCCTGAGGGACCCTGACAAGCAGTAACGCTGCCCATTGTAGTCGTTCCGATAGAAAAGTGCCCATTCTAGTCTTTTACTGATTCGCCTTCTGCATCGAGCCAACTGACGGGGAATGACCAGCCCCGTCCTACGCCCGGCCACCCCATTAGGCGGACACTTGGAAACCTCTGGTCGGTCAAGACCCGGCCCGATTAGACTTTTCGCTTCCATTCATCCCCATGCCTAATGCGGCTGTTCTCCTCTGCATATCGCGATTGTAACTTTCAGCCCACCCAGACTCACCCTTCTACGGATGCATGCAACCGATCTCAAAGCAGGGCGTACTAATCGGCGTTCTCGCGAACATCGCTGTTCCGGCTGATCTTTGATCGCTTATTGTGTATTGGGATCTGCAAGCCATGCATGCCCCGATCAATGGGGTCGTTGCCGTAGCTGCCGTCACGCAGGCATGGATCTTGTCCAGAGAACAGAGACGGTCATTGTCGTACCTTTCCGTTCCTGCGTCTCCCGTAACACCCTGCTTCTTTTCAGTCGTGCCAGGCCGGGCTCAGGGCCGTACCGTGTTCCCGGGAGGGCTTCGGACCCCTGGCCAGCCTGAATCAGCAGAGAGTATGAAGCTCACCAGCTCGCACCGGGTTCCTCCACCGGAGACGGCGCGCTGCGACAGTGCATAGCGGCCGTAGCGCGTTCCGTCTTTGCGTTTTACGCGCTGCCTGTTCGGATTCCGGAAGGGTGACCTTGCACCTTGGGACTCTGGGAAGAACAGCCGGCGGGCAGCGCGGCGGTGTCTCTGCAACGGCGATTGAGCTTCACTCTATTCCTGGCAGTCCTGGAAACTCTCGGACAAACAAGCTCGAGAAACCAGTAAACCAAAGCCAGCCGCTCAGCGCGATATATAGGCGGCGACGGCGTGTCATCCTCCCCGTTCTCCAACAAGGCAACTATGCGTGCCACCATCGCCCTCGGAGTCCTCCTCTCCGTCCTCTCCGTGACGGAGGCGTGCGCCAACGCCGGCGCCTGCGGGCACCGCGCGTACCAGCGCCGCAACGACATCCCGTACCGAGAGTATCCCCGCGACCCCGCTGGTAAGGGAAAGAACAAGGAGCATGGTCGGGACAATGCCCCGGGCCAGCTGAAGAAGAAGACGACCACGACGAAGAAGACGACAGCCAAGCCTACCACTACTGTGAAGACCACCACTGGCAAGCCGATCACGACCACGGGCAAGGCCACCACGCCGGCCACCCCTGTCCCGACGACGACGCCCAAGGCGCCTTCTGCCAGCCCTTCGTCGGCTAGCAACGCTGCTTCGCCTTCGTCAGCCATCGCGTCGTCTGTCATGGATTCCGTCTCTCCGAATGTGTCCTCTACTTCTATTGGGCCTTCGTCCGCTGTCTCGCCGTCGGGAGTGCCCTCCGACGCCCCCGCTACGTCCGGCACTGGCGGCGCCATCCGTCCTTCCGACACGCCCGTTGTGCCGGAGCAGTCGCCCATTCCCGATGCATCTCCGGACAGCGCCGCTCCCTCTGTCGTCGTTCCCTCCAACCCCGCCACCTCTGCTACCGTCTCGCGTATCGGCGGCGCCACTGTCGACAACCACATCCTCATCCTCGCTAAGGACGAGTACAGCGCCGAGTCCGGCTTCCACGGTCTCGAGGGCTACGGCATCCCGTACGACCGCGTGATTGTCCCTCAGGGTGGCGTCTCCCTGCCCGCTCTGAACGACAGTGCGACGCACGGTCGCTACTCCGGTATCATTGTCATGGACGCACTCTCCTACGAGTACGCGGAGGGCTGGCACAGTGCCATCACGGACGAGCAGTGGAAGCAGATCCACGACTACCAGGTGCACTTCTCCGTGCGCATGGTTCGCATCAACGAGTTCCCCGGCCCCAACTTTGGTGCCGAGGTCGACGCCGCCGGTGCTGGCGGCACGGGCTCTGAGCAGGACATCTCCATCACGGACACGAGCGACTTCCCGACCGCGAACCTGAAGACCGGTGCTGGTCTGTCCGCCAAGGGCCTGTGGCATTACCCCGCCAAGGTTGTCGATACGGCCACGACCAAGGCTGTGGCTAAGTTCGCCGCCGACGGAACCTTTGGCGAGACGGTCGCCGCCGTCATTAACCACTTCGCCGACGGCCGCGAGCAGTTTGTTTGGTTCACCTCCTGGGCGCCCCAGTGGAGTACCACCTGCGCTGCGTTCCAGCACGCGCACATCCACTGGCTCACCCGCGGTCTCTTCCTCGGCAAGCGCAAGACGCACCTGAACATCCAGATCGACGATGTCGAACTCGCCACCGACATGTACCTGCCCCCCAAGGCTGTCTTCCGCCTCAGCCCCGAGGACCTCGAGGGCCACGCCAACTGGCAGAAGGACCTGAATGGTCGCCTCCCCGCCGGTTCGAATGTGCGCCTCGAGCTCGGCCACAACGGCAACGGCGACATCCTCGCTGCCACCGACCCCAGCTCCGGCGGCGTGTGCACCCCCGACTACGCTGTCGACTACCCTGAGGTCCCCGAGACTGAGCTCGAGTTCAAGAAGCCCCTCGGTACCGGCGTTGACTTCTGGCCCAAGGAGTGGACGACGTACCCCTGGTCGTACGCCTGCACGCAGCGCGACCCCCTCACCGCTTGGTACAAGGACCCGTCTAAGCGTGATCAGTACTTCCACGTCTCGCACACCTTCACCCACGAGGAGATGAACAATGCGACCGGCCGCGATGCCTCGCTCGAGATCCAGTTCAACCAGGCGTGGCTGAAGCAGACCGGCATTGCCGATGGCATGTTCTCGCCCAAGGGCATCATCCCCCCCGCCATCACGGGACTGCACAACGGCGACGTCATCAAGGCGTGGATGGAAAACGGCATCAAGCACGTTGTTGGCGACAACACCCGCCCCGTCCTCCGCAACGGTGAGAGCCCTTACCATCCCCTCATCTCCACCGTCGAGGGCAACGGCTACGCTGGCCTCGTCATTGTTCCCCGCTGGGCGACTTCAATCTACTACAACTGCGACACCTGGGAGTGTGACGTGCAGGAGTGGAAGGACATCTCGAAGGGCTACGGGGACTACAACGACCTCCTCGAGAACGCCAAGGAGGTCAACACGCCTTACCTCTTCTCGCTCAAGGCGGACCCGTACATGTTCCACCAGGCCAACATGCGTCTCGTCGACATGCCCACCATCACGGTCGGAAGCAAGACGGGCCAGATGTCCATGGTGATGGGCTGGGTCGAGAGCGTGGCGCAGGAGGTCGCGCGCGTGACCAACTGGCCGATCGTGTCGCTCAAGCACGACGACTTCACGCAGTACTTCCTCGACCGCCAGGCGCTGGACGGCTGCAAGCCGTCCGCCGTGTTCAAGACGAACGCGGACGGATCCCAGATCACCCACGTCGAGGTCCACGCCGACAACATGAACTGCCCTGCCGAGGTGCCCATCACGATTCCCGGCGGCGGAGCCAGCGGCGGCCGCACCGACCAGGTCGGCTCCGAGCCCCCCATCATCTGGGTCAAGCTCAATGGTGGCCAGGCCACCGTCCAGCTCAACAACCCCGTCAAGCTGTAAACATCATATACGGACATTTCATAGACACGCGAACAGCATCGGGAATGCATGATAGTTACGACCACTCTGGCACACCTAACAAGTTGACAGGACTGACTGAACCTTTCGTTAGGCATTGTCGCAGCCGGTCACGGCCTCGGTCAAGGAATTGCATGCATGATCGACACCTCCGTCGGCACTACAAGTTGCGCCGCACCGAGCATGTAACACCAGTGTCGCAAGCTTCACCGGACTCAGCCTGCTTCCGACTCCCGCAAACGTGCGCGCCGGTCCGCGCGGGCGGCGCGCGGGCCATCGCTCCCGCAGACCGAGTTCCTGCACAGCGGACGGCGCCACCATTCGTCCGGTGCACAGCGTGATGCATGGCGGCGGCGCACTCCAATGTCTACTCCAATACAACGTGCAGCGTGATCCGCACCAATGACTGTCGCGATCCTGCACAATGGTACGCCGACGGCCTGAGGCCCACTCGCCCGAATTGATGCCAGTGAGCTGGACCCATAATGCAATGTTGAGCGTATCTTGCACCGAGCGTATCATACACAAAGCATATCTTACACTTCGCTGATGATGCTAAAGCATAGCTGCCATATACTTTGTATAAATAATGGAGTTTTGGTTTGAGCGTCGCCGCCATAGTCGACGCCGCAACGACACCAGTATCCTGGATCTCATCACCATGGCCGAGCCCACTGTCTTGCATCTTATCGCTGATCGACAGCGTTGCCCAGAAGCGTCGTCGGTGGTTGTGACGACGTATGGTGGGTTGTTCATCAATCTCAGTCAAGCAGACAAGCTCAGAGTCAAGCCCTCGTCGGGTCGCTCGGAGCATATCAGGCCGAACATGCTGAACAGCGTCGCACTCGCTGCTAGCCGAGGGTCAGTCACCACAGGCATGTGACGCAGCAGCTGTTACAGTGCGAAGCTTTGGAGCATTCGACGAGCAGTATGCATTGGCGTTAGCTCGGTCTACTGCATGTGCAAGCGTAGTACGAAGCGACGTGCGTGTGCAGCACAGACAGCAAGAAACGCAGAAGTCTGCCGCGGCTCATAACCTTGGCTCAGTCGAGTGCACCCGGCGCAAGCGGGTGAAGGGCGGAAGAAGAGGCAGGGACTTGGAATGGTCTGTGGAACGAGGCGAGAGAGTACGAGCGCACAAGGGTATGCCATATCCCTCACGTATAGCTCGGTGCATCTCGCACGTCTCGTGTTGCGAGTTTCGGTCTCGAACTTTGAGTTTGGGGCAGCAGAGTTTGCGACCGATAAAACGTCATCCCCACCCTTCCTCATAGGTTCCTGGGCACCCTGCAGGCTCTCATGATCAAGCTTTGTGCGTTTGTTCGGGGTTGCGCTCGTTCCGATTTTCGTTTCTTCGTGCTCGTATTCGTTTCGATGATTTCGCTTTTGCGTTTCGAGCGAGCTTCGAGCCGCAAACACCGTGAGACCCTCTGATATGCAGGCTGCGTAAGACACTCATCAAGGCGATGCATAACCCTGCCTGACTTGCTCGCATTGACCGCCTTCGTTCCTGTCTTCCTGCTGTGCGTACCTCGCACCTCAACTATCGGATGTACCTGCCTCCACGGACTTCACGATTGTCACCAGGAACCCCGATAACCCGAACACGGACACTCAATGCATGAGGCTGAACAACACCGATGTGAGAGCGTGAGAGTTGATCGAAGTGACATTCAGCATGATATGTATCGAGCAAAGGCACAGAGTAAGCGAAAGAGGCACTGGGAGAATCAAAGGAACGTCAATGCAAACAGTCACACGAGTGAGACTGGTTACCATTTGCGGAACTCCGATGCGACTCGCCAACCTTGATTGCGGGGCCTGATGGGATTCAATGCAAAACTCACGAAAGCTTAATCGACTGCACCGTGCCAACGCCTCCGTCGCTTTGACTCGGGGCCGTTGTCGGAGTCAGGCTCCCTCTTCGCAGCATGGCTCGGCGACGGCGCCGAAGGGCCATGCGGCGACCAACGGGTGATCTCCCACGGGCGCCCAACAGGATCCCACGTTGATATCTTATCTGGTGGCGCTGTCAGACATCCGTGGACTCAGACCAGCTATCCCTGCCTACAACACAACAACTAACTCTTGACTGCTAATCCTTGATTGCGCTGATGTCAACGCACTAGCATACATGCTAAGCTCAGCTGGTGAGAACGGGAGAATCTGTGCCAGCGCGCAGCAGCACACTAGGCTTCAGTATAGAACCGAGGTACTGGCAACTACCTCGCCTGCAGCCAGGAAGTCCGTCAATCGTCCACCTCTCCCAAGCATGGATCGTGAAAGCTAACGAGTTTCCCACATGTCGAAGCTCTGCTGACCAATGCGTGATGAGAACGGCCCTCCAAAGGAGAAATCCATGCTCGGCTGAGGAAGCTCGGCAGTTCACTATCTCGATGCTAGTCGTTTAACAACTCCAAGACTCCTTCTCTCCTTCGTCTTCGGTGACTTTCAGAACTTCTCCCCCTCCTCACCACAACAAACGTCCGGAATGTTGCCGCCAGGACCACCAACAGACGCCCGCACGTCTGTGCCGCCCCCCGAGCGCCGCCTTCCTCGCGAGACCTGGCAGCTTGGCGAATTTGTCCTACCCCCACTCCCCGATTCGAGAGTGTACGATGAGAGCCGTATTCATTGGGCTGCGCGATACGCCAGCATTGAATGGTCCGAGAAGACCGCTGCTGGAGAGAGCATCGACCCCACCTGCTTCAACCTTGCCATACTGGACAAGGTGATCGAGCAGTACGTCATCAAGTCGTTTGCTTACTAAAATGTAGTCTCAACTACGATCGTGACCAGCGAGTCTACGGTTCACGCCCCACGTTCGCATCGTTTTTCGACTGGTCCACATGGTCTAACAATGTTATACGGTGCTGGTACTGGACAGTGAGTCACTCCTTGGCGTAAAAACCACCACCGCGAACTGTGACTAACCGCAGGCGTACCGCCAGCTCCCCAACCACTCGAACATTCCTTCGTTCGACGAGACGTACTTTGCCCTTCGCCCAGCCGTGACTACCCTGTTCAGAAGAGTAACAGACGCACGCATGGCACCCGCAGGGGATCCTCCGCGCTACGATCGAGCCCTGCTTGGGCGCTTCGACCCGAACTGTCGCCCTGCTCCTCCTGTTGTTCGGTACGTCCAACGTTTGAGGTTTCGCGACAGTGAGGAGCCATCGGAGGAGCAGATACAGAGGTTGGAGGAGGCATCGAGCGCTAGACGAGGGAGGCGAAGGTTCAACGTCGTGCGCACTGTGGAGCTACCTCCCCTCGATGTTGACATGAGCGTCCACGAGCTCGGCAATGATAATGTGGCCCCCAACACTTGACTCACGCTCGGAGAACGCTTCGGAATCCAACCCCAAATAGTAGTCCCCATAGCAATACAGTGTATCCTCAGTCAATATGACACTCTCTCCGTGATCTCGAACAGGGGGTGGTGTGTCTGTAGCATTGAGACCGCCGGTCAGTTTGCAACAAGCATGGAGGCCAGCCACTGAGTTACAGGGGGGAACGAGAAGCCATTCAGTTCCCGGGCGTATGTTGCGTATAATCCGAACAGGTCTGCGGTCACTGGCGGCTCACAGAGCTCTGTTTACTCTTCCACTGAAGGGTGGGAACTGTAGGCTGACTTGAGAGGGAACAAAGGCGAAGCATCTTCAAGCAGATGTCTACCGAGGTAGTGACCGTCCTAACCCCCCCGTTGCGCAGACCCTCTCTCCACAACATTCGCTCATACACCACCCCACAGTGACCCATCGTCGTCGGCGATCTTTCCAGAAATGCTGTCCACATCCATCCGCGAACCGGAAATCACGGCCCCCCACCATCCCGCCTCCCGAACGTCGCCTACCCCACCAACGCTGGGCACGCGGGCTCTTCCTCCTTCCACCGTTCCCGGATACTGCCGCCTTCGTCGACACCCGCCTCCACTGGGCAGCCCGCTCAGCAAGCTTCGAGTGGGCCGAACGCATGGCTTCGGAAGGTCAAATTGACAACGCCTGTTTCCTCTTGGCTGCTCTGGACAAGATCATTGAGCAGTACGCCATAACAAAGTTGGCTCAGTCGCTGACGTTGCATTGTCTACGATCGTGATCAAAGGCTGCACGGTCTGCGCCCCACCCTTCCTACCTATTATGGCTGGCTAGTCTGGTCCACCAACTCGATACGTTACTGGTATTGGGTTGTAAGTCACCCAAGGCGGTTGCCCGCCTCCATGTGATGCTGATAGCTGGCCTTTCGCCAACTGCCCAACCAGGTCGACCTTCCCTCCCTGCAGGAGACACTTGCCGCACTCCGGCCAGCCGTCAATCTCCTTTTCCTTCGGGTCACAGACGCAGACGGAGCACCTGCTGGCTGTCCGCCGAGATACGATCGTGATCTGCTGGTTCGGTTCGATCCGAACAATCTGCCTGTCCCGCCCGTTGTGCGTTACGTTTAGCCACTGAGGCTTCGTGATGGAAAGGGGCCCTCGACGGATCCGAATCCCAGTCTGGAGGAAGGATCTGAGGCGAGGAGGCGAACAGGCCGTAACTTCAATGTTGCGAAGACAGTGATGCTTCCACCACTCGACGTACCGGGCATGAGCGTGCAGGACGATTCAAGACCTCAAAGCGGTTCCTCGGTGTCAGCTCTGTCTCCAGCGGCGGATAAGAAGACACATGACGGTGCCTCCCAACACGCAGATTCAGTCGGCTGAACCCCTTCCCGAAAGGAAGCGACACTTGACAGACGACGACGTTGATTCCGAGCCGCCGCAGACAAGTTAAAACCTCGGATGAAACGCGCATGCCGGTATCGAGAAGCGTTCGAAGCTTTCGATGCGACACAACGACGCTGTTCCGCAACCCTGTATTGCGGGGCCACAGCCTGCGTCCATCGCGGGGCCCAGACCGCTCTGCCGTCATCTGTCCCGGAGACGGCGATGAAATCAGCGTTTCCGCGATACTTTGACGTTTGACTCGTCGAGAAACATGAGCCGTCACTCCCGCACAACATGTCTCGTCATGATTCGTTTCACGTTTCGCGTTTCATTGCTGGCAGACTCTCCGCATCTCCACATCCGCGTGTTTTCGTTCGAAACTGTTGTCAGGACACTCATGGACGCCACTGACGCGAAAGAAGCGCCGCTGACGTCAATTGGAACTTGTGTTGTTACAACAGATGCATGATGCTCTACGAGTGACGGGACGGCTACACCCAATACGGCGCGAAGAACGCGCCGAGGGCGTCCGAGTGACGTTTGGCGATGTTGAAGTACGGGCTGATGGTCCTCCAGCAGATCATGATTGGCATGAAGACCCGTCGTATTGGCTCGAACCAGCCTGCAATAACCTCAGCGGCGCGGTGCATCCACTCCTTTGTCGAGCAGACGTACGCCGCAAAGTCCCTAGGCACCTCTCCCTCCAGTTGTGCGATGAGGTCCGGTGTCGGGTTCGCCGTGAGGCTGACGAGGCGCGCGACGGCAGCAGCACGCTCGCGAATGGAGCTGTGCATACGCACCCGCCTCACGCGGTCGTAGTAGTACTCTACCAGCTCTCTTGTGCGCTCGTCGTGAGTTGAGACGTCGAGGTATGTGCCGTAGAAGATGGACCATTCGTACTCCCATACCAGGCTACGAGGGGGATGGTCGCTCATGCTCACGAGGCAGGCGAGGGCGCGCGCTTTGGCACGATAGGACGAGGCGGGGGAGAGCGCGCGCAGTTTGGCGTATTGTCGCTCGACTGCTTGAGGGTCATCGTTCGTTATCCAGTTCTGGAGGTCGAGGTGGGAGAGACCGAGGCGATCGAGCTCAGATTCGATGTCAACGTGCGTCGTCGCAGTCGCTATTGGTTTCGAATGCCGCGACCGTCGGCTGGGATGCTTCAATTTATGCTGCGCAGCGAAGCGAGCGCCCCCATTCTTCTCGTAGGACGTGCTTGGCAATAAAGTGGATATTGCCAGGTCGTTATCCAGCGGTGCTGCCAAGACACCCAGCGGGGCCGTGACAACGAGGAAAGCGAAGAGCAACAGGAAGACCAGCTTCATGGTTGCGTCTCAGGGATGAAGGATGGAGTAGTTGAGAGAGCAGACATGCTCCACACGAGCCTGTATCCCATGATGGGCGGCGTCGTATCGGTCGCCGAGTTAGAGTTGGACGGGCCTGACGTTGGAGTGGAGAGAGCCTGGATGGTAACTGACCCCGGACATGTCCGGATGTGGTGAGCAGGTTTCCCACGGGTGAACTGATAAGCCAAGACACCGAGATGCGGGATCAATTCGGTCCGGAGAGGTTTGGATACAGATCTCGACTCTTCCTCCTTTGCGGTCGCTCTCTTCACCTTCGACGTGCGGCAGCTGGCACTCGAATCCATCGATGCGTACGACAAATCCAGACTCTCAATACAGTCCCCAGAATGAAGTCTCGGATTCGGATTGCCCGATAATCCTTGATCACCTTCATCCTGGCGCTCGCTGATCAGGAGTTCGACGATCACGACACTCACCCTACAGATCTTGGATCCGCGACTGGAAACAGCCTGGTGGGCTGGGTCAGTGCCTTCGGAGGTGAAGCGCACAATGGGGTCTGCGATACAGATTCGCGCATGATGCGCTGGCGTCTTCTAGTGATGGCGTTTCAGTTTCACACTGGGACTAGAGCACTAGTCTCCAGCACGCTCCCTCCCCTCTTCATCAACGCTCATTCACGCTTCACTTCTGACCATGTTCTCTACCGCTTATTCTTTCTACTCCACATTTACCATGACGCTCCCCGTCGAGCAACTGGCGGTACGGCCGTATGAGCGTAAGCTTAGTAATGCTTGGTGGCAGCTGACCACAGTCCACACGCCAACAGGCAGCTCGGCAACGTATCCCTCCACGCCGCAGTCGGCGTCAACTCTGCGCGCAACCTCGCCCTCAACCCCGCCCTCGCCGTCTCCTTCACCTTCGAACTTCCCGCTCCCTCCTCACGGCCAACCTCCCCCCGGCGCCGGCGCGCAAGCGACGCGCTCCTCATTCCTCCTACACCTCAAGCGCAACAGCGCCGCCGATCTCCTCGACTCCGTCGAGTGGGTGACGGATACGTTCTCCTCGCTCCGCACACAGCTGCGGGACCGAGACGCCGAACTCGCTCTTACCCGGCACTACGTCGCATACCTCGAGCGCGTAGTTGAGGAGCGCGATGGGAGGATTCGGGCCCTGGAGCAGCAGGCGAGGAGGGACGCAAGGACGATTCAGAAGCATCGAGAGGGACTGGGTATTGCGTGGAGCGCGATGATGCCCCGTGAGGCGCAGAGGGGGTTCCAGCCTGGTGGCCGCGGAAAGGGCAGTGATGGAGGGGACGGAGGTAACGGAGGGCAGAGAAGGCTGAAGGCGCAGAGGAGCTGGAACGGTCTGCTGGCGCGACACCGGGAGGCTGGGAATGTGGGACAGGCGCTGTAAACCCTGGACATGTATCTGTGCATGATAGAAGCTGACGCTGAAACGATGCGCATGCGATCGACTGACTGTGCACAGAGGTTGACTTGTCACTTTGCCTGTGCCCTCGGCACAGACCATTCATCCCTGTTGCCTTACTACTACCTTCTACCTACTGAACGTTGATCTCCAGCTCGTGGTCGACGTTGACGTCAACGGTGAGAGTGAGCGTGCCGGCCTCGGCGGAGTAGTCAGCAGGCGTGGCCGCGGGCTGGTTGCCGAGACCGTTACCGTTGTTGCCCTTGCCATTTCCGTTGCCATTGCCGTTGCCATTGCCGCGGCCGTTGCCATTGCCGTTGCCGTTGCCATTGCCGTTGCCGTTGCCGTGACCGTTGCCATTTCCGTTGCCATTGCCATTGCCATTACCGTTACCGTTACCGTTACCGTGGCCGTTTCCATTGCCATTGCCGTTACCGTGGCCGTTTCCATTGCCGTGGCCGTTGTTGTTACCAGGGCCCTCCTTCTGACCAGCAACAACGATAGCAGTGATGCGGACGGGGTGACCGCAGCTTCCCGAGATCTTAAGCTTGCGACCGTCGTACTCAAACTTGAGGTCCGAGACGTCCTTGGGCTCGAGCGACACGCCGTCGTCGACGTACAGCTCACCGGAAGCCTTACCCTGGGCATCGGGGAAGATGCGAATCTCGAAGGGCAGCTTGGCGTTCTGCGTCGTGGTCATCGCGTCGCCCTTGCGCAGCGGCAGGATGGAGCCGGCACGGACGTAAAGCGGGATGGTGTTGTAGGTCACGTTGTCGAGGTGCTTCCACCCATTGCCCTGCACACTCTCGTACGTGAAATAGTCGTAGAACGTCTCGCCGGGCGCGAGCCAGATGTCGCTCTGCGTCGCATTCTCGACCAGCACGGGGGCAACGAGCAGCGAGGGTCCGTAGTAGAACTGGCTCTCCATCTTGACCGTGTCAGGGCTGGGGTGCAGCCACGACGTGGGCCACATGACGGGCGTGCCGTCGCTGCTGTGCTTGTGCAGGGCCGTGTACGTGTAGTCGAGCAGTGCGAGGCGGGTCTTGCCCGCATGCCGCGCGGCCTCGGCAGTGATGGGCCAGCGGTAGAACTCCTGCGAGTTGCTCCCGATGTCGACGTGGTTGCGGTAGAACGTGTTGAAAGCGCCGAGCCACGCCCAACGAGCACAGAGCGTCTCGGTCGTGTTGTACCCAAATCCGCACACGTCGGCGCCCACGACGCCCACGCCGGAGATGGACGACATGGACAGCATGTTCGGGATGACCTGGCGGTACTGCTCCCACGAGGCGCGGTTGTCGCCCATCCAGATCGCGGAGGGGGTGCCGCTGAACGAGGCGCGGGCGACCGTGAAGGGGCGCACGCCGGGAGTGCGGTGCAGGAGCGAGTTGCGGGTAGCGATGGCGTGGCGCGAGCCGTACAGGTTGTGCTCCTCGTACATGCGCCTGCCGTTACCGAGCACCAGGTCCGTGCGAGCAGTGTAGTCGGAGATGTTGCGGATGTAAGGGTCCGCGCCGGTAGCAGGCTTGCGGAGGCGGCGGTTGTCGATGCGGTACGGGGGGTAAAGCCACTGCGAGTCGAGCCCGGGTGACATGTAGTCCGCCTCAGAAGTCGGGTAGTGGCCCGAGGTGTTGTCGTTCTGGCGCCGCTGGAGCTCGAGGTCCACGTCGAACGAGCGCTGCTGCTGAGTCTGCTCGGCCGGCTGGCCCCAGGGGTCGGAGATGTTCTTGCCCTCCTGGAAGGCGGGGAACTCGGGTAAAGTACGCGGGATAATACGGGGGCGAGAACGGCGAGGCGGGGCTCCGAACAGGCGCGCGACGCGGTAGATGTTGGCCTGGCGTCAGTGATTGAAATTGGTGGCGGAAAATAAAAAATAATAAAATCGCCACACAACCACCCAAACATCTTCTTACGAGTTTTCTACTCCAGAACTCGTCTTTCCTCTCGTTTTTCGTGCTCTGCGAGCGCACTAACCTCCAAATATGGCAGAAATGTGGCGACCTCGTTCATGTCTAACCAGATGCCGTCGACGTTGACGCCGTTCTCTTTGGAGAAGAAACGGTCGAATTCCGAGTTCCACCAAGCCTGGGCGTTCTCCGCAGTGAAATCGGGGAAGACTGTGGGCCCAGGCCAGACGACAGACTGATAGATGTTGCCGTCGGGATACTTCATGAAGACGTTCTGCTTCAAGCCGCTCTGGAAGGTCTCGTAGTTGGCCGCGCTTTCCTTCGCCGAGCCACTGTACAAGGCCGGGTCGACCATCACGATGAAGTTCTGGTCGTTCTTGTGAAGCTTGTCGACGACGTAGCGGACCTTGTCGAGAGCGAAACGGGGCGGGTCGAGCGTCATGATCCACCTGTTGTACATGTAGTCAATGTCCATCCACTGCGTCTGCATGGGGATGCCCGCAGCCGAGTAGTTGGAGATGACCTCTGCGACCTCGAAGATGTCCTTGTAGCCGTAGCGGCACGAGTGGAATCCAAGCGACCAGTAGGGGACCATCGGGCTCGGCTTCCAGATCTGCGACGCTTGCTTAGCGACTTCTCCAGGAGTGGGGCCGTTGAGGAACATGAGGTCCACGATGCCGCCAATCACGTTGTACTCGATCCATTTGCCCTTCTCGGGGAACTTAACGTCCATACCGTTCGAGTTGAGGAAGAACGTACCCGAGGCAGAGGGCTTGTCGCCGACTTTCTGGTTGAAGTAGATCGGGTGGCTGCCGTAGAGGTTGGTGTGGGTCGGGAGGCCGGCGGCGTCGCGGTTCCACAGAGTACGGGTGTAGCCGTCCTCCCAAATTGGCAGGGTCAGGTTATCGTTGTGCTGGGACAGGCCCTGGAGGTTTGATCCATCGGCAAGCTTGGACTTGACACGGAGGTATTGCTCCTCAAAGATCAGAGGCTGGCCGGTCGTGTCGAACAGCACATCGCCGTCAGACTTGCGCGTGATCTTGAACGAGAACGGGTCCTCGACGTAGTCGAACTGGAGGTTCGACTCCTTCTGGCCGGAGCCGAGCTTGGGCCAACCTTGCTGAACGACATCGTCGGGGACAGTGTGGGCCTTGCCATCGGCGTCGGCGATGTGGACGCGGAGACGGTCGGCCGTCTCGTGGCGGACAGTGAGCTTCAGCTTCTCGTAGTCGGGTCCGTAGGCGTTGCACTGGCCCTTGAGGGTCAGCTCGCCGTCAAGGCCGACATCGCTCTGGGTGACCTTGAGGACGTAGCCCTGGCAGGCATCGACGTTGCCGGTGTGCTGGACTGGGGAGGGTATGATCTTGACCTGCGCAGCCACGCAGGCTAGGAAGGGGAGGAGTGACCACATAGTGCGGGGTCGTGGGGAGGGGCACCAAGAGGCTTCGAATGTTTATATCGGCACCGTTCGTCGCGTTTGTTGCTCGGCCTCGGCGAGTACTACGCGGCACACGAGTCGGAGACGCGACCAGGCACGTAACGTAATGCTCCAGTGGGCAATGCTCGGAAGCGTGAAGTCTAAGCATCGTGTGCGACGGATACGGCGTGTGAGCCGACGCGCCGGCGAAGGGAGAGGACGCGTGGTGCTCGAGGTGAGCGGGCATGGATTGCTTGCGATCGGGCACCATGCGTTTGAGAGCGCTAGCTCCCGTTAATTATCGCTCGGCTTTCTCCGTTGCGTTCCCTCCCTGGGGTTTGGTGCAAGCAACAAGCTCGCGCGCAAAGTGAAAAGACGCTAGGATGAGCTATGACGCTGTTCAGGAACAATCAGTAGGCAATGCCCTGGCTGGGGCCCTTCCGTAGCCACCCGCGGATCACGTGAACCCTGGCTTAATCGATGGAATCCTGGGAAACACGCCGGAAGAGAACATGCCTCCTTCGCCGAGCCGAGCGCAGCACCGAGCGAGCTCGAGAGGGGTTGTCTTACTCTGTCGGTCGTCAAGGGCATCATCGATGAAGGGTTATGCTTGATGCGGATATCTGGAGGACAGATCAATCGCGCAAAGCGGTGCAAGGTCATGCCGAACATTGGATGGACGGTGCCGAACACGGACGGATGTTGCGTATTCCCAGTGGGTGGGGTAGTCATTTCGGCGAGCGTACCGTATACATCTATCGCGTCGCGTCGCGGATCCCGCGCAACACTCAACAGAGATATTTGTGCTGCGGATGGCTCGTGTGCTCCCACATATCGCGGCTAGTGTTGCCCGCTGACTGACGTGAGCGATGCCCACATTCTCAACTGGCGGTCGACCAAAGAGAGACGGACCCCAACGCAGAGTTCACTGCAGAAGGCTGCGCCGTGCTTCTTGTTCACGAGAGGTAGAAAGTCAAGGCGCGGACCAGAATAGGCAAAGCGAGAGGGTCCAGCAGGGTTTGAGTGAATTGGTTGATGGGGTTGGTCGTGGTCGAGGATCGGATCCTCGGACCGTCGTACCGTTTGGCTCCTCACCTCCACCCCGTCTCTTAATTTCCCACGGGCGACTACGCCGGATATTCACGCTCACAACCATCGCGTCAACCGACGTCAACAGTTCACCACTCTTGCCACTCTGCCTGCCCAACACATGAACCGACATCCGCTTTCATGGCACCTTGATAACGGCTAATACTGACGCCAGGAAGGGGATGAGAAATCCTCATCGCAGGCTACGCAGGGCAACCCAGGCTATTCTGACATCATGGAGCCGCCATTCGCTGTCAACGTAACTCCTGCTCTGAGTCGTTCCCTGTCACGATGTTGCATTGCGGATCTACTTTAAACAGCGCTTCGGCCGGTTGCTGATACAGAGACGCATCGTCTTCTGGCCAAAGACAATGTCTCGGTACGACGAGCTCCAATAATTCGGCCTCCAAGGTTTCCACCAGAGGCCACCCTCCTGCTCGCCCCAGCTAACGCGTTCGAGGAACATGCGGACGAACGGTAGGATCTCCTCGCGGGATGGCGCAGCATAATGGTCGTCCGAGAACTTGGACGACCACGACACGTACGCGTTGCCGACGCGGAAAGATTGGAAGCTCGGGTCAACACGCGCGAGTCCATTGCGCCGCAGATCGTTGAAGAGCTCGCGGACGTCGCTCTCCGACAGCTGATGATTCCAGCGATCATCCTCCCAACGCTCGCTCGCGAGGCCCTTGGGCGGCTTGCGCTTGACTAGTTTGGCCCCAGTTCCGCACGCCTTGATCTCCTCGTCGAGTTCCGTGACCATGTACGAGGGTGGTTCGTCGCTGAGTCGCAAGAGCGACGCGATCGCGCGCGCCTTCTCCTCACTCGTGGCAGCCACTGAAATGTTCTGCAGCTTACCCAGGTACTCGTCCATTCGGCCGTGCTCGCGCGGATCGTCACTGGCATACGGCATCAGGTCGAGGTCATTCAGCTGCAGGCGCTGTACCTCGGCTCCGAGATCAACGACCTTCATAACCCGCTGGCAACCGCAGATCGCCGTGTACGGTGGAGGTCTCTCAATGGGTGGTGGTTTCGTGTTGCCGAAGAGAGTCTCCCAGATGTGTCTCAGAAGGCCAAAGGTACGTCGCCTGCGTCTGGACCGGGAGCCGTACGTCGGTACGCCCCCAATCTGACCAAGGTAATCGAAGTAGTTCTGCGGGGTTTCGTTCGGCGCGAATTGAAAGTCCTCGAAAGGCATGCCGGTGCCGTTGATTTGCGCCATTCTCTCTTGCTCCATCGGGTCAATCTCCACGCCTTCCAAGTCGTCATCTGAATCGGCGTCCACAATTAAGTGTCGGGGCTGGATTGCTTGATCTACGCGATCGGGAACAGGTCGGAGCGCGATGCGGATGTTGCCACGTGTGAGGGTGAGCGTTCCAGCCGGAGCTACAGCATTGGCTTCGCGGTGATGTCCGAGGACATTGACCCAATTACCGATGACGAGCTGGGTGGCCTCAATAGGCAATCTCCGGTCAGCCATGATGACGAACTCGATGCTGCCTCCTGGTCGCCGCCAGCGATTTTCGTACTGCCCCTGTTCGAGGTAGTTGATGTGGCTGTCTGGAGTTTGCGCGAGCCACTCCTCAAGGTCATCAACCTCCTCCGAAGGCAGTTCCCCCTCTTCCCGCTCCCAGATGGCAGTCTCCTCCTGGTCATTCTCAGGCGCTACGAACACCGTCCGCCTTGGGTCGCTCTCATCGGCTCCAGCGGAGCAGATACGAGAAGGAGAAGGTAGCCGGAAAGTGAGGTCAATTGCTCGTTTCCGAGGCACGCTTGAGGAAACTTGTTGGATGGGCCACGCCGTTACGGAGACAACCGTGACTAACCAAGATATGGCCAGAAGTCGAGTGAGCATGAACATGCTGTCTGATTGTCGATGGGTATCGAATGATTCCAATATGCCTAAGATCAGCCGGCAGTGCGATGTCGAGTCACTCACCTGGTATAAGTCGGATAGACGGGCTTGTCCTGTCATGAACACAAGGCTATCCCCTCCGCGTCTTATATCCGCCAGGCGAAGACCACTCTCCCGCACAGCAGCTCCGTAATTAGGCATCCAACCGGGGGGACGTCTCCATGGCTATTACCCTCGCACGCTAGAGGCCTACGCCGCCGCAATCACATCCAGGCGGACGGAGATCCGATGACAAGCGAGCACGACTCCTCTGACACAAACTATCCGGCTGGGGCGATTGCAAGACTCGGTTCTCGTTGGGCCACTCGTTTACGAAGATATCGGCACTGCTTTGATAAGCCGCCAGGTACGGCAATGTCAGTCACTCGCACCCTACCGTTGGCACATGTGTTGGTAGCACCCATCCCGCCAGCGACAAGTGCACCATGTGCTGCGGTAACGTGATCCAGGAGTCGCTGCATACATGGTCCTTGCGATTTCCTCGCGCACCAAGCGATGGCCGAGTTGATGCCGCACTACTCACTGCATGTCGACGAGCTATAGTTACGAACGAAACGATATCCGAAATCCATCATACGGTCTGGATGACAGCAGCGATGTCTCCATTTGCCGTCCTCCGTCCAATGTGATTCACCTGGACTAGGCTCGACGCCCTCGAGTTTCTCCTGCTTCAGTCTCCGGCGCCAGTCCCGCCGGTGCCGGGCGAGGTGGTTCTGCTCCCAGTAGAACAGCATCACTGTGTGCCTGACCCGGCCCTCTAGCCAGGTACGCCGTTTGAGCCTACACTCCTCCGTCTCCTCCGTTCCTAGCGGAAAGTGCAGCGGCCCAGGGATCGAGACGGCCCTGTCTCCGCGCTCCCCAAACGTCCAGCACAGACCACGCTCCGGCATGTGGATGTGAACGTAGGACCCATAGTCGTTGTTCAGGCTGCAGTGATTGCAGGATCGGCCCGTCCATATCGGCGCCCCGTCCAACCGAGGTGAGAGTTGTGGAGGGTCTCTTGGGGCGGGCGGTCGTTGACCCAGCACCGGAAGCGAAGGCTGGAGAGGACGGCGCTCATTAAAGTCGCCCAGAGCACGGCGGATGGTGTCAATGACTGCGATCGCGAGCTGGTTCTGGCGCCGTCTTACATCCAGCGGCACCGTGTCGGGCTGGTCGGGCGTTGCCCTGGCGGCCATCCTCGAGCTGTCCTCCGAGTAGGCGAGCCATGGTCGGTCGGTAGACGGGCCGAAAGTGAAGCAGTCCCCGAACTCGACGTTGTGGACATGGCAGAATGACTTCAGAGGGTACCGCTCGTGCCATGAACATAACTCGCATTCGACCGGCGCCCCGGTGTACCTCGCAGTGGACAGCCGGGGGATGTTATCGGAGTCGCCAAGGTCGATCTGTCCTGGTCGGCGCGACATCTTGAGTATCGATCAACGACGCAGGGACGCTTGCGAGGTCCAGAAACGCAGTTGGGCGGGATGGAGAGGATGAGAAGACTCTGTGTCATCGCTGATTCTACACCGGCAGCTTGTTGCTCCGCGAAGGAGGCTGCATTCTGCACCTGGCGGATAGCCTGTTTGTATCACGATATGACAGTGCGGACGACGGATTGCATGTCATGTCATGCTAAAGCAACACATGCGATATCGTTGTGCGTGAAACGACTGCCCCTCCCATCCTACACCCTATCCCCAGCATCCCGTCGAAGCTAGCAGTATTTCGTCATCCGGTGGATGAGATAACACGAGCCTCGTGTATACCAGGTACCGACTCTCGTAACGAGCACTGGGCCCGCTTGCCGGCTTGCTTTGCTGGTCACTGATGTTGCAGCTCCCATCGCGGACCACAACACTGACTGTACCATGGTGGAGGTCGGTCCGAACCTGACACCGAGTACGCGCGGGCAGACTCCGCAAAACGTTGTCGGAGTACTGCATAGCACTTGTGAACCACCCATCATGGATATCGACCTATTCAGCCCCATACACAACGACGACACCACGGTAGTGCAAGCAGGAAACGCCCAAAGCGCCAATGCAGAAGACGACTCGTCAGTATCCCCAGAATCGGCTGGCCCTTCAGTGACCTGCGAGCTGTGCCAGCTACATCGCATCTTCGCGGGCAAGGCTTGGATACATGTGCACATGAAGCAACGGCGCGACTGCTTTACCATTCTGCTCGACGACGATGGAACCGCCTACTACGGCAGGATCCTGGATCAAGCGACAATGCAGCAGCACCAGGTGGAACCCGAGAGCCGTCCTCGAAGGGCAGCCACGGACACCCGCCATCTCCAAATGTTCAGGCGGATCATCGCAGCCATCCGTGGGCTCGATTCCAGGCTGTCTCTGCTATCTCGCTTCCCGGAGGACATCGACTCACCTCCGCCGTTGCTGGAGTAGACTCTTGAAGCCACCGACCCTATCCCCATTACCACGCTCCTGCCGCAACCTCTTCGGGGCCAGCTCCGACGGTTCGCGGAGTCGCCTGGATCAGCTCCCTCCAGTCCCCACGCATCGTTGTCTCTTGGCATCCCTGCGCCACCGCCGAAGCCATCTGAGGCTGAGGAGACGTCACGCCGACCTGAGTCGGGGTCAGAGGTCCCAGCTCCGCGGTCCGAGCGCCAGGCACGAGGCGACAAGGCGTTGATCTGGACCGGCCGAACGTGCTCGAAGTGCATCCGGGACGAGAGACAACAGCAGTTCAGGTCCTTCGTACACATCCACAGTCCGGGGCTTCTTATCTGCACGTCCTGCGAGCTGAAGTCGCCCTTCAAACGCGTGTGCCGCGGCTGCCAGGGCTCGCCCGTTCACGGTCCTCACCCCGACTGTCCCGAGGGTTCGATTTGTGGGGCGCGGCACCCGACGCTCCGCGAGGGCGCGAGCTATCCTGGTCAACACTCCTACCGCCCGCCGCGCAACCATCTTTCCATCCGGGACAGTGAGCGGTTGATGCTGCTGAGGGTTAGACTCATAAGTGCAATCAGACGGGCAATCTACGATCATTATCTTGCGCAGCGCGCGCACGGGGAGGAGCGGAGGGCTCGAGCCCTGTCTGCGGAATGAAACCTCTGCCACCTTGAGAATACCATGTTGAAACTGCACGTTGGCTCACGCTGGTTAATGTGCACTCAGGCGTTGGGCTCCAGCGGAGGCTGGTCCGAAACGACCGGACCCACCAAGCGGCTGCCTCTTTCGGGTCAGGGCTGAGGAGTCACCTCCACGTCTCGGCAAGTGTGCACAATAACAATGAATTGACCTCCCTCAAGTCACCGAGATAATTGGTGCCCCGACGTCTTCGTCTTATCTATACAGAGAGACATGCTCTGTTCCCAAAGCTGTGCAGATATGCAATGAGGCCACCCAAGGAAATCATTTCTGAGTGCCGCAACTGCTGCAGGACAGGGCAAGCCTAGCGCGGCAGGCAGAACTGCGGTGCTCTCGGGCACCCTCCTCGCTGGGGCCCTGGCAATTGTTCGCATATGTTAGCCTACCGTTTGTGATGGGACAACGATGAATATCTGCTCCAATGCATCCTCGATGTGAATGGAACGACCAGGAAAGTGTGGTAGGCATCGTGCTTGCATTGCCATCATATCTCGGCGATCTAAAACTCATCAATAGTGCCCTGTAGGGCGCTCATCGGGGTCCCTGGCAAGACGGAAGGTCAGTGCATGATTGAGTTTGACTCAGTTCGTGAATGCCTTGCTAAAGACGCGTGCGTCAGACCCTGGAGCGCGGAAGCCAGCTCCGGGCGATATCCTTGCTTTGGGACATTGTCCGAGGACCGGCCGCATAGTTTCGCTCATTGGTGCATGAGACCCAAAACCCCCAGTCCGCTGAAAAGACCCAGCCACGGCGTTCCGTAGGTCCCGGCACAAGCCACCGATCTTTCCAGCTTGCTTATCCTTATCAGAACAATGGAGGTAATTCGGGATATTCGGAGAAAGCGTTCGTGCAAGGGTTCTCAACTTGAACTCTCACCAACTTCCCCCCCCCCCCTTTCAGCATCCCATGCCCCAGTTCGGACCCACAGCTTCCCGCCACATAAGAGAAGGGGGGTTAGAGTATGAGCGGGGATAACAGTCACGGCCGACAGTGCCAAAATTCGAGGCGGAGAGTATCGGTGCGCAAGCCACTGCGCTCGTGCCTGCTCTCGAACGAGTCCCCGCTCAGGCTCAGACAATGACCACGACACGAAACAGCCTGACCCTTTCAGAGACAGCCCACTCGGAATCGCTGTGGCTGTACATCAGCTATGGTCCATGGGTTAAGCGGTGGCCCTCTCTGCAGTAGCGTCCACAGGCTGTGTTCAACGGGGAGGAGGAGTATAGACTTCACAAACTGTGACAGATCTAGTATTAGGACGTCCAAGGGAAGAGCTGAGGAGTGATGGGCAAACCTCGGGCTTGAGGTGCATTACATCCCAGAAACGATGAGCTGTACAGTAGCATGGAGCCGACGTCGCGAAGCGTCTCCCGTGCGGCTTAGGTGCGACAGCCTTAGTCTTGTCGCTCTTTTCGCCCTGCCACCATGGGTCCAGTTCACCTGGTACCGCCCCACACTGACAGATGACGGGTGTCTTCTCCCATCTTTTGATTTTCAACGATGAACTCATTCCACGATACCCGAAGCCAGGCAAAGCAATGGATCACCCTATTCCGTTGACCGACCTCGGTGTCCGGCCAGATGGTTTCGACGCCCCGCAATCTGTCCAGCAAGATGGCCAGTCCCGAAGTCCGCAGGCTCAGCACGACTCCGAAGCCTTGTCTCTCCTGGCAGCCAATATCTCTACTCAAAAGGGACTACTTTGGCCGTAACACCCAATCACGCAGACACCAATCCGCAACGAGACTGTTCTCAACCGTCTTCCTCACAGGCAGACACTCATCAGCAAGGGGTTGTGTCCGATACGATGGAAGCGGGAGACAGTGGCATTCACAATCAGTGTAGCGCTCCGGACGTTCGCGTTGCGCTTCAACCTCCTAGCGACCTGTCAGCCAGGTGTCCAGATATCCAGCCACAGGAGGGTGCCCGAGCTATCCACGTCGCTCATGGCAGCAACATCGTATCTGCTGGGCCGCCTATTGAGCAAGATGCCACCCCAAAGTCTGATCAAATCGACTGCGACAAGCTTTTCCAGCAATTCCGGATGACCGACGAAATCCGCGCTCTGCAGCCCTGGATTACAGCCCTTTGGCGTGAGGGCGTTGCTGTAACAGAGTGCCATAGGTTCGGACGATTTGATGACATAGCGGACTCGTTGGCCAGGGACTATGGACAGGCGTCAGGAGCCACCCAAGATCGACGCCAAGTGCTCAGTGATTTCTTCGCAGCTCTTGAAGATGTAAACTACTGCGCACTTCAAGTCCAGCGTACGAGTGGGCACTTATCCATCTGGGCGCGCAAATGCGGAGGTGGAATGTCGGAGAAGCCGTGGAATCGGGGCAAATTGAGTGTGCTGATCACATTGTGAGTCTCAGTCAAGCTTAGAGCTCATCATCGTTTCGCAGGATCTGGGTTACATGCGCGGCCAACGCTTTCCAACACAGCATTATATGGAATGGTGTGGTCACGCCCTCCATTGCTCTGTTTGATGGAGAGCAGAAACGAAATGCGGCATTTGTTGTCGCTGACTTCGTGACCGTCGCCTCTTGTCTAGCGATGGCTGTCGCCTCCGAGTTTCTCAGCCGCGCTCAAGGGCTTACTGTGGCACTCGGCTTCGCGGTATTGGGCCTCGTGCTCTTTGCAGTAACTCGAAACCTGGCAACATTGAGTGCCGGGCAGGTGTTCTACGGCATTGGCTTCACGGGAATTCGGCTGATCGTCACGATTCTGGTGTCTGACACTATAAGTTTAAGAAATCGTTCCCTCGCCTACGCCGTTGTCTTCACCCCATGGGCTCTTACAGCCTTCTCGGTACCCGCCTTACGCAGAGATTCTCAAAGCTCAGAGATGCGTCCTGCAATTGCCGCATTTGCTGGGATAGTGCCTGTACTAGGTGGGCTGTTAGCTGGCTTTCTGCAGAAATGTCGGGAGCACATACCCAAACCGAAGCCACTCAAACTCGTAATCCGTCGGCTCGGCGGATCGAAGGCGAGCAGACGCTCATGGAGTAGACTTTTGCGTTTTGGACTGCCCTTTTCAACATTTGTTCCCCTTGTACTCTTGCTGAGTCTCTTCGTTCTTCTATGGCTCCTGCAGATGGACGTCACTCCCTGGTTTGCGGTCCTTCCGCCGGCCGTTCTGCTTTGCAGCCTGACGGCGTTCTTGCTCGGCTTGAAGAACCCCTACTTCAATAATTGGGTTCTCCGAAAAATCGAGTCCTTGATTAACTTGATTAAGAACCCACGCACCATATTCTTTGATGGCGTCCGGATCACGACTCAGCCCAGCTGGCTGAAAACGGTTGTGGTGAGAATCGCCAGCAAATCGAACTCCACCGGTTCGAATTGGCGGCAAGAGGAGAGTGTATTGCGGCCGCTTCAAGGGCGGATGATTTTAGGAACCTGTGCTCTATGTCTGCTCTGGAGACGTGAGTGTTGGAAGAGAAGCTTATGTGCTTATCGCCAGTGGCCCATGGGTGTTGGAGCACCAACTTGCACCCCTATCTTCAGGTATCATTGGGTTTGTCAAAGTCGAACGCTCGCCACATCACCTCGGCGACTACCGTTGTCGAGGTGGTGGCGATGCTTTTCGTCGGCAGCTATATCCGCCGGTTCGGACATGTGACACCTTTCATCAGGTATGCTGTTCCCTGTTACATCGTAGGAGGAATCATCATGGTCTGCGCTCCAAAGGGCGAGCCTGTCGTCGGCATTGTGCTCTTCGCTGTCGGGCAATCCATTATGGCCGTTTCACGTTCGTCATTTCAAGCTGTGAAGGAAGTAGCCGTGCTGTACTACGCCTCAGCAGATGACAGCGCCGTCATCCTTGCTTTCCTTAGTCTGGCTGAGAGGCTCGGCGGAATGGTCGGAGCTACTGTTTCCGACAAGATGTGGACCAGCGTTCTACCGAACGGCCCAAAGAGGTATCTTTCCGCTGAAGCTGTCCTGAGCGCCGAAAGAACCCATCCTCTGCTTAAGCAGCATCTCTCGTACGCTATTGGAAGTAGGGAGAGATCTGCAATTCAACAAGCATACAACGACGTTCAGCGCAATTCTCTCATCGCCAGCTGCGTTGTCATGGCTATCGGTATCGCTTGTGTGCTGGTCCTTCACGATATCAACATCCTGGTCCCTCCGCCCCGACCCCATTTCGCCCCTCTTAAAGGTCGTCGTGATCTCGGACCCAAAGTCGATCTGCCTACGCCGCCCCAGACCAGTATCCAACCTGGACTGTTCAAACTACGCAAATTGGCGGCCTCGATGCAGAAATCCTACATAGCGAATTACGAGTCGGTCCTCCAGCTCAGAGACGAGATTGCGAACTCCACGACTCCGACTCCACAATATGTGGCTGACGCCTTCAGTTCTGAAATGAGCCAATTCCAGATTGACATAAGAAGCCTTGTGATCACCCTGGAGCTACTGCAGTTCTTGGCAAGTACTCGGGAGCTGAACGAGTACCTCCCGCACATCCCGGATGCAGAGACGCCAGCTCCGGCCGAGTCCAGACACTTCTGTGTTATCCAGTAGCCTCCTAGTCACGTTTGATGATTGGAGTCTTTCGGTCCTTCGTCCGCTTCCTCAGCCATCACTCGATACCTTAGACATAGTACACTACATCGTTCATAGCTCGCAGATGAAAGAACCGCTGCCAATGGCCTGTCAGACGGCAGTTCCGTTCACCGCAGCGGCCCATTCCTCCCAGCCCTCGTACACCCTACTCCGTCTCCCCGGCCCAATCACCCCCGGATCCGCACCCCTGCACAACTCCTCCCATTCCTCCGGCCGCTTGAACCCCCGGATCCTCTCGGGACCCACAGCGACCGCAGCCATCTTGCCGCTGGCCAAATGCCACCCGATATGGCAGTGCAGAGGCCACACGCCCGGCGTGTTGAGCGGAATGCGAATGATGGCATAGCTCCACTGTCCGACCATGAGCGTGTCGCGCTTGATCGCGTTGCGCGTCTTCTTCCGCACGAAGGGGAGCGTGAAGCGGGACACGCGGCCTGGTCCGCGCGCAACAATGTAGAATGGGTGCCCGTGGAGATGGAACGGATGTCCGATCGGCGGCGGGTCGAGCACGTTCAGCACGATGTCGGCCGAGCCTCCGTCAGCCGTGAAGCTGACCGCGGCGACTTCGTTTCGTCCCCCAATGCTGAGGCCGTCCATCATCCGCCGCAACAGCGGATTGTTGATGTAGTTCTTGTACATGATGCCATTCATGCCGAAACCGATCATGGGCGTGCGTTTCGTCGGATGGACAAAAACGCCGAACAGCGCATCGAGCACCCAGCTCTGGCGCGCGTTGCCAGGAACCTCGTTGGGGACGAGCGGCTGCAGGTCCTCCTCTTCGTCTAGGTCACGGCAGAGCGCAATGTTGGGGATCTTCAAGTTCGACCACTGCTGCGTCTCTGGCTGTCTCCCCTCCATGCCCGCCGGCACGTTGCCCAGCGAGTCGGTATAGCGCAGGATACCGTGTCCGTTGACAGTGGCCAGGGGGTTGATGCAGTACGTCCCCACCCTGGCGCGCATCCAGAATGCGTCGCCTGGCGCGCCCTTGTCGGCCGTCACGACCACAGAGTATCGCTGCCCGCTGCCGACGGGGATCTCGGTGAGCTCGAGCGGCTTTACGGGCAGGTCGTCCGCCTCGATGACGCGGAGCATGTGTCCGTCCACGCTGAAGCGGATCAAACCCTGTCCGCCATGGTTTATCAGGCGGAAGCGATATCGCTTGCCCCTCTCCATGCGGATCTCGGCCGGCTCGTTGATCCCACAGGGCACGCCGCGCTGCGCTCCAGCACAGTTACACTGCCCTATCCTGTTGATGAGCGCTGCGTCTGGCTCAGCCACAAAGGGGATGCCGCGATACGGCTTGAGCATGTTCTCCTCCTCGGCGATGATGACCTCGCTCTGGTCATTCATCCAGTCGGACAGGTACACGATGCGGTCCTCGTCATAGTCGACGCCTTGTTTCAGGGGATCGTCCCGGCTGTGAATCACGATGCCGCCCACGAGCCCGTCGGCGAGCGTGTTCCCATAGTGCGAGTGGTACCAGTATGTCCCCACCTCATTGACGGTCGTCCACTCGTACGTGAACTCGCCACCCGGGGGGATCGGGCACTGCGAGATTCCAGGCACGCCGTCCATGTGGTTCGTCCCGTTTTGGCGGATGCCGTGCCAGTGGATGGCCTGCGGATGGTCGAGCCCGTTGCGCACGCGGACTCGCACCAGGTCGCCCTGGTTCGCCTCGATCAAAGGGCCGGGGAAGTGGTTGTTGATCACGGCCATACGGCGGAGGTATCCCGACGGCCAGCCGGCCGCATAGGTCAGGTTGAACTCGTATTCCCTCACTTGCGGGGGTTGGTTGATCGCCTCTTGTGTGCCGAGGGATGCGGTGAAGATTGAAGGGTTGACCTGGATTGTTTGGGTCGGGATCGGTGCCTGCGAGTAGGAAAAGAACGCGCCCCAGGCGGGGAAGGCGGGGCCCTTGAAGGGTACCGGTAGAGGCATGCTGTAGAATTGAGAGCCGGTCACCTCTGGCAATGGGGCTGTGTTCGGATGTGTGGGAGGCGCGCCACCTGTCAGTGTCGGGTAGCCCGTGGGCGCGGCGGTCGCCCGGGAAGCCCCCAGTGCTCCAAGTGATGACGCGGCGGCTCGTAGTGAGCTGGACTCAACGGAGTCGGGTAGTGAGAGCGAGGGTGAACCAGTGGCGGACGGAGCATTGACATTGCTGCTGGCTGGTGCGGGAGGAGGCGAAACAGTTCCAGACGCTGATGATGACGGGCTGTAGCTGTCGATAGAAGCGCTGATAGTCGGTGCACCAGTGCTCGCGTCGGACTGCATGAGCTGTGGAAGGGCGTTGACAACCCCGACGAAGGCGATCAGAGATAACCGCATGATCGCCGCTTCGATCGTTCCTGCCGAACCTTGAGGGAAAGAGTAAGATGGCTGTGGGAACTGATCTCGTAGCGGCCCTTATAACAGCCGCCTGTGTTCAGCACCAGCCTAGCAGGCACACACAGGAGCGTGCGAAGGTGCGCACGAAGAAGCGTGCGAGGGCAAGACACACCCAGAAGCATATGCATGCAAGGCACCCGCCGACGTGTCCTGACATTGTGAGGAATCTTGAACAGTCTTGGGTCGCAACAGAGGCAGCGGGAGGACAAGGTTCGGTTGCGGCGCGGTGCAGTTGTCGGAGGGGTTGCTGGGCTCCGACAGAGTTGCCGGCGTCAGGGATCTTCCGTCGCACGTCGCGCTTCGGTCTTCAGGGGAAGGATTGGTTCCCTTCAGCGCATGTGACATCGAACAGCAGGGCGGGCAAGATCATCCTGGAAAAGAAACCAGATGAAGGATCAGAGAGTCCAGAGGGAAGCTTGGCCGAAAGGATGCGGGTGACTTGCGACAAGTTCCCCTAACGTCACGGGTCTCACTGTAGGGACGCTCACGTGAGCAGTGCTGTGAGTAGATCCAACATAGTGGTGCACTAAACATTAATCAAGGTCGCCAATGAATGTCGCGCCCATTGCCTAGGTTGACTGGCGCAGCAGTGAGTCTTCGAGCCGACCGTTTGCGAGGACAAGGCCACTGCTAACGCCTCGATCGCGCGGGCCCGCAAAGCGTAGTCGATAGGACCTATCACTCTCAAATGCTGACGGTGAGCCACTTGGGAATGATTGGGTTGTATGTAAGCGAGCGCGCAGTAGGGGGTGATGGTGGCGAGGAACGAATAACGCGAGGGTACGCTGTGAAGGTGCTTTGGGGTTCATGCTGGTGCTGAGGAAAACGGAATAGCAGGAGAGGAGGTTGGGCAATCGGCAGCGTAGCCTTGATAGCTCGTTTCCAGTTAAGTGATGTGCAAGCGTGTTAAACTGCGACCTCTGTGCGAATGGTGAGGACAAGGGGGTTGAGGTAGAGGAGGCAACGGGCGAAGGTTCAACCGCAGAGAGGGAGGAGTGTGGTCACGTGACAATGACGGATATCCGTGGTCTTGGGATTCGGGAATCGGAAAGTTGGAAGCAAGGCCTCATGAATGCTCGGGCGACCAGACATGACTGCGAATCAGCCCGCGTGCCCGAGTTGTCCGTGCAGATAAGGACTTCGTCTCTCGGATCAGAGTTGGGAGCACATTCCATCACCGACGCTCCCCCCACACTACACCGGGACCCCCCCTTGGGCCCCGATGCGACGAGATTGCGGAAGTGCTATCCGGGGGATAAGCTCAGGCACTTGTCTGCTTGCAGAGCGGTGTTGCTCTTGCAGACCAGCAGGAATCGCATGGATACTACAGACAAAGTTGTCTCGTCTGACTTGGAAAGGACCACGGCGGTGGGCAGGGTGACAGCCCTTGATCTGGCGGTGGTCGCCGCTGGCTCTTGCTTCTGCGCCACCATGAGCCTCTGCCTGCTATCGATCTGTGCACACTTGACAAGTTTGTGAATCACAGCATTTGTGTCCTCTGGCTGCTGTGCATGCAGGAGTCTGTGCAGCGGACAGCCCGATCTGAGCAACGGAAGTCGTGTGCACGTCTGCTCCGTTGCGAGCGCTATCTCGGTGAGCTCTCGGCCGTTGAGGATTACCGAAGATGCTCGGAATTCGGCAAACTCCGATCTTGCGCCATTCCGCTCACTCCGCGTCCCCGCGGTATATATCCATTGCGAGTCAGACAGCCTAAGTCCTCCACAACTTAGCACCATGTCCACACCCGAACTCTACTGGAAACCCGGAGACAGGCGTCCTCACGAGGACGAGGAGCCCTTCGTCGAGAAGTTCCGCAAGGCCGTCAATGAGCGCTATGGCTACAACCTGCAGGACTGGTGGGCGCTCCACGCTTGGAGCACCAAGAATACTAACGAGTTCCTCGACTTTTGCTGGGACTATTTCAAGCTCATCGGCGAGCGGGGTGACGGCCCTGCCTTTGTCGAGGGCATCCCCATGGACGAGCCGCAGAAGCTCTTCCCCGGCGCCAAGTTCAAGTGAGTCGCTGCTGCTGAATGAGCTGACGGCAGTGTCGCCGAGAACATCCTGCTCGGGACCGAGTCGGCGCTGCGCAAGGACAAGTGGGCCATGATTGCGACTGTCGAGGGCGACCCCAACGCGGCCAACCCGCACGAGCCTGTCGAGATGCGCCGCATCAGCTATTACGACCTGTACCACGAGGCGCGCATTGCGGCGCACGCTCTGCGCAAGATGGGCGTGCAGCCCGGAGACTCGGTCGCGTCATTTGCGGCGACGTCGTGCGAGATGCTCATCATCTTCATGGCCACCGTGGCCATTGGCGCCATCTTCTCCTCGACTCCGGCCGAGTTTGGCGTCAAGGCCGTCGTCGACCGATACGACATTATCAAGCCCAAGGTCCTCTTTACGATTGACAAGTACCGGTACTCGGGCAAGGAGCACTCGATCACGGAGCGCGCGTGTGCTGTCGTCGAGGAGATTGCCAAGGCGGGCAAGCTCAAGAATGTCGTCACGTTTGGCCAGCTGTCAAGGGACCGTCAGCCGGCGCCCGAGACGCTCGAGGGATACCCGTCTAACGTGAAGAGCTGGGACTGGGCGAGCTTCATGGAGAGCGGGCGGGATGCGCCAGCCGAGATTGACTTTTACCGCGGCGACTTTAGCCATCCGATCTGGATCGTCTTCTCGTCGGGCACGACGGGCAAGCCCAAGAGCATCTATGGCCCCGGCGGCGGCATCTACCTCATGCGCCGTGTCGTGATCACGCTCCACCTCAACCTCGACCACCGAGACAGCTACATCCAGTTTGCGACGATGGGCTGGATCGTGTGGAACATGCACATCATGTTCAGCTGTAACGGTGGAACCATCGTCGCATTCGACGGCTCGCCATTCCATCCGCAGGACGTCCTCTTCCGCGCCATCGACAAGTACCGCGTGACGCAGCTCGGTGCTTCGCCGCGCTACATCCAAACGCTGAACAAGGCTGGTGTCAGCCCGAGCAAGAAGCACGACCTCAGCACGCTGAAGCAGTTCTACACGACGGGCGCACCCGTCACGGGCGACGTGTACGACTTTTGTGCTCGCGAGCTGAACCGCCTCCTTGTCAACAATGCCGCGGGCGGAACCGAGCTCGGCGGGTCATACCTGCAGTCGACCCCCGTGCTGCCCGCGTACAAGGGCGAGCTGCAGACGCCCGTGCTCGGCGTCAGCGTGATTGCGGCGGACGCCAATCAGAAACCCCTGGTCGGCGAGGAGGGCATTCTGCTCTTCAACCAGCCGTTCCCCAACATGCCGTACAACTTTGTCGACGACCCGGACCGCAAGCGATACAAGGAGGCGTACTTTGAGGACTCGAGCAATCCGCCAATGCTCAACATGAACGACGCCGTGCGCATCAACCCCGTCACGCGGGGATGGACGGTCATTGGCCGCGCAGACGGCGTGCTCAACCCGTCCGGTGTGCGCTTCGGAAGCTCAGAGCTCTACTTCATCCTCGAGAAGGACTTTGCCTCCGAGGTCGAGGACTCGCTTGCCGTCGGCCAGCGCATGCCCAACAATGACGAGCGCGTCGTTCTCTTCCTCAAGACGCGAAACGACGCGCCGCTCTCCCCCGACCTCGTCGGCCGGATCAAGCAGGCGATCCGGCAGGCGCTCTCAAACCGCCACGTCCCCGCCGTCGTGACGCAATGCCCCGCCGTCCCCCTCACGGGCAGTGGTAAGAAAGTTGAGCCCTCGGTTAAGAAGCTCCTGAATGGCGTGCCGCTCGAAAAGATTAACTTTGCCGGTGTCGAGAATCCGGAGAGCTATGCCTTCTACGCCGACTGGGCGCGTGCAAACTCGGGCCGCGAGGCGAGGCTGTAACAATGTCCTTACAAGTTGTAGATATAGAAATGCATACAGGGTTTATCTGGACAGGCTGGCCTGAGCGGCTTGCGTCGCCGACTGGTCGACGGCGATACCGCAATGCTCGCATTGGCATCCTGCAGCCGCGAGGCGGAGGAACACCTGGCGACACGTCTTCTCGTCCATCTCAAACTGCATCGTCGCGGCGCCGACAGTGGCCAGGGCATCTCGGCTGACGCCAGCTGTCGGGTCCTCGGCCTCTGGGATGGGATTCTGGCTGTACTCTGCATACGCCTCTTCGATGTCCCGTTCAACCCTCTTTGCCTTGTCCTGAGCCCGCTCCAGGCGGCGCATGTACCCGTCAAACTCGGCGAGGCCGGCACGCTTCTTCTCCTCTCCGCCCGCCTTTGTCTCGGCGGCCCCAAGCCGCGACCGGTCCTGCGGCATGTTTGCCGCGCACCCGTAAATCATGATCCGGGTACAGTCCCAGTGTACGGGCAGGAGGCCGACCTCGGCGCGGAGAACAAAGCGTCTTGCTGTCGGATTCTGGGCGATGCGCTTGCACACCTGAAGGAAGCGGACGTAGCACTCGACCCACTGCTCGGTCGCCGTCACCATGAAGCGGGCCATGGGGACGATCTTGGCGGGCTCGGAGAAGTGGCAGGCGAGCGGGGGCGGATTCGTTAGAATTGCCTGCACCTCGTCCGAGTGCAGCGCTGGCACTTCCTCTGTGGTGGGGGGCATGGTGTCGATGATGAAGGGGGTTTGCACGCCAGATGGTCGTTATATATCCTAACCAGGTACGTCGTCGGGGCAGTGCAGGCACCGGCGACGATGGCCAGCCCGCTCCTGCCCGTCACATGCATGCACTGCATTGCTACATGAGGACACACTGGTGCTGCCTAGCCTCTTCTCGCTCGATGTTCTTGCTCCAAGCCTCCTCCATGCGCTCCAAGCAGCGTTTCTGGTCGAGGTCGAGGTTTAGCATTGTTGCAACGATGCGGCCCTCTGTGAGCCTATCAAGGGCCTCGCCGTCGAAGCCCACGCCGGGGGTGACGCGGCGCCCGCACCGCTCCAAGCGCTTTAGAACCCAGTCGAATGTTGCCTTTGCGGCTTTGGCACGGGCATGCCAGGTGTCGAACTCGGCGAGCTCTGTCCGCGGCACGAGTCCGCGAGTGACCGCCGCTCGAAGTCGGATCCTGTCCTGGGGCAGGTTCTGGATGCACCCGTCGATGACAAACTTGGCGGGACCCCACTGGCACGGACTCACATAAGCCAGACAGTGTGTCACGGCATCGGCTGCGTTGGGGTCAATGTGCACGGCGAGGTCTAGACATCCCAGAGCTGTGAGATAGCACATGAGGAATTCGTTGGCTATCGTCACCATGAACCGCGCCATGGAGACGATGCGCTCAGGCTGGCCCGTGTAGCCGTTCATCCCCGGGTGGTTGAGAATGTACTCGACCTCCTCGAGCGGGACGTCGGGAATGCTCCCTCCGCACGTCCACACATCACAGCGGGCCTCGAGTATCGTGGGAGCGGCAGTCATGAGGGCGATGCTGGTCGTCACCGCATCGTCAGTGTTATATACCGTTATCGGAGAGTCAGGAACGGTCGACCTCACTGCATTACGGAGGACGGTACGTAAGTCAGCCGCGTAAGGCACGGTCTGCATACAACAACTACAGCTTGCCTGCGGGCTTGAACTCCTCCTTTGCACGCGCACGGAGAATGTTGCGGAGAATCTTGCCCGAGGGGCTCTTGGGAATGGCGTCAATGACGAGCACGCCGCCACGGAGCGCCTTGTGGTGCGCGACCCTGGCTGCAACCCACGCCTGCACGTCCTTGGCCACCGTGGCCGGGTCCTCCTTGGACGTTGTGACAATGTAGGCGCGGGGGAGCTCGGTTGCCTGACTGTCGTCCTGGACGCCCACGACGCCGGCATCAATCACCGCCGGGTGCTGGAGCAGGATGCCTTCGAGCTCGGCCGGCGCGACCTGGAAGCCCTTGTATTTGATGAGCTCCTTGACGCGGTCGACGACGGCCCACAGCCCATCCTCGCCGCGCACGAGCACGTCGCCCGTTCGCAGCCAGCCGCCCGGCTCCATTGTCCCCCGCGTCGCGGCCTCGTTCCGGTGGTACCCCTTCATGACACATGGACCGCGGACCCAGAGTTCGCCGCGCTCGCCGACGGGCGCGTCCGTGCCGTCTGACCGGACAAGACGCGCCTGGTACGTCGGGCACAGGCGGCCAATGCCGAGGTGGCCGGCTGCCGCGTCCTCGGTCGGCGCGAGGAAAATGCCGGGACTCGTCTCGGTCATGCCGTAGCTCTGCGAGATGGTGCACTGGGGGAAGCGCTTCTTGAAGGCGTCGATGAGGTCGCCGCTGAGCGGGGCCGCGCCGCAGGAAACAATGCGCAAAGACGAGAGGTCGTACCTTGGCACGTTTTGCGAGTGCACGAGCAGCAGCACGATGGGCGGGACGAACAGGCTGTGCGTGCAGCGGTACTTTTGCACGCAGGAGAGGAACTGGATCTCGTCAAAGCGGGGTAGAATGATTGTGCGCAGCCCAATCGTCAGCGGCTGAATCAGGAGAGCGATCCAGCCGTAAATGTGCGACATGGGGAGGAAGCCGAGCATTGAGTCTTGCGGCAGGTCAAACTTGGGGTACAGCGGCTGCGAGGCGAGGATTTGCGACGTGAGATTGTAGTGCGTCGTCATGACGCCCTTGGGCAGACCAGTCGTGCCCGAGCTGTAGCAGAGCACGGCAGTCGCGCGTGACTCGAGACCGTCAAAGTGCTCGGCTTCCGACGGCGCACCGACGTGGTCGTACAGGCTCTTGAATCCATCCTTTCCCTTGGTGTCGAGAATAATGATGCGCGAGTCGGGCATGGGAGACTTGAACTGCTCGCGCGCCTTGACGAGCTGGGGCAGGTTTTCGGGCGACACAAAGACGACATTGGCGCCCGAGTCGTTGACTTGGTGCGCAATCTCGTGCACATCGTAGCTCGCGTTGGCCGGCGTGACTGTGACGCCGGCAGCGAGGAGGCCATACGCGGCAATGATCCACTCGAGGCCGTTCAGGCCCCAGAGACATCCAACGTTGCCGCGCCCGACGCCCATGGCGTTGAGCCCCGTCTTGAGCCCGAGCGCCCTGTCGCGCAGCTCGCCGCGCTTCAGCTGTCGCCCATTGTGGCCCTCGATGAATGCCACGCTGTCATCGGAGAGCGAGGCGGGATTGTGCAGCGAGATTCCCTGCGCCGAGGGGAAGAGATAGTCGAACAGCCCAATCTCGGGCAGGAAGGGGTTTGGATAGTCGGACTCGTAGATTGCAATGTCGCTCGTCATGGTGTGTGGGTGTGGGTTGGCGATCAGCCAGGTGTCACCTCGTTATAAGACACAAGGCACACTCGCCTGCCGGTAACTGAGAGCTACGCATCCGTGCTGAAGTTGTCGAGTGGGCAGTGATGAGATGGGCAAGGAAACGGGGCTGGACTTGGCGCCCGTCAACAACCGTCGGACGAGGCCGCTCACCCGCTCGTGCCTGCCGTGGCTGACGGAGATGTGATATCCGTACCGATGCATCGAGCTTCTATGTTATTATAAGATAATCTATGCTTACAGGCGAGCCGTATCTTCCCCGACGCCGCGCACGCCCCAGCGATACAGCCATTCGGCAGACTTGCGCACCATGGGCGGTGTGACAATGTGCCCGACGTCCTGGACCGTGACGCGCACGGCGTTGCCGGGCCCCGCCTCTGCCACGACGCGGCCCCATTCCGGGTCTCCCAGTTCTGGGGGACAGAGGTCGTCGCCCATGCCGTTGATGGCGAGGATCTTCTTGCCGACATATGTCCCCTCGGGCACGGGGGTGTTGTAGTACCGCTGCGTTGCGGGGGGATAGTGCACCTCTGTCCCAAGTGCGTGTTCTTGGACAAACCGTCCGATCTGGAGCTTGTGCAGCGCATCGCTGGGGACGGACGCGATGGGGATTGCAACGCGGACGCGCGGCTCCTCGAGCAGCATGCGCCAGTTGACGTGTCCGCCGAGACTGACGCCGCACATCATCCACTCGGTGATGCGCCTCTCGCCATGGGGGAAGAGGTACTGCTCGATGTTGTCGATGATGAGCTTGTGATCCTGCACCGCGCCCTGCAGGAACGTGATCATGTTGACGAGCACGCCGGGATTGTCGTACCACCACAGCGGGTCGGGCTTGTCCTTGTCTCGCCGCTTGCCGTGGCCGCGCTGGTCGAGCGTGAGCACAATCACGTCGCGCTCGGCAGGAAACCGCCGGATCTCGCCGATGAGGCCGTGCGCCATGTTGGACATTTGGCTCGCCTTGTTGGCCCAGCCGTGGCTCAGGATCTGGTGTCAGCGACGTTGCCACTGGAGGCCTTACGACAGCCGCAATGTCCTTGTTCGAGTTGGAAATCTCGTCCAGCCCATAGACGTACACCTCCATGTCGCCCAGGTCGACCGTGCGTTGGGAGCACGCAGCGTGCCCCAGGTCGAGACTGGGAAAGTCCATGGTATGCAGGGGATTCTGGTTATCCTCGTCGGACATGGTGAGCGTGTGTGTTGCAAGACATGGCTTGCTCCGTCACGGTCAAGATAAGTTGAAGAAATCAATGAATGACTAGCGGCGGTGGAGCGCGTTCGGTACGGTGTAACCGGTTGCACTAACGCGGTGAACGTGCCCGCACCTCGGTCCCACGCAATCGGGCGCCATGCCCGAGCACCGGATGCCGATACCTGCCGTCGTCCTCTGCATACAATGGATCGATTGCCCGCTGACCCTGGCGCATGGGCTCGTGGCGTCCGGCTTGAAGACGCCGAGAACTCCAACTGTATGGAGGTCGGTCTCCGCGGCCGAATCGAACACGAGTCCGTTTCTAGCGCGAGGCTAGCAGGCGTGGGTGATATTAGTGCAATGGAAGTGGAATGGGAGCAACGTTGAACATGCATGGAAGTCGGCACTAGGATCGTCGAGGTGGTACCGAGCGCTCAACGAGCTAGGTTGACCTTCTTTAGAGCTCGTCGTGCTCATGTTTCACTTCCTCATTCTTTTCCTCAATCGAAACGCTGACTGACGCAACTTCCAGCTTCGTGCCTTGGCCGATCAGGCGATCGCCGACCAGGAACTCGGCAGGGCGGACATAGTATCCCTCAGTCTCGACCAAACGCACCAGGCCAGGCTTGTCATCGATCGTGCTGTCCATGAGCGAGAATGAGCCAAAGCCGCACGTCAACTGGCGGAGCTCGGGGACTTCCTCCTCCAACCCCCCGCGGTCGATGTAGAGGTTGCCCTCGTGCTCGGGGCCGAGATAGTGGCCAATCTTGTCGACCTTGAGCACCTCCTCGCCTTCAAGGTACCACGTCACGGCGCGCGCAGGGCGGTCGTACGTGACGCGCATGTCGTGCCAGTCTTTGGGACTGCGGTCGGCGGCGCGGACGAGGTAGGTGAAGGACGCGTAGTGGTTATCGGGAGTGCGAGCGAATGGGAGTCGCTCGTACAGCGCGTACACTGCGTCATTGGTCACGGCAAAGTCGAACATGAACGAGCGCTCAAAGTCGCCATTGACGCTGGCCACGAAGGCGGGGCGAGGATCGTTGTCCTCCACGCCGTAGACCTCGCCGCGTAGGCGAGCTGAGCACGAGGTGCGGACGCCAGTGTCGAAACCAGGATAGCCCGACGAGGCGGTGTGGTTTGCCGTCACGAGCCACTTGACGTGGTCGAGGTCGCTATCCGCTTCCAGCGTGAAGGCAGGGTGTCCGTCGACAGTGCCGGGGGAGATGACGGAAAGACCATCTTTACCGAGCGAGACGATCCCATCGTTGCCGATCAGGTCGCCCGCTTGGAAGAAGGCCCAGTTTGAGTTAAGGTTGAAGTCTGTGGTGGATGTGAAGTCGTCGAGGATGGTCGTGTGACTTGCGACGTGAGGGAGGAGGGCCAGGAGGCCGAGACCGAGGACGGCGTACGGCATGGTGGGCAGGTGGTTAAGAAGACGTTGAGGGCGTCGTTGTCATCACTCCCCACCACAGGCGCGACGATCTCTGGATGCGCTCGGACCACCTATTGCATCGCGGCCGCCATGTTCTGGAGCGCAGCCGACGTCGAAGCAACCTGAAGCTGAAAGCAAAGGATCTAGGGAATGGATGCGAGAGGATGCGGGACCCCGTTAGAAATTGTTGCCCGCCCGGAAAATCCCCGGTTATCGTCCGACTCGTCACAAGAAACCGAGGAATGGGCCCTCCTTCCGATTCCATTCGCACAACTCTCCTCTCCATCCCCTCATGCTCGGCGTCCCTCCGACTGCAACCCCCTGACCCCTAAGATGCCCCTTGGTGGGCTGGGAAGATGTGACTTGCAAAGCTCACACGGCCGGCACCATGTCGGCTAACCCGGCGATCGATCAGCTGATTACACCCTCATGCCGTTGTCACGCTAGGTCGACGCCTCGCTACTTAAGCCGCCTCTCGATCGAGGATGAACCCCCATCATCACCATGCTCTCACTCATTCTCACGGCACTCCTCTCGACGGCATCGGCCGCGCCAGCTGGCATTGTCGGAAGCACATACGCCGACGTCTACCCGCCCGGCAGCACGACCGTTGATCGCGGCCTATTCCCCGACCGCACTGTGGTTGGCTACCCTCACGTCACGCGCACGGGCGCGCAACCGTATGCGATAGTGACCTCGCCAGCGGACCAGTTCCCAAAGGTGCAGCAGGCGTTTGGCCCGGTAGTCCTCCCCGAAGCTAGGAGCTCGCGTGGAGGCAAGGGCAAGAACAGCGACAATGGCAATGGCAAGAAGAAGGGCAAGGGAAAGAAGGACAAGGTGGGTGGCAACGCGGGCTTATCCCTAATGATCAGAACCGCTCACCAATCTACGATTGGGGATACCTCTCGCCGCGATACAGTCTTCCGGCCGACTTCTTTGGGGCCGACGCCGACTCTTCCCCCGTCATTCCCTCGCAGTGTCACCTCGACGCCGTCCACCTCCTCTTCCGACACGGGGCGCGGTACCCGACAGCAGGCGACAATGCCGAGCTCCTTGCAACACGGCTCCTAAACGCGTCGCAGGCTGGTCACCTCAAGGCTTCGGGCGACCTTGCCTTCCTCAACAACTGGACGTACAAGCTCGGCTCTGATATTTTGGTGCCCTTTGGCCGGCAGCAGCTGTACGAGCTGGGTGTGCGATCGCGGATTGCGTACGGCCATCTGCTCAACGACTTTACCGAGCGGGGCGAGCTGCCCGTGTTCAGGACGGGGAGCATTGACCGCATGGTCGAGACAATGGAGGCGTTTGGACAAGGGTTCTTTGGACGTGACAGCCAGAAGCAATTTTCCATGTCGATTGCGATTGAGGAGAAGGGTATCAATGCGACCGTGTACCCCGGCGGCGGCACGTGTCCCAACTCGGACCGGGACGTCGTCGCGAGCAAGCTCGGCATGGCCGAGTACGTGAACCGCACGTTTGCGGGTACTGCCAAGCGGCTTCAGAAGGACTTGGAGGGGTACACCATCACGCCTGGCGACGTGCACACGCTCATGTCGCTGTGTTCGTACGAGACGCTCGCGCTGGGCTACTCTGCCTTCTGCCCTCTGTTCACGCACGACGAGTTTCTCGACTACCAGTACGCATGGGACATCATGTTCTTCTACGGCAACGGCCCCGGCGGACAGACGACGGCTGCCCAGGGAAAGGGATGGGTGCAAGAGTTCCTTGCGCGGCTCACGCACACGCCCATCGAGGGTTACGACAGCAGCACCAACTCGACGCTCGACGGCAATCCGGAGACGTTCCCCCTGAACCAGAGCATCTACGCCGATGCGTCGCACGACTCGTATATTATGAGCACGTTTACGGCGATGAACCTGCCCATCCACGGCGGCGCCCTGCCGCTGGACAAGCGCGTCGACGGCCGCGTCTTCACATCCTCTGCGCTCGTGCCGTTCAACACCAACTTTGTCGCGCAGGTGCTCTCCTGCGAGGGAATGGAGGGCCAGCAGATCCGTTTCATCATCAACGACGCGGTGGTGCCGCTGCACGAGAAGTATGACGGATGCGAGGAGGACGAGGACGGAATCTGCTCCTTGCACGCGGTTGTCGAGGCGCTGCAGAAGCGCGTGGCCGAGATTGACTATACAGCCTCGTGTCGCGGTGACATCACCAATATCACGGACACGGCACAGCTCAAGGACAGCAACGGGTTGCCGTACTAGGTATCCGGGGATACAAATGTTGGCGTCACGAGCTTTCAGAAACGGTCAAAGTTGTACATACCATATGCATGTAAACCCATGTATGAGAGTGCAAGAACGCCCACGCCGCAGCATACGTAGAGCACCACAGCCCGCTGGCGCTAGGCCCAATCGAGCCGGACCAGGTCCCCATCCGCAAGGCACATGGCCCCGCTCCCCAGACTAAGTCTTAGTGTGGCGACTAGCGCCGTCTTCGTCGGCGACAGCAGCCATACGCGTCCGCGCTAATCCATGCAGGCCCCCGACTTGGCCTTCGTAGTTTGTGGTCCGGAGGCCGCTAGCGTCGTTGATGACCGGCAAGTGTGAGCCGGCTGCGTGGGTAGGGTTTCGCATGCTGCGTATGCTTCGTTGCCGGGGAGCGGGGAAGCGAGCTGGCTGAAGCGCATGAAGCGAGTGCGGAGAGGGTGAGCCCCAGTGAGCCCCGTCTCCCCAGTCCGGGACGCAGCAGCATTCAACGCAGCACGGACGGCTCGCACGACCAAGATAGATGTGAAGAATTACATGCGTGCTACAGGCTAGTTATGTCAACGAGTGTCCAGTGTCTCCGTCGCGCCTTTCCCTCCATCCTCCAATGTATCTCGGCGCGCGGCGCGTCGCTACGGCTTCTGGACGAGGTTGATGCCCACCCGTGTCGGATCGACGACGAGCGCCTCGCCGCCATACTGTTTCCCGTCGGTACAGTTCGTAAACGTGCCAGGGATGAGCATGGCGCCGGCCCACGCGCGAATGTGTCCCGTGTGTCCCGGCGCGACGTAGAACTTGGCTTCGACCTGGGGCAGTTTCGCGGCGCCGACGTATGGTTTCCCAATCTCCTTCACGAGCGCGGTGATGTCGGCGCCGATCGTGATGTCGTTCGGACTGCTGAAGGCACTGCGCCACTCTGCCCCCGTGTCCGCTGAGACGAGGCAGGGGCTCAGGTCCGTACACGGCACATCGGGCGAGATGGTCGTCCACTTTGTGCCGTGCTCGGGGCGCCAGTCGCGTTCCGGCGCAGGCGTGAATTGCGTGCACTGCACCCCCGTTCCCGTCGGTACGGCCGTGACGACGCCGAGCAGTCCCAGGCCGATGGTAACGAGCGCCAGAAGAGACAGCTTTGGCCGAACACTGGGCGCGGAGGAGAATTGGTCACTCGTCGATGTGCGCACCTGCACATTGGACAGGACACAGGTGTCGATGTACTGTCCGGCCTGGCCGAGGCAATGGGAGAGCTCGTCGACGCGGCTCGTCTCGCAGGTCGGGTTCAGGTCTGTCGAGATGTTGGAAGAACAGCACGCGGCGAGCGCTTCCGTCGCGCCGTACGTCGCGTTCGCGGTGCAGGTGAAGAGGAGGCTGCGGCCCATGGCGGCGGTCGAGACGGAGTCGAGGCGCTACCGAGGGAAGAGGGTTGCGCTGAGAGTGCTTGTGGATCGCGCTGAGAGGCTGTGGTGAGGAGTCGCCGCGCTGGTGTTCGTCGCGTTCACAAGAGACGAGAAAGATGCAAGATGGGGGGGGAATGACATACGCGCCCAGATGGCCTATATTAAGTTTCTCTCATGCTAGGATGACGCCGAGGTAGCCAGCCCATGACTAGCATGGCCCATGGACCGTCATCCCCGGTGCGGGGGCGGCAACGGGCCCAGGTGGGAGCGGGGCAGCGGGGCCAGGGACGGCAGGCCTCGTAGGATCAGTAGCTCAACAGCAGGCCGAGCGGCCAAGATGCCCAGGCAGGCTTGGACCCGTGGAGCCGGGAACCTGCAGCCAGTAAGCCTGAAAGGTGTCTGGAAAGATCGAACCCACATGAGGTATTCAGAGTCTAGCCGGGGGGTCCATGGGTGGGTCGCCCTGCACTCCGCGTGTCGTGGGCCGGTCCCTATTCACTTTCGAACCCATGCTGCTGCCTCCAGTACGAGATTAGCACCAACTTAGAGCTGCGATAGTGCCTCATAGTTCAAGTGATGGAGGGCCGGATCGAGACTCGAGAGTTGCCATTTCGGGTAACTTTGGGCTCATCCGGCAGTTCGGGCTGCGGCCAGGTGTGCTCGAGATTTCCCTTAGCCTCTCTCCCTAGTGTGGTCGCCTCGCGCCCCGCCCCGGAAGTCGCACACCTTCCCAGCTCACAATCGCTTTACACCCTTGAAGCTTACCGTCTACTGCGCACTTTCCATGCATGAAGAAAAGAAACACGGCAGAACCCTGGGCTGCGCGCGGCCCGTGGCTCAGGCTTCTGCATCCTGCATCTGTTTCATCACGCGACTTGCGCAACTGGCTTCTCTTCTCGACTTCCCAATCAGAGAGATCTATGCATGACTCTTAATAAGCGGCAAGAGGCCGAGAAGATAGTGCTGGACGCCGAGCGGCTGAGGTAAGCCCTGCAGGACCGTTGGGCGATGCATACTACCCTCGTCCGCCTCGCTCACCGGAGATCCAACTGAATCAAGATTACATGAGAGATTCAGCCGCTCGCTCTGCTTTGGTCACTGCGGCCATGTTCTCACGATACGTGCATGCTAGCTTCAGACATTCATCTCATGGATACAAAGAGTGGAGAAAAGGAAACGATAAACCCTTTTTTATGAAATAACGCATCTAAAGGCTGTTTAGAGCTTGGCAGAGGGACCGGCGTTGCCGAGGCCGCCGGCATAGTTCTGGTTGGCGAGGATGATGTTGGAGTCCATGGCGTTGACGGAGCCGTTGAACTTCATGCCCTTGATGCCATTGTAGCCCTTGACGCCGGTGGCCTTCTCGAGGCGAGAGGCGAGGTCCTCGGAGCACTCGCGCCAAATGGCGATCTGGCGCTTGATAATCTCCTTGTCCTTGACGGTCGACATGTGGCCCGAGACGGTGTCGATCCAGCGCTTGCGCTCGCCCTCGGAGAAGACCTTCTCCCAGAGGTTGCGCGGCGCGTTGAAGTCGGCAGGCGTGATCTGCGACAGGTAGCTGACGGCAGTCATGGCAAAGCCACCGTGCACCTTGTCGAGGTCGACGCGCTTGTCCGAGAACTTGGGCGGGTCGATCGACGGCAGGTAGCCGACGCGCGAGCCCTGGTTGTAGAAGGCCATCGGGCCGTCACGCTGGAACGAGGAGCCCTCGTACTTGGTGTGCGGCTGGTTGACGGGGAGCTGGTGGTAGTTGGCACCGAGACGGTGGCGGTGCGTGTCGGGGTACGAGAAGAGACGCGACTGGAGAACGGGGTCGGCCGAAGGCTCGATACCGGGGACCATGTGCGAGGGGGAGAAGGCGGCCTGCTCGACCTCGGCAAAGTAGTTCTTGGCGTTCTCGTTGAGGGTAATCTTGCCAATGGTGCGGAGCGGGTAGTCCTTGTGGGGCCAGATGTGGGTGAGGTCGTGGACGTTGATCTGCTTCTTCTCCCAGGCCTCGACGGCCTGCTCGGGCGTCATGATCTGAACCTTCATGGTCCACGAGGGGTACTCGCCGCGCTCAATGGCCTCGTACAGGTCCTTCTGGCCGTGGTCGGGCGACTTTTGGGCGGCCTCCTCGTTGGTGAGCGTCTTGATGCCCTGGTCCGAGATCAGGTGGAACTGGGCGTAGACCCAGGTGCCGTCCTTCTTGACGAGCTTGAGGGTGTGGCCGTAGTAGCCGTGCATGTGGCGGAAGCCGTCGGGGATACCGCGGTCCGACATGAGAATCATGACCTGGTGGGCAGACTCGGGGTTCTGGCTGAGGTAGTCCCAGAACATGGTCGCGTCATCGCCGCCGCCAAGGTGAGTAGCGGGGTGGCGCTGGAGGTTAGCTAGCAGCTCAAGAGTCGCAGAGCTGGAAGACTCACCTTTTGAGTGTGGATGAAGTGGGGGAACTTGGTGGGGTCACGGAGGAAGAAGACGGGAGTGTTGTTTCCGACAAAGTCCCAGTTGCCCTCCTCGGTCTTGAACTTGACGGCGAAACCACGGGGGTCACGGGCGTTGTCGCTGGAGCCAGACTCGCCACCGACGGTGGAGAAGCGGATGGTGATGGGGCACTCGGCGCCCTTCTTGAAGAGACCGGCAATGCAGAGGTCGTCGAGGGGGTCGGTACAGACCCACTTGCCGTGGGCACCAGAGCCCTTGGCGTGGACGACACGCTCGGGGATACGCTCGCGGTCAAAGTGGGCGAGGAGGCTGGAGGGCGTCAGTGACTTTTCCGAGCTACATAAGGGAACTACTCACTCGAGAAGGTGGAAGTCCTGGAGGAGGAGGCCGCCGTTGTTGCCAGCGCGCTGGGACTGGTAGGGGTGGGGGTGGGGAGCGCCGTTTGAGGCGGTGTAGACGGTGTCGGCGCCCTTTGCCTGGCGGTCGGCGTCGTAGGACTTGGGCTTGGGGGTCATTGTGTGTCTAGTGATTAGGAGAGAAGGGTGATGGAGAGGAAGCAAGAAGGCGGATGGTTGCGTGGCAATAAGAAGTCTGGCATTGGGTGAGGTCGAGGACTAGGGAACCGGAGATGACAGTATCCGAGCCGACGGTAAACGCGAGGGTGGCTCTGTCAGCAAGGACGATTACACGCGTTGTCTGCTAGCTATGGTGGGGAAGGAGAGTGCATACAGTGCATGCAGCGTCGTAGTGCGTAGTGTGGGAACGGATAAGGCCGAGAACACTGTCTGTGGTTGGGTGGGCACACGGGCACAAGGGCGCAGAGGGGGCGCAGTGGACATGAGGTCAGCTGACCATGTTCGCGTTTGCCGATCCACGAGGGCCAATGAGAGCGCACAGAATGACCGGGTGCTCGGCAACCATCGGCAACCGGAGCTAGCCACCGGCACTTTGCTCTCCCCTCAGTGACTCTCTGCTCTTCCGCCCCGTGTCCAATCACGGGCTACATCAAATCAAATCATGACCCCACAGACTAATCGGACTCATCCCTTGTACTCATTGGGCAGTACCCCACGTGAGCATATCCGCACTCACCCAGATAGGACTCTCCTTTTCCCGCTCACTCCTTTCTACTCCTGCGTGCGAGCCGGATTTCTATCTTCTTTGTCGGACAATCAACACACACCGCAAATCATCAGTCATCATCTCCTTCTAATTGGGTCTCACTCACTCAGCCCCGATGGGTCTAGACACCTAAGCGCCCATTCCGCACTTTACACCAGCAGCAAACCACAGCAGTCCTAGTCGCCGTTAGCCCGAACGGAAACCTCCTCTTCTCTCACTCCCCTTGCGGGGCCATCGGGGCCCTTTGCCTTACCGACTGCATTCACTGACTGCGGGCCTGGCCGCCGTACTCTTCATCCCCCCGTGGCCATGCTCGAAATGGCCACGGGACACCACTTGCCGTCGGGGATGCAGCTTTTGCGGCAATGGCCATGACACGGGATCACCCCACCTCCACAGCCCTCCACCAACTGAACCCACCAGACCTGAACCTCCACTTCAGTGTGGAGCTCCCCACGCCACGATGGCTTATCGCAGATCAGTCTCGATATCTTGGAAATTATCATCGTCCCATATGTCATGTGCTTGCCGCTATCCGCTCAACGGTATGAACACATGCACACCGCTGAATGTCTACAAAGATGATGCTTCCCAGGCTTCTTACCCTCTCACCTCTTTGTTTTCATTCTCACCAAAACATCAAAACACATTGCGCACCCAGCTTTGAGAAACCGAACTTTGAACCTCGCAAACACCGAACCTCTCGGTCACCGCAGCCTTATTCGCCGCCACCCGCCACTCCCTCACCCAGGCACACAACCACCATGGCCCTCGAAGACCACGCCGTCGAGCTCCGCAGCCGCACCATGACCCCTCTCCCGAGTGCGCAGTGGGAGGAACTGAGCATGCGCGTCGAGTCCTCTGCTCGCGCGGGCGCCTTTCGCCGCCCGTCCTCGACCGGCAACCTCTCCTCGCTCACGACCATGACACCGGCGACCACCTCGCGGCCTGTCCCCGTGCCCAACGCCGACCGCGGGCTTCTGCGCCGCATGTCTTCGACCTTTTCAGCCGCCGGCGCCGTCTCCCTCGGCGTGCAGGAGTGGCCGACCGACTGGCGCACCGACTGGGCCACGAGGCGGACCTTTGCCCCTAGCTCGCCCGAGAGCGTCTCGTCCGTCTCGTCCGTCTCGTCCGTCGCGTCCTCTGCGCCCGCCTCTGCCCCCGTGTGGCCCCAGGCTACCGCCCAAAAACCCATGAACGCCCGCCGCGACAGCCTGCACTCGCAGGAACAGGAGTGCGTCATGGACATGGTGTGTCTGATCTAGACCCAGGCCGCCGCAACATCTTCGTTTCATACCGCTTGTACATTAGCAGCTCTCTCATTGTGCATACCTTCTTCCCGGCCCGGCGTGGCCCCCACAACCCAGTGTACATGTATATATCCACTCGACGCAAAAGAATGCATGTGTTGTCCATTGCCCGGCGACGCCCCATTATTCACATTGACGTCGTGGCAGAAGCGCGGTGTGGTCGGGGTTCTGATGGCCACGGTCACCCGAAGGCTTGTGGCGATCGAGAGAATGAACGATGGTCCCATCCCTTCCGGTGCAAATCGCGTCGGCATCCGATGGCCCTTCGAATTGGAGATACTTGGGCTTGTTGGCAGTTGGCAGCACTCTTGCAAAACTGCCCATCGTTCAAGCAGAGCATGGCGATGCACGAAGCCGCGGTTATCAGCCCGGGGGCTCCGCATCCTGTGTCGACACTATCTCCTTGGGCAAACAAACAGTACAGCGCATCGACGCAGCACTCATGACCACTTGTGACTTGCTCTTTTACATGAACCAGGACAGCCAACATCATGGACAACGACCTCTGCCTTCCCAGTGACAATCCCGACTTCTGCCGAACCGACCCCAACTATCTCCCATCCCCGCCCATCACTTTTCCCCGCACGCAATGGCTCCGAATGGTCCAATCTCCCCCGTTTCATGACTCGCATACGACGAGTCAGGTGGCCTGGTGCGCACAGCAGGCGAGTTGGTGCTGGTCTCGCTGTAAGGGAGACGCAACCCCGCAGCTGGACCACTTGACCGCCCCCAGCGTGCCCGACATCGTGGACGAAGTGTGCTTCAAGCTGGCCGTGCTGGACAAGATCCTCGAGGTGTGAGTTTGGCGTGCAAAACGTTTGGTCATTCACCGTCTGCAGTGTATTTCAAGTGCAGTACTAACTACTACGCAGCCTGATGCATACCAAGGTTGAGCAGATCGACATGATTCCCCGACACGCCTTCACCTGGGATGAGTACATCGAAGAGATCGAGGACATGATGGAAAGGACCTACGACTGGGCAAGTACTACGACAGACGATGAAGTTGCTGACTCCAGGCCGAGTCTGAGCTGCCCCCTAACTCGCCCGACCCGCCTGCATTGCAAAGCATTGCACCTTTCCTCCGTTCGGCGCTGTACGCCTGGTCAACCCTCGTCTGCATCAAGGACCGTCCCGCTCGTCGGCATCTCTACGCTCAACCACGTACTGAAGCATCGGTGAGAGCACTGTGTGTGGACGACTTTGGTCGCTTTGCGGGCAAGTATTACGCCGTCTCCACCATCGCCTTTTGGCGAGGCAGCGACGATGAGATCGCCACGGAGCCCGTGTTCCGAGAGGCTGAGCCGCTCCCGGAAGAGCTTGTGCCAGTGTCACGAAAGTGATCCGCGCGCTCGCGACCGCCACATCGCCTTAGCCTAGCGTCTGATGTTCTGGCCTTCGTTGGAAGAGTTCCTTCGCTACGGCTTAACCTAGTGCCGTTCGTTGCGGTCTCAGTCGTTGGCACAGTTTATGTTGACTCCATCGCGTGGAAAGGCGAAGCCGGCGTTGACAATCCCATCTGATGCTGTTGCGGCCAATCCTCTCGCGGCGGGCACAGGTTCCTGCCTGGTTAGCGTCATTGCGGTGCCACCACGGCTCATTTATGGGCAGGTCGCAGAAGGCATCCCGGCCCTGGTGAGGTGGTTGGTAGCGGCGCGAACTAACTAGGTCCACCCGATGTCAAGCATCAACACCCGAGGAGTGAGACGTACGCGGTAACGCTCGCTGCGGCCTGCTCCTCGGAGAGAACAATGGAGGAGCATTGAATGACAGCCGAGAGCCCATGAAACATCATCAGCGGCGGACGAGAGGAGCCATGCCTCGGCTCACTCGTAGCCTAAATGTGCGCTGATGATCGGTCCGTGTCTCCTAGTAGACAGCCTCCGCCTAGCGTGGGGACTAGATCTCCGTGTGAAATCTCCTCCTCTGTACCCGTCGTTAGGCTCTACCTCAACACGCTTGCACTAGGGTGAAATCGTGCCATGTCGTTGGCGACGTCTGGTTGCTTTTGCACGGCCCACATCAACTGGCGCTTCGGTGAGATCATTGGGAGCAGCTGTCTTAAGGGAGCATCGTCTCTGACGCCTGGCATCGCGCTGAGCAAGTGGAGGAAAGTGACGGCATGTGTCAGCCCCTCAACACAACGAGTTCAGCCCCGGCCGCTCGATAGCCAAGGTAACGCAACGCGATGTCCAACAGGATCACGCGGGGGAAAGGAAGAGGTCCGTCCTCCGCGACCGCGTTGCCAAGCGGCGTGAAAGGTGTCGGAGAAGTCGCGCACGGTTGAGGCGGCGCGTAGATCCGAGACCGCGGCGAGCAGCCTCGTCGTCCCCGTAATCACGCCCTATAGCCGCCAGCTGCCGGACACGGTGCCGGGAGTGTGTCAGTTCTGAGCGTACCTGATCGCCCGGGGCTTGGGTGCGATCGGTGAGTCATCCGCCAAGCCACACAAGTCTCGTGCAGCTGCGGATCGCGTCTGGTCCTCTGAGACTTGAGACAGGACGTTCACTGATCCGGAGCATCGCGCGAGAGCTCTTACTCAGCCGCCAAGACCGACTGCAGCACACTGTCGGGAGAATCATGACTAAGATATGAGGACTCACGCGTACAGCCTCGGCGATCAGGTATCACGTGATGGTGGTCGCTGCAGGGACCTGTGCGGACTTGCGGAGTGCGGAAGACGCCGAGCCTGCGTCTCCCTGCCTCGGCACGTGGCGTCTCGACCGGCCCAGAACGTCACAACGACGTCATAGACGCCGAAAGACTGAGTGCGACATGGGACTTGGGAAAACATCGACGACCGAGTGGCCGAGCGACTCCCATGCTATAAAGGCGGCTGCAAGACACTCCGAGATCCACACGAGCACTTTCCCACCACCATGCCTATCGAAATTCCCAAGACCGAGTCCCTCAAGGACATGTTCAACCTCAAGGGCAAGACGATTGCCATCACCGGCGCGTCTGGCCCCCGCGGAATGGGCATCGAGGCTGCCCGCGGCGCCGCTGAGATGGGCGCCGACATCGCCATCACCTACTCCTCACGCAAGGAAGGCGCCGAGAAGAACGCCAAGGAGCTTACTGACAAGTACGGTGTCAAGGTTAAGACCTACCACCTCGACACCTCCAAATACGACAACGTCAAGGCCTTTGTCGACGCGGTCGTCAAGGACTTTGGCAAGATTGACGGCTTTGTCGCCAAGTGAGTGATCTGCAGTGCCCCACTGACATCCAGCGCCGGAGCCACTGCCGACGGTGGCGTCATCGACAGCCCTCCCGAAGCGTGGGACAAGGTCATCCAGATCGACCTGAACGGTACCGCCTACTGCGCCAAGGCAGTCGGCGAGCACTTCAAGCAGCGCGGAAAGGGATCATTCGTCATTACCGCGTCCATGTCGGGCCACATTGCCAACTACCCCCAAGAGCAAACGTCGTACAATGTTGCCAAGGCCGGCTGCATCCACATGGCCCGCTCGCTCGCCAACGAGTGGCGCGACTTTGCCCGTGTCAACAGCATCTCGCCTGGCTACATCGACACTGGTCTCTCCGACTTTATCGACAAGAAGACCCAAGACCTCTGGCGCAGCATGATCCCCATGGGTCGCGATGGCGAGGCCAAGGAGCTCAAGGGTGCCTACGTCTATCTCCTCTCCGACGCGAGCACCTACACCACCGGCGCCGACATTGTCATCGACGGCGGCTATGTTTGCAGGTAGACGAGTAGTCAGAAGTCAAAAGCATGCATTATTGCTATAGATATCAGATCACATCCACTTGTTGAACCAATCGAGCATGACCTGGGGGTCCTTGCCGAAAAAGTTGTAGCCGTCAAAGCGGTGTACCGTGCCGTCAATCCAGTACAGTTCCTTGTCCTTGGAGCTCATAGCGTCGAAAATCTCCTGCGTGTCCTTCGGAGCGTCGATCAGTCGGTCCTCCCGCACCTGAACAACCTTGGTCGGAATCGTAACGGCGCTCGCTGCACGCTGGGGCGAAAACTGCTCCAAGCGCCATCCAGTCCGATTGAAGACGCCCTCGTCGACGCGGCGGCACGCCTCCTTGGGGTCCAGTCCCATACCTTTGGCGGCCGTAACGACAAACGTCTCAATGCTAACTGGCTGCAAAGCCACCATGCACTTGACTCCTTCAAAGGCCGCGGGGTCGTCGCGCATCGCGTAAATTGTCGAGTCGGCTCCCATGCAGCGGCTGAGCAGACCAATCTCCATCTTCTTCATCTCGGGGTGCTGGCGGGCATATGCGAGCGAACCAAGCACATCGCGAGCCTCATTGTTGCCAATGGACATGGAACCGCCCCACCCGCTCCATGAGCGACCATGGTTGCGCAAGTCGTAAGTCAGCACGGCGTACCCGGCGTCGTGGAGTGCCTTGAAGTCGGGGATAAAGTTAACGTCCACAGCGTCAAACGTGTCGTACCCCGGGAGGGTACCGGGGAAGCCTCCCTTGTTGAAGGTCATTGGGTGATTGGCGATGATGAGCTTGTTGGAGCCCTTGCAAGGAATGTACCAACCCTCGAGAGTGACGTTGTCCTTGGCCGAGGGGAACCAGACGGTCTCAAACTCAAGACCCTGCTCGGAGGGGTAGTGCTGCAGAGGCGTGGGGTGCTCTGGCCCCCAGCTAAAAGTCTGGACGAAGTTGTTGACGAGGGCTTCCATCTTGTCGGACTGGCGTCAGTGGCGTCCCGATCTCGGTTACTCACCATTGTGATGATGTGGAGGAGTTTCAGATGAAGCGAGAGTTGGGATGTGGAGAGGACGGTCCAGACTAACTATTATACCTCATTCTATTGCTGCCATAGTTTGCGGGCACTACGAGGAAGTGCGGAGAACACAAACGGTGGAGGATGGTGGAGGCTGTGGAGGATGCCGAGGAGCCGACAGTGAAGGCCGATGGCCCTCCACCGGCGATGTCACGTGCCTCCACCACCCTCCACCGGTACCAAGGGGTCATCGCCGTTCACGAGGCAAACGAAGCGGAAGCGGGGTACAAAGGGTCCACGATGACCAGCCCATTGTATGCTTCGTCCGCGAACGTCTGAACACGCGCGGTCCTGGGCTCCCTATGTTGTCCTCGAAACACTGCCGCGTTCCCGGCGCCCGTCACATGCCGGATCCCTGCAAAAGGGTCCATCGCCGATTCAGCATGACATCACGAACTGGGCGGGCCTAGCTACCACCCCTACTCCCTCACAACCCTTACTCGTGTGCGCTCCACCTCTCAACAACAGCCGGCAGTACCCCATGATGGCCAACGGCCTCTCTTCATGCACTGATCATTGCTGATAACGATGACTGCGAGGAGCTGGACCAGCTCGGGGCTGGCGCGATTTGAACACCGCATATCGCACTCATCTCAACATTCCTCTGATCGCCCAACCTCGGCACACTCACGGCTCGACGCTAGCTCCAAGGACGGGGCGTTCAAGGAGCCAGAACACGCCGATGAGAAAGTGAATCAGTGCGTGCTTCAGAATCACTGGGCGAATTTGACGATAGACCGCGACGCCGCGACGGCGAGCTCTTTGCGCCCCGGCGACGAGTGACCTACAAGCGCATTCCCTTCTTCAGCACACCTCAATCCGATGAGGGCCTGCCTTGGCTTTCCGAGGACGCTGTTGCGACAGAATGGCTCGGCCTGTTTTACAGTGAGGTGGTGCCAAACGTGTCTGACCACAGATCTCGCGGTCACATCAACGTTCACAACCTTCAATGCGAGCCACCAGCTGCGTACTCCTTCCGGTCTGCCGTCGTACCTGGCCTACTTTACCGCCATCGTGGCCATGTGGACGGTCCAGGTACACTACGATATTCGCTTTCAGGGCAACGACATGGTGCATCGCCTGGCCAAGGCGGCGCAAGTCGTCTTGTACATCTACATGGCGGCGGCAAGCGGCGGCTGGGATTTGTCAAAACTGGCACCACCATCATCTCGCACGGCGAGCGAACTAATCTCTCATCGTGCGTCGAGCTTGGGGCTGCTAAACGCAGAACTTGCATCACAGTCATTCCTCACCGTGGCAATCGTCCTCGCAGCGCACTGCGGCTTGCTGGCGGGACAATACGTCCTGGGTATGTCACCAGCCGGATACAGCTGACCCAGTCACCCTGCTCGGCCGCCGAGTTCAGCGACGAACGACTTCGACGCGATGGAGCTTTTTCGCATTGGCTATCTCGTGCGCGCTGTACATTGCAGCTGGGGCAATCCCCGCGTCGAGTCATGGCCGCGCCGCGGCAAAGATTGCGCTCCTATACCTAGGGGTGGGCGTGCAAATGATTTGCATCGGGCTACAGGCTCTGAACGGCGTGCAAGTGCCAGTGCGCGATGGCGTTCTGGCTCAACAGTATGGAGCCTTCAGTCTGACCATGCTGTGAGGAACCGTTGGGGACGAGCTGACGGCAGGGGCACGGGTTTCACGAGCATTGCACAAGCCTTCCGCAAAGCGCTCAGTGGCATCCAGACGCCCAGCGGCACCTCTTACGCTCAAGTGTTCCTGTGCGCGGGAGTCATCTACTTCATCTGGGCCTACATGTTTGCAAACTTTCACAAGACTGTCGAGGTCGATCCAGGCCGAACATGGATCTGGGAGGCGCTCCACTACCCCTTGCACTTTTGCGTGCTGGCGCTCATTGGCGCCATGACAAATTGCATCAACGTCAATGTGTGGAGTCGCGGTCTACTGTCGACATACCGCCTGTTCCGTCGCGCTCTGTCTGAAATCCTCGACGACCAGATAGACCAGGCGCGTGCGCTGGACTTTGCAATGACGTTTGACCGCCTGAAACTGAACCCCGACTTTGCGACAGAGCTTGCACGTCTCACACAGCCGGGGCAGAGCAAGGCTGCCGTCACGGTCCGGGCGTATCAATACTTTGCACAGGTCATCCACGGCACATGTCAGCAATCGGGCGTGGCTCTGAATTCGAGTCCGAGCAAGCTTTTGAACAAGGTTCTCGATCTCGACAGGACCGGGACACCAGATGGGGCCACGGCCGACCAAGCCAGAGACCTGATCATACGCGCAATCGAAGAAGTCATGAGCGATGCCTTCTCGGGTGTTCTGTGGCTGTATCCTGCGGCTGTGAGTGAGACAATGAAGTGAGCTGACGTTAGGGCGGCATACTCATCTTTGCGGCGCTGCGATCGGTGAACCGCTTCCACTTTCGCGGACTGGCCGGCTATGCAATTCACACGGCAATGTTCACGGGAGGTGTTACGCTGTGTCTTCTTGGACTCCTCGCTCTCGGGTCCAAGCAGGTATGGTTCGACGATTCGCCCTCGCACAATGTCCACTACGGCAACCCACTCTACGGCCTCGTGTCAAAGAGTATGGGGATTGCGGTCGTCTTCTTGGTTTATCTCGCGGTGCAGCTGGGCTACATGGTGAGCCTGCGTGCATGCCGAGCTGACGGCAGCTTGCGATGGAAATTGGGTGGCGCGTGTTTCACGTCGAGCGGGAGCAAAGAGAACAGAGTTAGCGCCTCGTGTGTAGTTATCCTAGGGACGTTATCTGATAATGCGGCGTGCGGTATGAACTACGAGGGTCGCTGTTACCCAAGCCGAGCTGTGGAGCATGTGGCTTGCATAAGATGTCCACGTCGTTCTCCTGATATTAGAAGCCGCTTTGCAAAGCGGCTGAGAGCCCCGGCTTGTGCCGAACCACGGGTGGAACGAGAATTGAAATTCGGAGCGATTGCATGCGGTAATATCGGTGCATAACCCGACTTTCCGCCAGGTGGAACTGTCTCGATCTGCCATCAACTCAGCGGGCAAGCAACCATCAAGCAGAGACATGCGGGACCGATATGCCCGACAACAGCTCTGAAAGTTTCTGTCCGGGCTCTTGGCGTGCACGGATTACCACCTCGCGGCTCGTGGTTCGTGGGCGGCTGGCTCGGCATTCCCGCTTTATCTGATTTGCATATCTGATTACAGACATCGGCAAGCCACGGCCCTTAGTGCCAAGGCACCTGAGACGAGCTCGCTTAACCGTGCGGGGTGCCGTAGCTAAAAGCAAATGTTCATGAATGAAGAGGGTGCGGTTCATGCCCGCTGCGGCGTTTTGACCTCGATGGGTCAAACTTTCGGCAGCGGTGAATGAAATGTGTGGCTCCCCTGCACTATTGTCTCGGTCGGCTGGAGCGGACACTGTCTCGCCGGTACTTTGTCCAGGCCTAGAATGCGGAGCGTGGGATGCTCCGCAACGACAAACAAGACTGCAGCGAGTGGACCCGAGGTACGGGCAGACCACCTGGGAGACCGTTCAGGATCAAACGGGCAGTCATGGAAAAAGCGGAAATCTTATCAGATTGTGATTGGGTTCGTCGGTTCGGTCCCCGAGCTCAGTGCGCCAAGCCGGCCGAAACGAAGGAGTGCGTTCACATCAGGCTGGGACCCACGCTGCTTGGCGCCAAGTCGCTCACATGAAACGGCCAGCATCCTTTTTTGCGCGAATTTCGAGACCTTGGGAGCCACAGTCACACGACCCATATAATGGAGCGGAGCGTCCCCTCTCCCTCGCACGACACGCATCATGTCACGACCAGTCGACGAGGAAAGGCAGCAAGAGCTTCGCAATCGCAACTCGTCCAGCCCTAGCAGCGATGATCTCTCCAAGGTGGAGTCCAAGTCGCCCGGCGTCCGCCGGATGGAGGCGATCAACGATGTCTGGACGCGGACCAACAAGATTTGGTTCATCGTCGCCTTGGTCATCCTCACCTGTGGGTTCCATGCTGCGATCCAGCTGACAGGCAGACACGCGATCTACTGCTGCGACCGTGATGCGAACATACCAGCAGCTCGCTCTCAACGAGTTTGGCCAGTCGGCCAACGCTGGTCTCGTTGGAACAGTTCGACAGGTCCTCACTTCGGCCTCGCTTCCCATCACCGCCAAAATGGCCGACTATATCGGCCGTGGCTTCATTCTCAACTGCACCGTTCTCTTCTGGATTGTTGGTGGCGTTGTTGTCGCCACATCGCACAACCTCGGTGGTTGGCTCCCTGGTTTCCTGCTCTACACCCTCGGACACGTGGCTGGCAATGTCATGAACTATGCGCTCTCCATCGACACTAGCTCCCTGCGCAACCGTCTCTTCCTGCAGTTTGCCTTCGTCTTCCCGTCCATCATTAATGTGTGGGCCGGTGGCAGCATCGCCGAGGACGTGGACGAGGGACCGGGATGGCGCTGGGGCGTCGGCATGTGGTCCATCATCATTCCACCCATCGCCCTTGGACTCTACGCCGTCTTTGCCCACGGCTACCTCAAGGCGCGCAAGGCCGGACTCATCGACGGCATTCCCTCTGCGTGGCGTCTGCTGCGCAGCGGCAAGGCCTGGAAGCACCTGTTCTGGATGATGGACCTTGTTGGTCTCACGCTCCTCGCTGGTGCCCTTGCGCTCATCCTCCTCCCCCTCTCGCTCGGCGGTAGCTCTGCCGAGGCGTGGCAGACGCCCAAGGTCCTGACGCCGCTTTGCATTGGTGTCCTCCTTCTTCCTGCATTCGCCTTTTGGGAGGCCAAGTATGCCCGCCACCCCATCTTCCCCTTCCAGGTCATGAAGGACCGTCACGTCATCATCATTCTCCTCATTCAGTTCCTCAACAATATCGCGACCAGCACCCGCGACGCCTACCTGTACACGACGCTCGTTGTCTCCTTCAACCAGTCGGTTGCTGGTGCCACTCGCATCAACAGCATTTCCGGCTGTGCATCCTCGGTGACCGTCTTTGTCGTCGCCATTCTCATTCGCAAGTTCCGCCTCGTAAAGCCCATCGTCATTGCCGGCGTGGTCCTCATTACCGTCGCTCAAGGCATGCACGTGCAGTTCCGTGGCGGCTACTCGACAAGCCAGCTTGCGGGTATCATTGCGGGAGAGCTGCTTGAAGGCATTGGAAGTGAGTATCGATTGTTTCACCACTAACGTCAGCCGGTATGAGCGGTCACCCCTCGCTGGTCGCGATGCAGGCCAAGCTTAGCCACGAGCACGCCCTCCTCATCACATCCTGCTGGGCTGTTGGGTAAGTCTACTGGCGTGGACTGTGCTGACATCAGTTCGCAAGCCGGTGGTGGTATCGCTTCCGCCGTGTCCTGTGCTGTCTGGAAGTCGCTTCTCCCGGGCAAGCTGCAGCGCGGCCTCGAGTCTGCCGGCGTGCCTGACGCGAAGAAGCTCTCCATGTCCATTTTCCGCAAGCCGCTCGACTTTGTCAAGACGAACCCGCCCGGAGACCCGGCGCGCGATGCTGTTCTCTTCGCCTATCGTGACGTGCAGCGCACGTTGAGCATCATTGGCCTCGCCATTTCCGCCATTCCAATCATCCTGTCCATCTTCATGGACAATGTCCGCCTCGACGAGCGCAAGACCATTGTCGACTCGGATAGCGAGGAGGACTTGACCGTCCGCGAGTCGCCGCTCTACGTTCAAGGTGACAAGAAGGAGTTTGCCGAGAGCGAGAAGGACGTCAAGCGCGTCCCTGCCCAGTAGTCGGGCCTGCATATAATCTAAAAAGGTGCACGATGCATCACATAGCAATGTTTTGAACGCCGCAGTGCCAAGACCACTCGACGGCCGAAATTCGGTTGCCAAGAAGCGTGGCCCACATGGGCGGCATCCGCGGTGAAGTGGATGCGGGCACTGCGCATGTTCGCCGCACTGTGAGAAGTGGGTCAGACGCGCTCACATGTTCAGTCGTAGTATCCTCTAGTAGCGATCAAGGACCAGGCCCGTCTTCAGCTTGCCCTCGCGGTTGAGCCAGCCGCGACTATCCAGCTCGTGCATGACCTCGTCGCGCAGAGCAGAGGCGTTGCTCCCGTCGGCACCAAAGGAGAGCTCAGTCGTGAGCTCCATCCCCGTCCCATTGGCATTCTTGAGGGGAAGGACCTCGACGCGCACCTCGGTATCGTTCCACTTGCCAAACCAGACCTTGGCAGTGACGGGCCCATACTGGCGTGACCGTTTCAGAGTATCTGTACCCCATCCATGGTGATTCCAGTCGGCAATCTTGTCGGGAATGTGGTTGACGAGAAGATACAGTCCCCAGTCTGCGCTCGGGATTGCAGTCCCATTCAGCGTCCACAGCGACAGCTTGACAGAGTGATCAAAGCTGAGGGTCTGCTTGGTTGTGGTCCAGTCGATTTCGGCGTCTTCAGTGAACCCCGCATCCCTAGCTTCGGCGAGCGCCGAATCGAGCCCATCCGGAACCGCGAAACGCTTCTTGTAGGTCAACTCAACATCTTGGCCCTCCTTGTGTCGGATGCGAACGACCCAGCCCTCGGCATTCAGCCCCTTGTCGTTGGTGTCAAAGTATGCCCATGTTCGTTCCTGCGGTGGGGACTTGAGAGAGAATGTCGACACGACATCGGTGCTGGGCTGGCCAGACTTGAGTGCCGAGTCGAGAAGAGAAAACTTGACTTCGTAACTCAACGGCGTGCACGAGCTGGCAAAGGCCCTGCCCAGGGGTCTGCCGAGAGCCAGGAACGAGATGGCAGCGAGCTTGATCATTGTGAGATGGGATATGTGGTGATTGACGAAACGCACAACATCGGTTCTGAGACATGAACATGAGGCCCTCTGTCTTGACGTCATGTTCACACGACCTGGCAGCCATTTCAGATCCGTTTGAGCACTTGGTTTGGCATCTTTACAGTTTATTCAGAAGATTACCGAGATACAGCCGTGGCTAGATAAGAGATCGCGAGGAATGCTTTCAGTGCCTTCCTGGCCCCTCGCGCGCACTTTCGGCTAAACTAGCTGGCTTGTGCGACCCTCGGATGCACTGTTGAGAAGTTACTTAGGGTTAGGGGGTTAGGGGG